CGAAACACATCAGTTTAAAGGCGCATTCCACATTCGTTTTTTTTTCTTGCCGAACGGACCCGACCAATCTTTGTGCCATTAGTTGGAGAGAAAAATATTGGTCCCCCGGCTTCTCACAATTTGAAAATTTCAAAAAATTCGATTAAATCGATGCTGAAAATAGGCAACAAAAAAAAACTGAAAATTGAGTTTTCGCACGAATTTTCAGCTTGTTTCGCATATCGAAAGTTGATCTCTTGATTCGGTTTGACATTCAAAAATTTTAATAATCTTTCATTAAAATTTCTTTCAGCCCAATTAAGAAAGTATTCATTTTTACTGTAGTTTAAAGGAGCATTTCAACATGGAATGCGCCTTTAAAGTCTCTCCAACTAGAATTACTTTGAAAGCGATGTTTGCACTTAACCGAAACGCAAAAAAAATTGCGAAACGTCGAAAATCGAAAAAACGCAACAAAACAAAACGTGCTCTTGTTTTTTTTTTTCGTTGATAATTTCTTCTGTGAGCACACGTGTTAACAAATCGATGCTGCGGACAATTCTCATGAAATTCGGTGCCGAGGAATTTCGGCATTTCGACTCGGCTTTTGGTTGAATACACAGGCAAATCAAATAAAATATTCTTGAGAATCGCTAAACATAAAAATTTTAAAAAATATATAGTTGGCGTCCGGGGCGACTGCTGTACGCGGGTCGATTTACGCGCATGCGCCTTTAAAAGGTCTCGCCACGCGTGAATGCTTATTTTGCTGTTTTCATGTGAACTTTTGGTTCATTTTTCTTGATGAGTTTCTCATTTTCTTGAATTTCCAACGATGTTCGATTAAAAAATTATCGAATTGGTCCATAAAATTTGAAATAACCTGTTGGTCCGTGCGAGACCATTTCGAAAGACGCATTGTCGTAAATCTACCCACGTACAGCTGTCGCCGGACGCCAACTATATAAGATTTTCTAAAAATTCTAAATCATCTCAATAATAAATTCTAAAATCTTTTAATAATTTCTAATTTTGATTGAGAAAATTCTAAAATATTATAGAGACACGTTAGTTTTTCTCAATGAATCTCAAAATTTTTTATTCGATTTACCTGAGTATCTAAAATTTCGAAAATTACGGTATTCATACATTAAAGGAGCATTCAATTTCATGAAATTTGAATTGCTCGCAAATACTGGAAGAATTTTATGAACCGATTCTTGCAATGAAAAAAAAATATTTTTTATCAATGTTTTTTCATTTACAAAAAATTCTCGGCGATTAATTTTTAAAGGCGCACGCGAAAAGTTGGCGCGGGTCACGACGCAAAGTCGCTACTGTAATGCTATAATGGCTCATTTTTTTCGAATTTTTTTGAAATTTTTGAGCGTTTTTTTGGTTTTCGCATCGTTTTTAAAAATATATTTTGAGATGTTTATCAGAAGCCGCATCGTAGCGAGGTCTGCATCAAATCAACACAAAGATCACTATTTTTTTCATGATAATTGGCATCTAATTAACGAAAAATAGAGCTATATTGTGGAATTAGGAGTAATTATACCAATTATTGTTTTTTTTTTCTAATTCTTTCGTCAATCCGTTTCTCATTTCCTCTTTAAAGTTCTCGAAAAATACGGGAAAATAGAACAGAGAATAAAAAATAAAATAATACAGTACCGACTTCGCGACGTGACCCGCGCCAACTTTCCGCGTGCGCCTTTGAAAATAAATAGGATTACGGTATATCGCGTCAATTTTTTGTAGAAATTCAAATGAAAAGAAATTGAATTTTTGCCATTAGAATGTTAACAAAGTCGATGTGGAAATTTTGAAAGAATCGAAAAAAAATTCATTTTTTCCGTTAATTGCCCAATGTTGAATGAAAAGAAGTTCTCAAAGTTCGATTCAAGACCATAATGTGAATTTTGTCGAAATTCGTTGAATTTCCGAATTGAATTCGCGACGAGACCCAATTCGAAGCTTGAGAATATTGACGTTTGGGGGTGGCCAACAAAACGAGAGGCGAATGTTGTAAGAAACGGGCGGGGCTCAAGAGTGAAAGCACTTGGGCAATAATTGTGTTCGGACCCTTGCAATTTCGGACCCCTCATAACTGGTCAACAACAACAAGGTGTTTGAAAGCTCATAACTATGCTATTTATACGAATAAACGAGAAGGCACAGCTACTCATTTAATTAATCGATCGCCCATCTATTGAGATGTTCGAAATTTCGCGGGCCAACTCAAATGTGGATTCTCATCTGCGGACATTTTCGCCGGCTTCAACAATTCTTGAAAACAAACGGAAAACAAACACGTTGGTAGATCAAAAATCGGCACCGGAAAAGAAAACAACGATGGCCATTAATAGGCATTGATCGAAATGAGTAGGAAAGCATATGAAAATGAAGACGAGCAGCGACGAGTGTGTTTCAACTTAATTGCCTCGTGCATTCCAATTAATTTTATGCATTTCAGTCGGCTATATGTGTATTCCAAATAGAGCCCTGAATAATAATGCCAAGAAATAATATGTCCGCAGATGGGATTTATTGTAGAGCTATTGTGCGACTGGCAAGTTGCCAAAAAAAACCCTGGCAGTGGTCTTGGCGCAAAACTAATAGTGTAGATTTACGGACCTGTGTATATGGATGGGTTAAAGGTGCACAACGCGCATCGAGACCTTTTTTTAATTTTTTGGCATTTAGCCAATTTTCCGCAATCGCGCGGCGTCGACAATATGAAGATTCGAAAAAACATTGAGAACCCTGGTTAAAACTTCTAAAAACATAAATTTGGACGACCAAATTTGAATTTGGCGGTCGGAAAAATTAATTGGTCCCCGAAAAATAAAATGTGCCTTGAATCCGACAATTCGGCACATTTTAAAATAGCCAAAAAACAAAATTCATAGAAAATGATGGTATTTCATATTATGGCGGTTATATTAATAAAAACACTATTTCAAATTGTTTTTCCATGCGGGACCCAAGGCGGCAATTCAAATGAAAAAAAAATTTGAAAGTGTTTTCGAAGCCTACAGTACCATTGTTTTTTTTTTCAAATCGCTGCAGGAATTATGAAATATTTATCACAGCGTTTTCCAAACAGAGAAAAAAAATAATTTAAAAAAAAACACCTTAACTACTTTTTTAATAACCTTTTTCCACAGGAATTCCGGGAAACGGCTTCGAAAAACTCCGGCGTGGCCGAGGTCTTCCGATTTTTTTTCTGAAATTTGCATAGCATTTTTAAAGAATGTTTTTTCCGAATCTGAACAGCCGCGGAATCGTGAGAAATAGGCGAAACCTGTATTGATGTCCGTAGATGATTATTGTCTATTCTAGGGCTTCCATTAAATCAATAAAAGAAGGCGTCTTACTAGCAGCTCGATTTGAGAGAATGAATAAAACGAAAAAATGTTCAATGGCAAAAAAATTCAGCAAGAAAGGACCACAATATCTTTTAAATTGAATAATCAACGAATTAAAATTGTAGCTTTTTTTTTCGGCGGCGGTTTTTATACGAAAATAAACAGAGTTTTGTGAGCGCGGACAAATTGCGTCGAATCGAATGCGGAATGTGCCAATCTACTGATAATTGGCTTAATTTGCTGAAGAGATTTAGCGCCCATAAATTGTATATGATTGAATGTTGTCGAATTGGGTCGTTTTTTTTCGAGGGCAACAAATTTACACAAAAATTAATCAATCGGCGGCGACTCCGCCATTTCGACTATCAATTCTTTTTTTTTCGTCTCTCTCTCTCTCTCTCTCTCTGTGTTGAGACAACTGGTGTGGTCCTTGTTGTCCACACCAATTAATACCAGATCAATCAAGCAAAGAGATGATCATAATTATTTCTTGGTCTAAAAATCAATTGAATCAACATGTCGAGAAGAAAGCGGCTATTGTGATTATTCAATGTTGCCGGACGCGTTGCGGCTCGCGTTGCGGCTCTCGTTCATTTGTTTTCGCAACGCGTGTCAATCCGCTTTTTCGAGAAACAATCTATGATGTACGCGTGTAGATTTACGTGGTGCGCCTTTCGAAATGGTCTCGCAACGTCTCAATTATTATTTCATTGTTCTCATGTGAATTGCTTCATTTTTCTTGATGAGTTTCCCCATTTCTTTTTTTTTTCGAACGTCATTCGTTTTAAAACTTTTCGAACCCACTTATAAAATGCAAAACACTCAATTAGTCCGTACGAGACCCCCAAGAGAAAGACGCATCCCCCCGTAAATCTACCCGAGAACAGCAGTCGCTAGACATTCCTTTGAATTGATTTTGAAAATATGCTTCTAGGCATCGTTTCCTCACTGAAAAATGGCGCCAAATGATGTTCAATAGAGCGCATTTGTTGTCGCCTCTCTCCAAAAACCACAATTATTGGTTAAATCGACGAAATTTTTCCAAAAATTTTCCAATTTTCAATTGAATAATTCTTTAAAACCCCAATTTCTACTCGTGATCCGTTTAAGAAATTAAAAAAAACGCCGAACCAAATGCAAATATGAGATTTGTAAGAAATTCTAAAAACAGAATACGTCAAAAAAAAACTAGAAAAATAAAATGAACAAGTTGAAGACACTTGAGAATTTCTATGGAAACGTCTTCTTTATTATTTTTGCTTCAAGACCATTAATAATATCAAGTAAATACCGTGTGATGCAGAACAAATTCTTTAAAAAAGTAGGAGAGGGGGTGGGGGTTCAACAAATGTACGAGAAAGTCCAAAAAAAAAACATTCGCACGGTCGAATTATCGCAAATCCAGCGCTCGAGATTACAAAGACCAACAATTACGAGAAAAAAAAATACTGAATAGATAAAAAGACAAGGGAACATTTGAATAGAATAAAATGACGAAAAACAATTATTCAAAAAAAACTGGAAAATGCTTAACAATAGGATATGATTGGATAAAAGAATCTGAAGAATTAAGAATTGGTAAAGAATTATTAAGTACATACGTCAACTTCGAATATTATAATAAAGAGTGAGAAAAGGGAGAGCGAATCACAGAAAATTATTTCCGTGCATATTGAAGGCGCCGAGTGTGTCTGATAGTTGAAGACCGCCAAATTTGAAATCAGGAGGAAGCTGGAAACAAAACAATATAATTGAATTGAGAAATTTTATTCAAAGGCGTTTGAGTCTCGCAACAATTGGAGATATTCTTCGGAAAAGTTACAAATTTTTTTTAATACCAAAGCAAAAAACGACTTTTTCGAATATTTTGTATGTACTCGAGATATGCGCCTTTAATTTTTTTTTTTGGAATTCAGTAATACCTTGCTCATTTTCGCACTTTTTTTGGTTGAAGCGTACGATCTTTTTAATGTCGATTTGTCGATGAAAAGTATTTCTCTACACGAATCAGCACCACATGAGCACAAAAGAAAATCGATGTTGTGCTCATGCAAATAGAGAATTCTCCCGTTTTCTTCTGAAACAGGACTCATTTTCTGAATGAATTCCACAAAAATCACCTTGAACAATAGGATCTTTAACATTCTGAAAATAATCATCGACGTCATCCTTGAACATTTTGAAATAATCGATTGTGAGGTCCTCTTGAACGACGTCGATTGTCTTCTTCGTGTAAACTACCAAATCAGGAAGCGGTTTTCCATTTTCCACCAAACGAACATCACAATTCGGTTCGCACTGAATTCAAAATTTTCGCCAATTATTTTCGATAAATAATCCAAACACTGTGTGCAATAAATCGAGAAAAATCGAAATAGCGACGTCGATCGAGACATTTTCCAGTTGAGCCGATGGCAATAAATGAGCAAAATGCGAAATTCTCGCCATATTTGAGAAAAGATTCATGGGCAACTGATGAATCGCAAACCTGCAATTTTTCATTCAATTATTTTTCTTATTATTATGTTTTATAGAGCTATCTAAAGGCAATTTGCTTATTTTTCTAGAATACGAGGAGAAATTGAATATTTTATGGAAATTCCGGTGTTGCAATTGAAATTTCAAAATTGACGGACCTCTTTGACAGTCTTTACTTACCACTCCACACATATTCAATAGAGGCGTATTCTGTCGAACATCATGATCAACACGAAGAGTCCATGAAAGCGTCGCAGCGCGATATTCCAACTTCAAATTCGCTGCAAATCGAGGTGCTCTGCAACAAAACATAAGAAATTCACAAAAATTCTCGATTATTGTCATTTTTCTCACACGGCTCCATGACAGTTGACCCAAACATTCTCGAAACACAATTCCGATCGTTTCGGGCCAATTTTGACACTTTCTGAATACTTCTCGCGATTCATCAAAACGACAATCTAGAGAAAAATAATAGGATTTCGTTTTTATTTTTGGAAATTAAATACCTCATTAAATCGTTCATCGCATTGATCTTCAACAATTTTATAATTATTCTCCACACTCTCATTCTCAAAAATCGTCTCAAAAATCAAATGACTCTGCGGCGGAGGCGGACAAGCGAACAAATTTCGATCGCGAAGTGGAAATGACGTCTAAAACTGGATATTCGATTTTTTTTCCAAAAAATTTCTTACTCCAACAGTCGGATATCCATTAGAATTTCTGAGCCTTTCCGCGGTTTGTGAGTCATATGCAGCCAATAATTCCAAAAGGTCCGTTTTTGAGTGCGTTACAATGGTCTGAAGAGTCCAATGATGCTTGAAATCGCGAATACCCTGAATGCTAATTTTGAAATGAAAAAAATGCAACAAAAACCGAAAAAATTTCAAATTCAAGGTTTTTTTTTTCAAAATTAGACCATAATAGCTTACCTCTAGTGTCATAAGCTTCGTTCCAATAGAATCTGTATGGCAAAATTGGGTAAATCCGAATTGAACAAAAGATTTTGCCAAAATCGATAAAGGATTCAAATCTTCTGCAATAACAGTCACAAATTTAATAATTGCTCGCTCAATTTTACTCAGAAATCGATCGATTGGATGTAAAACGAGCTTTGAAAGTACTTCGGCAATCTTTGTACTATAATTTTCTTCAAGATTCTCGGCAACATATTTTTGAAGGATCAATGGACATTGTAAGCGATATTCTGGCTGAAATTTAATTAAACATGAGATTACAATTCAATTTTTACCTCCCAAGAACTTTCAGCATAATTTTTCCAGAAGGTTTCGTAGCGAACTGCTCTATCATTACCGGAAACTTTCTACATTTGAACATCTTTTTATTTTAAATAAAATTTCAGCTCTATACTGCGTTTGTTATTTCAGCAACTTCGTATAATTCGCAATCCACTATAGATGTATCAATATATTCCTTGTCTTCCTTCTTTGATTTAAGTTTTTTGATATTTATCTCTGGGTCGTTCTGAAAAAAATTTTTGAGAATATTTATACATTTTATACATACACTATCATAACTTCTTTCTAACTTTCGTTTGCCCATTTTTCTTTTTCTACAAAATACAATATTTATGAAAAAAAAAACAGAGAAAATATTTTTAAAAAGAAGATTTTGATTTCGTGGAATTTTTAAAATTGTTCCTTTAAAGGCGCATGATAAAATTAGTTGAGATTTTTCCGTAGTGACTCGTTACTGTAATTATTTTTAAAACGTTGTTTTCGCGTATTTTTATTTTTATTTTTCACATTTTTATATTTTTTTTACTTTTGACGATTTCAAATTGTTTCTGAAGTTAAAAAATATATGCTTAATAATAATTATATATTTTTTATACGAATTTCGTTATTTAATTCCACTGTTATCCATTAATTGATTTGTCTACTTTATAATAATCGAAATTTCGCGAAACACCCGGCTAAACGATTATATCATGTTTATCCGCATTTAATTCAGTACTATTAGGTTGATAAATGCCTATTAAATAATTCGTTTTTCAGAGCTGTCTATAAATACTGATTACATGCGCGTGCCAATTTAATTCATTTCCATATTTCTTTCTATTGACATTCTTTGCACCAAAGCGACGTTGTAACTGCGCTCCAACACTCACTCTATTCTAAGTTCCCGCTGCCGCGTTGCGTCTACGGTACGCAATAGTGTGTGAGTTTGCGTCAGGTCGCAATTCGAAAATTCGATAATCATGGGGTTGTTGGTATTTTGTTTGCTTTCGCATTTTTTCCATGTTCATTATCGATTCATCGTTTTTTTCTTTCGCTATATGATTGCAAATTGTTCCTTTTTTACAGATCAATTGGGGATTATGTCCTCAATACATTATAAATTTCGGGCTACGCTCGAATATAAAACGCTTCAATTTGACGGTTTGCATATACGAGGCGAAGACCTAGTTCGTGAAATATGCGCTAAAGAAAACATTAAGCTAGAATTATTTAATCTATTACTACAGGTATTTTGCTAGATTAATGATGCAATTTTTAAATATTTAAAAATTTTAGAATGCTCATACCAAGAAGAACTACACAGATGAAGAACTGATTCCTAGGAATTCATCGATAATTGTCCAACGTGTTCCAAGAACAGAAGCCGCCAAAATTCAGAAAGTCCAGTAAGTTGGACATGAAATTTGTTGATATTTAAATTAACCATCTTCAGGAGTGGAGTTAACAGCGGAATGATTCAAAATGAAACAAATTCGTCGGGTTTGGACAATTCCAGCCAAATAACATCGGTAAAACAAGCTTTATATGGTTTGAAACTCATTCTAAATTATTTTAGGCGGAGTTTAAGAATATGGATGAGACGGAACGACTAAATCATGTCAAACACGTCTCAACACGTGCCTATGATCCTGTAAAGTGAGTATTATTTCAAATAAAAACATATTTATAATGTTTAAGCCGATTTTAACGACTTTATCTACAACCTTCTAATAATTTTACAAAAAAATAGAAAATTGAATATGCTTTAATCTCGGATTTTAGATGGTGATTTAAGAATTCTCCTAAGAATTTGTAAAATTTATCAAATTGCTCTTTTTTTTGCGAATGTAATAATTGAATTGTTTCAGTTATCGAAAGAAGCCGGGAGAAATAATGACGGGTCCACCACCGCCGACGTATACGTGTAATCGATGCTCACAACCGGGACATTGGTACAAAAACTGCCCAATGGTAAACTATTCGTGCGGCTGTACAGCTTTTTGCGCTGTGACGGTTGTTGTTTATAATAATAATATTAATATTAATCATATGAATATAATGAATGGATTATTGTCTTCTTGGCAAATTCGTTTCGACACGGATTTGCATTGTACATCGGCTCCAAGGCTGCTAATCGATGTTCATTGTCGATTTTATAGAGATAAATCGAGAATCTTCAATTCAAACGTGTTTCTTTTTGTCATACATTCGTTCAACAGACTTTCTTATGTTATTCATTCATCTTTTTTTCTGGCTTCTACTTATTTCTTGTAACTCTTCGGGGATTTTCTCTTCTTCGATTTCTCCTCTTCCCCTTTATTCAGTGAATGTGTGCATGCACAGAATTCAACGCACATTTACAGAAACAATTTGACGAGTAATTGAAACATTGTTGCTTGAAGCGCGGCATGCGAGTTTTCGCTTCGGGACCCTCAGTGGATCGACGGGACGACTACTACGCGCGCGCGCACGCACGCCCTGCGGGCCCTCTCACCGAATTATCGTTTTTGCAGCTGAACACGAAACGCACGACGGGCATACCATCGCAAGAGCTCATGGAAACGACTGCCGATGATCCGTTGGCGATGCTTCATCCGAGCGGCAAATTTGTGATACCGATAATGCACTGGAAGGCGCGTCAAGAGCAGAACCGCAAGGTGATCAATTCACCGTTGTCAACGAATTCTGAAATTTTTTCAGACGACCGATGAAGGAGCTTCATCGCCGGCTCAACACGAGCGCAAAGTTCCGGCAGAGTTGCTATGTCCTCTTTGCAACGGTCTTATCAAAGAGGCCGTGGTCACTGCGTGCTGTGGAAACTCGTACTGCGCTGATTGTATTGGACAGAAGTTGTTTGAGACGGAGTCGAAGAAATGCCCGGGGGAGGATTGCGACAAAGAGCAAGTTTCCGTTGACGCCCTAATTCCGAACAAGCGCCTTCGAGCTGCTGCTGAAGCATGGCTCAATCAAGGAGGAAGAGCTGGAGCTAATGAGATTGTGCAGCCTCAGGAGCAGATCAGGATAAGGTTGGATTGATGAGACATCACAATTTTTATTTATACTATATTTTTTGGTTTTAGGATTGGCCTTCAGCCGAGTGTTCGGACGACTGCTTTGCCGGTGGCTACCGCCGCAGTGGAAACCGCTGCTGCTGCTTCTCCTGGACAAACTATAGTTACAGCAGCACCTGTTGCTGAACCGCCAGCTCCTGGAGCCTCTCAGGCTTCGCCAGCCGCGCCACCTGTGTCTCAGACAATAAACATCCCACTGGACACGAGTCTACCTCCGCCATCGCTGAGAGGGCCTGAGATTGGAATTTCGCAAGTGCCTGGCATCCCGGGAGTTTCTGCTGTTCCCTACACGACTACAATGTTGCCGCCGATTCCGGGAATCGGGATTTTGCCGCAGACGCAGACGAACGTCCTCGCGCCGTATGGGTAATATCTAGTCGAATAATAATTGATTTCACTGATTGGAATGCAATGTTTTAGAATCAATCCGCTCAACATGTATGGAGGTGGTCTCACGAATCATGGGCACGCCGGATTTCCGGGTTCGATTGCGCCGACGACAGTGGCACGGACCACCGCTGACAATAATGACATGTGGGAGGATTTCCTACGACGAAAGGATCGCGGACGTGAACGACGCGATGATCATCATCGGGATCGTGAAAGAGACAGAGATCGAGATCGTGGACGAGATCGGGATCGCGAGCGCGATCGCGACAGAGAACGCGATCGGAATCGAGAACGCGACAAGGATCGATCGCGACGGGATCGAAGAAGGAGGAAGTGAGCTTAAAATATTGATAAGCGAAATTAATCATTATAATTTATGTTAGAAGTTCTTCGTCGTCATCTTCTTTATCTGACAGTGATTCTACTGACGATGATCATCGCCGAAAACGAGCAGACAAGGATAAACGAGATAGGTCGAAATCTAGAAGAAGTGAGAAAGATCGAGTGTCGTCTCGACGGGATGAACGGTAGAATAAAATTATGATTTTTGTTTTAAATTTGGCTTTTTTAGAAGTACTCGTGATTCTAAGAGCAGCCGTGTAAAAAGCATGAAAGCTCGTGATACTCGTAAAGAGAAAACGAAAGAAGATGTTAGGAAAAAGGCGAAAAAAGATGAGGAATCGGCGAAACGACACACGAAGAATGAAAAGGAGGAAGATGATGAGAATCTTGACGATGAAAGCGCTACCGATGTGAGCAAATCGAAAGAGAATATGGAGGAGGACGATGAGGCGGCGATTGATGGAGCTCTTGCGGAATATGAGAAGCTTCGCGAGAGTACATCGAATGTGAATGTTGGTGATGAAGAGAAGACCGAAGAATTGCCGAAGGCTGTCGAAGAGAATCCTCTAGAGCAGCACGAGCAGCCTGTTGAAGAAGAAGAGAAGCTTGAAGCCGATGCTGAGGTTTGCTTGTTGTTTCGTTAATTTTTTAAAGCTTTAAAAAATTCAGAAGAATGATGATAGTGCTTCGGAGACTGGCGAAACGACAAGAAGTGAACGGGAAGTTAGTGAGAATGGATTCTCAACGCCAAAAGAAGAGCCAGAAGTGACGAACGAAACTAGTGAGGCGGAGGTTGTTGAAGCGAACGAGCTGCGAACGACGGTTGAAAATGAGAATAGATTGTTGTTGACGGAAGAAAGTGATGATGATAACGAGAAGGATGAGAAGCCGAATGATGGGTAGGAGAAATTTGAGAATTTTCAGAATTTCTAGAATCTTGTTTCAGAGACACTACTGCCAATTCTGATGATGACGATGAGAAAAAGAAAGAGAAGAAAACGAAGAAGCACAAGAAAAAGAAGAAGCATAAGAAGTTCGTTTACCCTTCTTTCAGTAGTTTATTTCAATAATTGACATTTAGACATGGCGAAGATGAAAATGATGATGATGATAAGAAGAAAAAGAAACACAAGAAACATAAGAAAGAAAAGAAAACGAAGAAGGAAAAAGAGGAAGAAGATGAGGAGGAGGTTAGGAGTTTTCCAAGTTTTTCGCATTTTTTCGTGTGGTTTTTAGAAGCGTCATCGAAAGAAGGAGCGCAAACGGTCTAGAGATGTTGAAGAGGAAAGTGATGTGAGTTTGGTTGGAGCTTGTCAGCTGAAATCGCGAATTTTTCAGGTTCCGGCGAAAGTTCGAAAAAGTGACAGTCACGAGGACAATCATCGGGCAAGAGCTCGCGAGGATGACCGAAGAGAGCGTGAGCGAGTTTCTCGGCGGGATGAGCGTGATCGCGATAGGACTCGAGACGACCGGGATCGTGATAGAGAGCGAGACCGAGAACGAGACCGCGATCGCAGGGATCGAGCCAAGGACCAAGATAGGGACCAAGATAGAGACCGAGCAAGGGACCAAGATAGAGACCGAGCAAGGGACCAAGATAGGGACCGAAATCGTGATAAGGAAAGAGATGAGAAGAGGAAAAAGCCAGATGAGGTTTGAAAGAAGACCCCCCCCCTCCAATTTCACTGATTTATGATTTTTGTTTAGAAGCCTTCGAGTGGCTCATCGCGTGAGAAACGGGAAAAGGAATCCACGAAATCTTCAGAGTCTTCCCGACAACCGATATCGTTCAGAATTACTAAACCTGATTCTCAAAAGTCGAAAGGTGTTGAGCATTTGCTTGATGATGAGAAAATGCATTCTGGAGATGATGATAAGAAAAAGAATGAGAGCAGAAAAGAGCAGAAGAAGGACACTGAGGTTGAAAAATCGAGAACTACTAGCAGCGGTAAAGATAAGCCGGATAAATCGACGAGGAAAGATAATGAGGTATGCGAATCATTATTGAAAGGCTTTACTCATTTATGCCCGTTTTTTTTAGAAAGTTGACGAAAAATCCAAATCGTCGCGAGATCGGTCGGATTTGAAAACCAGGAAGGAAGCAGAGGTTTGACTTGTTTTTAATTGGCTTTTAAAAAAATATTATTTTTAGTCTGACAAGGAGAAAAGTCGAAGAAGGAAGGAGGATACAGATAGTGAAGAGAAAGGAGAGGAGAGGAAGGTTTTATTTTAATTGTCATAATTCGGCTTCAATTTGGAAGGGTTTAATTATAGTGCAATGCAAATGTTTGAAAAAAAAACTCGAAACCCCGATTAAAATTAGTTCTGTGCGACATCTACATTGGGTTTTTACGGAATTTCTTGATATTCTCTCCTAAATCTGTAGAACCACGAGATTTTGGGAAATTTTTTGACCAGTTTTATGTCAAAATGGCTGTGGAAAATTGGCTTAATGCCAATGGGAGAGGTCTTGAAGCAAAATTAAATATGTAGATTTACAAACTAAATTATAAGATAGGTTAAAGGCGCATATATATCTCGTTCACATTAATTGACATTTTGCCAATTTTCACAGTCGCGCTATTTTGGCGAAATACTATTAATTTTTCTAGTCTTCTTCTGTTTTTCATGGAAGTGCGAATTTTTAGAAATCAGCGAAGAAGAGCCGTTCAGATGTTTCGTCAACTGCAGCAGACTCTGGAATCAAACACAAAAACGTGAAAATCACGTTTCACTTATAAACTGTAACAAATTTTTCAAGAAGTTCATGATTTTTTTTTTCATATTTTAACCATCATTTTTCTTTCAATCAAAATTTGCCTCTCTTCTCTCCCAACCCTGATAGTTTTTTTTCTTTCATTTCCTTGAATTCTTCCCTCCTCCCACACGTCCATCCGGTAATTAGACTCGCGAGTTTCGTTTTATTCATTTTTTATTTAATTCTCTGTCTGTATGCTCTTCGTTCTTCTTCCGTTTTTCCCCCGCCAGTTTACCTCAACGATATGCAGCAAAAATGCAGCATTAATTGGAAAATTGTGCTCGGTTTTCTCATTTGTTATATTTTAATTTCTTTGTGATTGTTTTTTTTTTCTATATCCTTTTTAATCATTTTTTTTATTAATTTTTTATGTGCGTGTTGTTGGATAATTGTCTTAATTAATTTAATAAATAAGTATGGTTTCGGGGTTTTTTTTTTAATAATTGTTGTGGAGTTTTTGGTTGAATTGCCGATCATACATTTTATTTCAGCAATTTTTTCCGTAGCAAAACAAGTTTTGGAGAATTCTTATTTTTTTCAACAATAAAAAATGAGAATATGAAAAAAAAAAACTGCTAAAAGATCAAACTTTTTTCTTTATCCCTCCGCAAAGAAGAAAAAAATTTTGTCCCGAAGCGCGAATTCATGATTCGCATCGACAAATTGTTGAAAAAAGAGCACAATCAGTCTGACAATTTCTATATTAACAGCTACGGACAATTTTTAGATGGTTCATCTGAAAATTGTCCGCGACCAACTTTAAATTTTTGTTTTCTTTTGTAAAATCGGAAGTAGACGCTTTTAATCTGGTTTTTTTTATTTGTGGAAGGAATTTAATGAACATTTGAAAATGTACTTTTTTTTACAAACCTGAATTGAAAAATATGTAATTTTTTTTTACATTTTTCATTGTATAAATATTGACAGCGTCAAATGACTGATCGGTGGCGGGAAATTCAAAAATCGGTGTAGATCTGCGAACAGTTAATTGCGCGTACGCTAAAATGCAGAGTACGCAAAATTGCGCGTACGCTAAAATGCAGAGTACGCAAAATTGCGCGTACGCTAAAATGCAGAGTACGTCTCTTTTCTTCGAGACACCTGGCCAAAAGCCAATTTTTTTAAATTTCGTTCAGCCATTTGATAGCAATAAGCTCATTAGAATTCTCACACTGAGAATTGATTTCATCTTTTTGATGAAATTTTGTGTTATGTTTAGTTTGATCTCTTATCAACTCTCTTTTTGGTTATTTTCAACTCATCAAATTGTTGCAGATTCCGAACAATGGAAGTATTGTTCAACGAGGATTTGGAAGGGAGTAAAGCATCGACAAAAAAGGCTTCTGAAGGCAGCTATGTGATGAAAGACGCGGTTTTGGTTGAATTTAAAAACGCCGATGGAACGATTGGAAAGATTCGAGCACCGTGTGAAGGAGTTGTGACGTATTCGAGGGATGTACAAAGAGGCGCCATTCTCAGTAAGGTAAGACGCTCCACAAATGGACCATTAATCAATATGCACACGATTTGAAGGGAAAGTTGATTGCCAAGGTGTCAGAATGCGATCACGCGATTGTCATCAAGGACATGTGCGGCACATGCGGAAAAGATTTGCGAGAGTAAGTCTATCAGGAATATAATAACAAATATTTCTGGCAAATTTTTAGAAAAAGTTTTTTGGATAACATTTTATGTAGATTTTCCCAAAAAAGAAAATTTAGGAAAATTTTTCTCGAAAAAAATGAATAAATAATTAGAGGAAACCACAAAAATGAAAGAAAAAAATATCTACGAGTTGCCAAAATTTCGGCGAATTTCCAATTTGGTCGATTCGCTTCTAATGAACTTCTCCTTTGATTTAGAAAAGGCGGACGAGCTGGACAGCGAAAGGAGCAGTCGGCTGCGAATGTGTCCATGATTCATAATGTGCCAGAGCTCATCGTCTCCGATACAGTACGCATTTTTATCTTGTCGTTTTCTATTAAATTTTGCCTTTGGTTTTTTGTTTCAGCTTGCTAAAGAGCTTGGGAATGCGGATGAGACAAATCTTTTGGCGAATCGCAAATTGGTTTTACTAGTCGATTTGGATCAGACTATCATCCATACTACTAATCGGCCGTTTAACATTGATCCGGAAAAGGTAAATCAACTCAAATTCGCATGACCAGGGGTCGTCAAAAAACAGTAATTTGTATTTTTAAGATTTAAACAATTTGGCTGGGCCTCCCATTTTGACGCGCTCTAATCATATAATAGGAATTGAATTTTGTTTTCAGCATCCCGATATAACCCAGTATACGTTGATGAATGGGAATTATGTAACGAAATTGAGGCCACACACCACGGAATTTTTGCATAGAATGTCGAAGTTGTTTGAATTGCATATTGTGACGTATGGTCAACGGCAATATGCTCATAAAATTGCGCAAGTAAGCAGATTTTCTTGTTTTGATTTTTTTCTAAAGACAGATGGCTGTCGTTTGTGTTTATTTTGGGGTCAATGTAGAAGATAGAAAATATTTCAATATTCATCTATTTTTTCAATAATTATCAAATTGCTTTTGGCCCATACTTTCAAAACTTCAATTCTAGATTCTTGACCCTGATCAACGCTTATTTGGACATCGTATACTATCAAGAGATGAGTTATTCTCGGCGCAGCATAAGACAAAAAACCTGAAGGTGTCGAATTTTTTTCTCAAAAAAAAAAATGCCTCATTTTTCCAATTTTAGGCGTTATTCCCTTGTGGAGAAAAACTGGTTGTAATCATTGATGATCGTGCCGATGTTTGGATGTATTCGGAAGCTTTGATTCAAATCAAACCGTATCGATTCTTTAAGGAAGTTGGAGATATTAATGCGCCGAAAGATTCGAAAGAGCAGATGCCGCCGGAAATTGGTTTGTTGATTTCAAGTCCATTTGTTTGTTCTTGTTTTTTTTTAATTGGAGATTGATTTTGACGTTTTGTAGAAGATTCTGCGAATGAGGACCATGTTCTTGAGGAAATTGAGCGTGTTCTTACTAATATTCATGATAAATATTATGAGATGTATGATTTGAAGAATCCCGATGCTCCGCTCATCGATGTTAAAGTGAGAAATTCAAATTGCCTATTGAAACAGACATAAAAATTTAGAGTGTAATCAACGATCAGCGTAGAAAAGTTCTTGAGGGATGTGTGATCGTTTTGTCAGGAATTGTCCCGATTAATGAGAAGGTTGAGAAGACTGATGTCTATAGGCTTTGCGAACAGTTTGGAGCTAAGGTATTTCGATTTTTTGTTGAAATTTTAAAGGTTTTGGGGTTTCAGATGGCTGATACGGTTACTGATGATGTTACGCATGTGGTTGGAGTCAGATGGGGTACAACGTGAGTTCGATTTTGATATATTCAGCGCTTTCGCTCTGAGACCCAAAATTTACTTTTATTTTGATAATTATAGTATTTCTTTTATTTTCTTTTTTTTTTTTAGAAAAGTTCACCAAGCATTACGCCTTGGAAAACATGTAGTCACTGTTCATTGGGTGTACGCTTGTGTCGAGAAATGGCTGAAAGCCGACGAGAAGGAATTCGAATTGACGAACGAAACATCGGCGCCGATTGGGAAACCGCTGGGAAGTCAGCTGGTTAGTGATTTGGCCAATATGAGCACAATCGGCAAATCGGCATTGGCTGATATGAATCACGAAGTCGATGAAGCGCTTTCGGACGATGATGACGAAGAAGAGGAAGAGGAGGAAGAGATTGATGAGGAAGAAATGAATCTGGACGAGATGTCGAATGTTGTTGAGGAATCATTGACGCCGCGATCGGAAGAATCGAGAAAGCGGAAGCACGTGCCGGAGGAAGAATATGTAAGCGAATGGTGTTGATCAAAAAATTATTTTTTGGTAGAATTCCGATGGTGATAATGATGATGACGACGATGATGAGACACCGATGTCGTATTCGAAGTTGCTCTCCAAATCGAAGAAGCAGGGACGAATTGTGTCAGCTGGAAATGATGAGGAGGACCTGATTTTTGATGTTGATGATGAGGTGTGAATCAAAATTAGTATAGTATTTTGCGCGATTTAATACTTAAATTAAGAAAAAATCGAAGTTCTCAATTTTTGGAAAAAATCCAATTTTTACTTTTTCCTTAATTTATTTTTTATTATTAGATTCGCAAAAAAAACGAGCATCCTGCGCTATTATTTTCGCAGGTTATCCAGAGTGAGGTATCCGAATTCTCACTGTTTAATTTCAAATTAATATTGTCGCCTCGAAAAAGTGCACACAATTATTCAAGGCGGTCGTTTTTTTATGCGATGGTAATAATTAAAGGCGCATATTGCTAATTGAGTGGTATCCGATTAGGTTTTCCTCAACTATTTCGAAGGCAACTTTTGTTTCGGCTAATTGAATTTTTTCCCTGATTTCTACCAAAATGATCCGCCGATGATCCCAAATCAAAAAATGCGTTGTTCGTCTTGATCGATATCGCTGAGTTCAGTGTATTTTATTCAGAACGAATATTATTGAAAATTGAATATTCAGAATGGACATCCTTCTGATCGGCCTGGACCATCAGCGACTGAAACCGAAGAAGACGATGAAGATGACGACGAAGCTCTTGACGATGACGAGATTCCTCCAGAAGACGATGACGAAGAATTCGAAGATATGGCTGCTTTGATTGAGCGACAAGTGAGCCACAACGAAGAAGATTAAGCTGCTCCGTTCAACTGATTAAGCCCCGCCCCTGCTTTTGTACTATGAAAAAATGAATATGACCCCCCCCCTTAGATCTGATTAAATTATTTTGTTGTTATTTTTGTTTTTTTTTTTTTAATTTTCATTTTGTGGTTTGTTGCGTTTCCTTTTTCCTCAGGTTCCTCCTTATATGTATGTGTTATTTTGTTGGTCCTCATCTCTCTCTCTCTCTCTCCCTCTCTCTCTCTCTCTCTCTCTCTCTCCCTCTCTCTATTCGCCAAACCCTCCATTATTATTATTATTATTATTTGGTGTTTATTATCATCGGTTTCCCACAAATTATACTGATACTCAACCATCCGCTAAATGATTTTTTGTCTCTTTTAATAGCTCAAATAAACACAAGTGTCTTGTACGTGAAAAATTATAAAATTGATTGTGAATCATTTTTTAATCGAAAATGCCATTGGATCCGAGGGTATGAAATTTATTGGTTTGAATTTTTATAATAAAATTGCCTTTTTTTGGAAAACTGGAAAATTGATAAAAAATCACCCAATTTGATTTATTATTTCCTTATCAATTTTCGTTGTTTCAATTTTTGTCCAAATTGAGAGCAAGTTTTGAATTTGAAAATGACTAAAGGGGTGATGCAATAAAAAAAGAACAATTCGGATATTTTTATTTTTACTGCACTGTCAAATAGGTAGTTCTCAATTATTCATTGCGAAATTGTGGTCCGACGAATTCTATTCTCTTTGTTCCAGATTTTAGTTAAGAAAATCTTTTTGGTTTCATTTTGGTCTGGAAACCAAACTATAACAAAATCATCGAATTAGTCATAAAAAACACAGTTTTATTGAATTCGCACATCGAAAATCAATTGGTTTCCTTGTTGCCTATGCATTGGTTCGTGTTATGTTGAGTTTACACTCGCACACGATTCGGGTTTCGCCACGCCAAAATCGTGTTTATTTTTGAGCGCAAATCGCGCGAAATAGTGTAGCGATTGATGAGATTTAGAGAAGCGCGACGAATTCCATTAGAGCGCAGATGATCAACACATCGAGCTTTTTTTTTCAACATAATCGATTTTCGCCAAAAAGCTTTCTCAATTTCACACTTTTTATAGTGGGAGGCATATCTCGAAAAAAGAATGGATTTCAATTTGGATCAGGGCAACGAGACGATCAGTCAGATTCAGCTTAACATCCAGAATCTCAATCAGCAAGGTATTTTTCTATTTTTCATAAATTTCAGCTTGATTTTTTCAGTCCAACAACTCGATTCTTTGATATCGAGATTGTCGGATAGCAGCAATGCTGGTGGAAAGCAACGACAATTGTTCAATGAGGTTTCAATTTTTATTATTTTTTGAATTGTGAAATTCCGGATTTTAGAAAGCTCAACAAGCACAGGAATTGGCAAAAGACACGAATCATTTGATGAAGAAACTCGTCGAGATGAGCAATTCTAATGTAATTTGAGTTGTTTTGCGATTCTTTCTGAAACATCCTCGAATTTTAGAGAAGCTTGAAAGTGCACAGAGAACGCCTTCAGAATGATTTGATCGGCGTCTTGAATCGACTTCAGGCATCGCAGCGAAAAGCAGCACAGACGGAAAAAGCTGGCATGAGACAGGTTTTATCTTTTTAAAATTTAAATAGAAGTTTTGAAATGCAAAATTCGTGCTTCGGATAATACATTGGTGTTGTTCTAGGCTAGAGAAGCCGCCGAAATGGATGCGGAAGCGTCGCGAGCTGCTGAAAACGAGTTCTATGCGCATCAGAATGCGAATCCTCAAATTCAGAGGCAACAGCAAATCAATTTGCAAGAAATCAAGGAGAGACAACAGGTTTCGCAATAATGTTTACCCGCGGGAGAATTCAATTAATTATTTTTTCAGTCTCTTCAACAACTCGAGCAAGATATTGGCGATGTGAACGCGGTAATCACTTAAAAAAAAAAGAAAATTCGATTATTAATTTGAATTTCAGATATTTGCGGAACTCGCTAAAATTGTCCACGAGCAAGGCGATTTGGTGGATTCGATTGAGGCGAATGTCGAACACGCTCAGATTTATGTTGAGCAGGTCAATTTTCTTTTCAAAATTAAACAAAACAAGTGCTATTTTTTTGTTATCGTTATATTTATTTGACCTGGATAAGTCCGAAAACTGTCTGATTCTCTGAAATCGTTAAAATTCAAATTTGCTTCGTGAATGTGAAATTTTTCAGGAAATCTTTTACTCGAACCAAAAATTGGGAAAATTTCGTTTTTGCTTGACTTCCAGTTCTTTTTTTTATTAAAAAATTGATAAAAAGCCCATTTTCAAACAGAATGGCGAGAAAAAATCATGAATATTTTCGAAAATTTGCAATTTTGCGCCTCAATATTCTTCGAGAACATCCCTGATTTTTTTTATTGCCGTGGACGAAATTGAAGGTCCCACGACGATTTATCAATAACGAAAATGTGTGTTGGCGATTCGCAATCGAAATTCTTGCAGGGAAATCAAAATGTGCAGCAAGCGGTTTACTACAACCAAAAGGCCCGCCAGAAGAAGCTCCTCCTGTTCTGTTTCCTCGCGATTCTTGTCGTCATCCTCGGTCTCACCATCTACCTTTCGCGATGATCACCAATTGTATATTTGCAATTCCTCGACACCTTCTATTCATTCTCCTCATTATTATATCATTATTTTCGAACAAAATTCCTAACATAATGTGATGTTTGTAAAAATCGAACCATTTTTTTTTTGAATTGAAAATGAGCAACCCACCCCAACAACAAAACCTTATATACTCCATTGTATTTATTAACTGCTGTCACCGTTTACTGGTAGTTGAGAATTCATTGTTTTTTTCCTTATTTCTATTTTTGCAGTAATTCTTTACTAGAATAAATGCAATTATTTAGCTCGCATTCACCGGTCATGTCGACCACGTGGACCTACACAACACTCGGATTATGCAAATTGTCGGCAGATGATCGCATATGATATTCAGCGGCGACCTTTTCGAGTCGTCGTCGGAAACGAATCGTTTTGCGTCAACACCGCGGTATAAAACCACTGTTTTATACAGTTTCCACTTTTTTTTTTTGCCCCTCTCTCTTGAATTATGGATGATCATTTCATCGATTTCATCGTTATTCTGCTCATCCTTATTGTTCTTATCATTGCTACCGTATTCCTTTTGGTAATGGTGAGTTTGAGATGAATTCGCGCGCATGAAAAATGAGAATTCGCCAAATTTGAATTATGCCCGTCGTCTTGAGAGTTTCTTTCAAATTGCATGCGCCTTTAAACACGGATTATTTCGAAATCTAGAGTTTATTCAACGAATTTCGAGGGTGTTGTGGATTTTTCAAAATTAACTCAAAATCATACGGATCCGATATAATACACAAATTGAATCGCATTCGAATTATCTCTCTGGTAACTCAATACCAATCGGATCTGAAATAATACAAAAATCGAATCAGATCCGAGGAATTTCGAATCGGATCCGAATTATCTAAACAAATCTGATCAGAACAATTTCCAATCGGATCGGGTTGATTCTGGAGCCGAATTTTGTCGGATCCGATTGGTTTTGAGTTACCAGAGACAATTGGTTGTTCTTTTTTTTTAATTTATTCGGATCCGTTTGTAAAATTTGTGTAATTCGGATCCGATCAATTTGAGTTACCAAGATTGGCAGCGTGGTCTTTTGAGGGATTGCGAGTGAGTGGTGGGCGTGGTCGACGAGAACACCTTGTCGAGCAATTATAGTTCACTGCGGGCAATTAGTTTGAGACACCCCGCTGTTTTTTTTCTTGGGAATATTTCGAAAAGCAACAAATTTATCAAAAATCTGTCGAAAGCCATCGATTAGAAGCCCCTGGATTAAGCTTGATCGGCAAACGAAAATGGCTTTGGTTTTCACATTGCGCAAAATGAAGCAGCATCCAACCAAATCACGTTGAAAAACACGAGAAAATAAAAAATAGCTTTTATTTTTTTTGGAAGGGTTTCTTCATATGCTATTGCGAGATTTTTGATAAATTTTTTTGGTTTCTGAAATAATCCAAAAAGCAGAGGGTGTTTTAAACTAATTGAGCACAGTGTACTTGTTAGAAGAAAGAGCAATCAACACAAAATTATATATATACTGATTACTGATTATTATCATCCCAAAAAATGAGGGAATTGAATAATTGTGGACCATCGCATTTTTTCGAGGCGGCAATTCAAATTTGAATTTACATAGTTTTTTTTTTGAATTTACGAAATTTGGTGCCGTACAACGGAAAACCTGCGAATCAAAAAATCAGACAAAGATTAAAATTGAGAGAGAGAGAGCGTGCGGTGGAAGGAGACGCAGACATAGGAAAACCTTTTACAACATTGAAATTTTTTGACTTTCAAAATCGCGCCATTCCGTCAAATTGTCAAAGAAAATGGTCTCGAGACGACGAGGAATTCGTTGTGTACTCCACACGGACAATTCATCAATTGACAGATTGGCGTAAATGATGTGAATTCGATGAAAAAAAAATTGGAAATGTGAAATTGTAAAAAACCAATTGATTTGTAGTATTCGAAGCCAGTGAAACGATTTTTGGCGAAACTCATCGGCAGACCGAAAAAAGTCGCCCGAAACGACGTCGAGGCGAAAATTGCGCCGAAAAGAACGACAATTCGGATAGTTAAATCGCTTGATCTCGACGATCCCAAATCACCGCCATTTAGAAAACAGAGCGCGAAACGGTGAGAATTCGACTTGGTTTTTTTTTTCGAATGAAATTTATTAATGTCAAATAGCCTGAAATTCACGATGAAGATTGTATTAAAAACGAATTAAAATATTATTTTCGCGTCGAGACCAGAGTTGGGCGCAATTCCGCAAAAAAAATAACATTTTTTTTTTTTGCAATCCCCAAAAATTTGATTCCGTCTTTTCAAATTGTTCACCAACGCATGTTCTGAACATTTGCGTCAAATTCGGTGTTTGACGCACATTTGCAGATTTTCGTTCAATAAGGCTGAATTCTACCGCGTTTTCAAATTATTCATTCCGCTCAAGACCCTCTATCTCGTGACACAACATTTTTCAACAATTCGATAGATAAAAAATTGGAGAACAATTTTTTAAATAGCTTTTGTTATATTGATATCTAAATGCCGAAAAATGTTTCAAAAAAAAGCTTCGAAATCAGTTTTTTGTAAAAATTGTCTATGTTCTCGAAGGAATCATGAGAAATTTTTTAAAAATTCCACGTTTCTCGTAATCGTCTCGATTATTTCGCAATTTTCAGCGTGTTGTCGAATCCGCCTCCAGGCACCAAAAAACCAATGCAAACCCCTCTTCCGACGCCAACATCGGCATCATCGCCGTCGCAAAAATGCGTATTCGTGTTTCCCAAAAATCTCTCCTATCAAGTGAGTTTTGATGGTTGTTTTTTATTCGCATAAATTTGCATAATTTTTAGATGACAATGACACCGACGATAAGCCAAAGTAAATCAACGAATAGCAGCTATTTGCCAACAGCGATGCCCGTTCGACGGTGTTCCACTTAAAACCCACACCATATTCCCCTAATTGATTTTTCGCGACTCGTCGCAACTCACGTGTGGCCTAGAAAATTTGGCCGACAATTTCAAAAAACAAAAATCTAAGAGCGGTGCACAAATTCTGAGAAAAACTGCAATCGCGGCACACCACTACAGGCTAATTTCTAAAATTATGCTTGTAGTCGCGATTTTCTTTTATTTTCACAAAAATTAGAATTTTCTTTTAATATTTGGTTTTTGAAATTCTAAACACACTAAATATATACGTATTCATTTAGTTCTACTTATTTAAATTAATTAATCTGTGAAGTGTGGCCGTGACCGAACCTATTTTTAGGACAATTTTTCTAGGCCACGCGTGAGTTGCGGCGAGCCGTTTTTTGTTGTATATAATGGGTGTTGCGAAGAGAATCACACGCTCATGCGCCTTTAAATTCTTCTTATTTTTTCGTCAACAGATGCTCTTATTTTTAATTTAGGCTTTTTATCAAATTTTCGCGGGTATTTGCTAAAATCAAAAAAAAATAAAAAATGTATAGTTCAATAATTTGATGCTCGACTCCTCGAACCTCGATAGGATTGATCGTCGTCGATGTCGTCGGGCAGCTCATCCTCGCCGATCTCCTCGTAGTCCTTCTCCAACGCCGCCATGTCTTCGCGGGCTTCTGAGAATTCGCCCTCTTCCATTCCTGAATCGCACATTTTGTGTGAAGACGATTGAATCAATTTGAACGGCCCACCTTCACCGACGTACCAATGCACGAATGCTCGTTTCGAGTACATCAAATCGAATTTGTAGTCGAGACGAGCCCATGCTTCAGCGATTGCCGTCGTGTTGCTGAATATTCAAACATTCTCATCATTGACAACGAAATTTCTCGAAGGAAGTGAAATCAATTCGATTTTCACAATTTTCCTGGAGATGAATTTTTTCGATTGATATTTATTGAACACTCTGGTAAATGGCTCGGAATCGTATAAGAAATATAAATAGAGTATTGGTCATATTCTTTAAAACATCAGGGCTGAAATTTTTGTTGTGTACGTAAATCACAGCAACGCAAGATTGCAGACTTCAAAATTGCAACATGCTGAAAATTTTATTTAAATGTTTTTTATTTTACCAATTTTGCTTTTTTCATACTCAGTCCATAATTTGTTTTCCTTCTGGAAATAAAAATTTTACAGCGGAAGCTCAAAACGCCATTGTCAACAGTCAAAAGGAAGGCTTATCACGAAGAATCTTCAAACGCGGCAAAATTGGATTGCGATTTTATCGTATACGATCTTGTCGCATAAAATCAATTTTTAAAACACATTAAATCAATACCAATCTGATCCTAATTGGAAGAAAATTTTTCAAAATAGGGAAAATGATCAATTACACAAATCGGATCCGACAATTTTACAATGTTATTCACCAGTCGGATCGGGTTGATCTTGGCGCCGAAATTTGGTACCGCAAAATATGTACGGATTCATTCAGTTCTTCTTACTTAAATTAACCAACCCATCAAGTGTGGCCGTGGCCGAAAATTATAAAGAACATTTTTTTCTAGGCCACGGCGAGCTTGTTTTTTTTCACATCAATCTGAGATTTTTGGTTTGTCTAATGCTTCTTCCGCATTGCGTTTAACAACCTGATCATGCACACACTCCTCGTCTGCTTTCCGAGATCCCCTCCAGGCACCACCGTCGGCGGCTGGAAATTGATTCCGACTTTGAATCCGGTCGGACACCACTCGACGAACTGCACCGTTCGTTTCGTTTTCACCGAAGCGATCGCCGAATTGATGTCCTTCGGAACGACGTCGCCGCGATACAACAGACACACGGCCATGTATTTGCCGCGTCGCGGATCGCACTTGACCATTTGATAGCCAGGCTCGAAGCAGGCATGAGTCATGTCGGCGACCGAGTTCTGCTCATGCGAGGCTCGTTCGGCCGACACCAATGGTGCATAAGTGACCAACGGGAAGTGAATACGAGAATAGGGGACCTAGAAAGAGTTGGCCATCTAAAAAAAAAATGAAGAGATACCAAATTTGTCTGGAACTCGGTGAGATCCACATTCAGAGCTCCTTCGAATCTCAACGAAGCGGTAATTGAGGAGATGATTTGTGCAATTAGACGATTCAAATTCGTATAGGTCGGTCTAAAATCCAAATTATCAGAGCAATTTGATGAGTTTGGAACCTCGCGAGATCCAGATTTCGTCGACAAATATCATAAATCGCCTCGTTGTCGACCATGAATGTGCAATCGGAATGCTCCAACGTCGTATGCGTCATTAGAATCGAATTGTACGGCTCGACCATACTCGTCGACACTTGCGGAGCTGGATAAATCGCGAACTCGAGTTTCGGCTTTTTTCCGTATTCGGTCGAGAGGCGCTCCATGAGAAGCGACAGGAATCCCGAGCCAGTTCCTCCGCCGAACGAATGGAATATGAGGAAGCCTTGAAGGCCTTTGCAGTTCTCGGCTAGCCGCTTCACACGATCCATCACCACCTAATCAAATACGCGTTGCATGTCGTGATCACTTCCAGAACACCTCTTACGTCAATCATTTCTCTTCCGATCGTGTATCTTCCTCTCGCGTAGCAATTCGCCGCATCCTCTTTTCCGGACAACAACTGTTCCGGATGGAACAGATTCTTATATGTTCCGGTTCGGACTTCATCTAGAAATATTGAAAATCAATTTTGATGATGTCAGTGAAATGAGCACTAGAATTTGAAGCGATTTTCAGGCAAACACGGCAATCGGATTTTCAAATTTAAACTATTCGAAGAAATTAAAATCCGTATACCACTAGGATATAAGTCTTATTTCTTCTATTGGCCGATATTTTGACAGAAATAAACTTCATTTGAAACTATTAAACGCTTATTGCCATCAACCCACAATTTTCAACTCATATATAATAATATCAAACGTGTTCTTCCTTCAAATAATTCCAGAAAGGGTATGGCAGAAATCTTTCAAAAACAAGACCCAATTTTGGTAAATTTGACAAGGGACTAATTTTGTAGATCAAATTTTATATGTTTTTTTGCGAATCCCACTAAATAGGAAATTTTCAAAAAAAAAAGGTTAGATAAGGTTGCTTTGGTTAGAAAATTTTAAAAATTAATAATAATTTAAAACCCTTTGCTCAAAGCAACAACTCGTTAGTCTGTTTCGATATTCGCAAGATTTTCATTTTTTTTTTTTGTTAAAAATACTTCGGTATATGTGGAAAAATAAACAATTTTAGCTCGAAATCTGAATTATTTGGCCTATCAAAAAACCGAGTAGGGGCTCATCGTGAGGAGGTAGTAGAAAATTGAGGGAACCATATCAGGATGGGGGGGGTCAGGATTCAAATAAGGACTGTGCGGCAATCTTAAATTTAGGCAAATCGGTTAATTTCTGATCGAAAGTTTTTGGCAATTAACAATTAAATTGAAAAATTCCATTGGGGGGGGGGTTGGATTGATGGCGATGAGCCCCCTCGAAGCTCGTTGTGCAAACAGAATGTCGATGATTTCGAAAAATGTTAGTCAGGATCGAATTGAAATTCAAGCGGTTGGCGCGAGACTCAGTCGTAATGTGCGCCTTTAATTATTGTTGAACTCTCGCGACGACTAATTTTTTTGAGACAAAGCGCCTAATTCGATTTCGCAATGGAATCCATTTTATCTGTTCGTCTTAGTTTTTGCATTTTTTAACAATTCTTCGAATTGGCTGAAATACCTGCGCAAAATTCTAGTGCTACGGACCTTCGAGATATTCTTAGCCACCCCCTCCCCCTTCTCTCATCAAAAAATGTTGAAATATCTCAAATATGGGAATTTCCTACCAACAACTGTCGGCTCCAAATCAACGAACAAACACCGCGGAACATATTTGCCGCCGGCGGTTTCGGCGAAAAACGTGTTCAGCACTTCGGTCTCTTCATCATAAGTGTCGTCGTCGACATGATATCCGTCAGGTTGAATGCCGTGCTCCAAACAAAACAACTCCCAACACGCGTTTCCGATTTGAACACCAGCCTGACCAACGTGAATCGATATGACTTCACGCTGAAATCAAAGCGATTCGTTTGAAGGCGAACATCAAAACTCACACTTCCTCGGTATTGCGGCATCAAAAGAAGAATGAGAAGAAGAGAATTGTATAAATGTGGGGGACGATGGCGAAAGGAAGGACAATTGAATGAATGGGTGGCTTTCGGGGAGCACCTTGACGACCAGAGTGCTCGGATGGGCCCCCACGGCGAATTGAAATATTCATGTACGATGGTGTTTCTATGACAATTGGTGGACAACACCAATTGTAGTTCTCGAAAATTGTAAAATGTCCGGCGGGTGGATGGCTCAACGAAACAGAAAAAAATAGAAAATTTTTGCGGAACGGATTGCAAAAAAAAATTAATTACAGTACCGCGGTCTAAAGGCGCAGCGTCATAAGCGGGGTGGTTCCCACAACGCGAGAAAGTACGGTACGGACATGGGCAGGCGAGAGAAATAGGGAAAATCGTAACCCTAAAACGCGTTTTGCCTATCAGATAAAGCAATAAGTGAAGCAAAAATTGAGTTTTTCGTGAAATGCAATGAAAGGAAAAATGCGATTTTCGGTTTCAAACGAAAAATAAATACAAGATAAATAATAAACGTGCTCGTCTCCAAATTCCACACTCATTTATTCGTAACGGCAATTGAGAATATCACAGTTTATAACAGAAAAAAGGATGGCAACGTATGAGCAACTGTTTCCGGTAGACGAAACATTTTTGGAGGCGCAACAAGAAAATTGCAGAAAGAGACGACGATCGAGTTGGCGAATCGAATGGTTCGACGAATTCTGCAATCAAAAAGTGTCGAGGGCTTCTCGAACACTCAAATCCGGCGGATTCTCAAGAGGACCATGCGATTGTTGAGTCCGCTGCCGGCGATGATCGAAATCGAAGCGCCGCTCACCATATTCGGCGATCTTCATGGCCAATTGAACGACTTGATTCGCTATTTCCAAGCTGTCGGGTTCCCAAGCGATCGTAAAATGCTCTTCCTCGGCGATTACGTCGATCGCGGCGGAAATTCATTCGAGGTTGGCAATTTTCAACTAAAATCCAACTATCGAGATTGCTTTTTAAGGTCATTATGCTTCTATTTTGTTATCTCGTCATGTACCCAAAAAATGTTTATATGCTGAGAGGCAACCACGAATGTCTCAAGGTTCTTCTGACGAGCAAACCAGATTAAATAAAATCAAAATTTTGAATATTTGATTGCAGATGAATCGATTATACGGATTTCATTCGGAATTGAAGCGAAAACGCAATTTGACGATGTGGGTGAAATTCCAGAAAGTCTTCAATCAGTTGCCGCTTTGTGCGACCATCTCGCGAAAAATTCTGTGCATGCACGGCGGAATTTCGGAGCATATCACTTCATGGAAGTCGCTTTATGATTTGAAGAAGCCCAATAGGCCAAAGGTGATTCACAATGAGGGTCCTCACACGAAAATTGTGCGGCTGAAATTAATTATTGAGAAAAAAGCGGCTAGCGCCTCGGGACCCACCTCGAATAATTGCATGCGTCTTTAGCTACTCACAATTATTTTCGAAATAAAAAAAAAGACTCGTCCAATCGTAAAAACTAACATTTTCGGGATTTTTCAATTATTTTAATTCCAAATTTGACAGCTAGCCACTTTTTTCCGAAAAATCATCGGCTACCAAAATTGGTCGTCTCGAGACCCATACTCGTTTTCCATTTTATGACAATTCAATCAATTATTTTTCTTTTTTTTTTAAATAATTAAAAAGAAAAATCCCGAAAGTAAAAAAAAATTAAAAAAGAAAACATTTTTCTGCATTGAAATTTTGTCTATATTTTCCTGTATTTCGCAAAAGGCTATTTGAGAAATTTTGCAAATTTCGAAATTGTTTTTGAGAACGATTATTAAAGGCGCATGCCGTTTTTGCTTTGCGTCTCGCAGCGGCCAATTCTGGAAGCCGCTTTTTTTCAGAAAACGAGAAAAAGAGTGTGTGTGAAATTGAGAATTTCTAATTTTGTTGGAAATTTGCAATTTTTCCAGCTTTGCGACGAAGGAATCGCGATGGATTTGATGTGGGCGGACCCCACTCAGGATAAATGCTCGACGTTTGCTTCAAACACTGTAATGGTCCCATTCTGATTTCAAAATTCCGATTATTTCTTTCTGGTAGATGAGAAGTATTTCCGTTTTGTTCGGCGAAAAAGCCATAAGCGATTTGCTCGACATGCTCAATTTGGAGCTCGTTGTTCGTGCTCACGAGGTCTCGCAAGAAGGCTATCATTTTTTTTTCAACAAAAAATTGGTCACCGTTTTTTCGGCGCCGTTTTATTGCGGAAATGATGTCAATTGCGGAGCGGTCTGTTCGATTCCTCATTTTTTTTTTCATTTTTTTCATATTTGACGGGGATTCTCAGATAATGCACGTTTCCAACAAACTCGAGGTCTCTTTCACCGTTCTTCGCCCATTAATGGTCCCGACACCCGAGAACTTCCATTTAGCGGTGGCCATGGAGCAGAATTATAAGGATTTGAGGGCACCGAGTCCTGATCCAAGTAAATTCTATTTATGGGAATGATTTTCATCGAAATTAATATTATTTAGATCGTGGAAGACATTTGACACCGGCTCCTGCTGACTCTGAAGAAGCTCATCCAAATAAGGAAACAGAAAAACCAAAACAAAGTATTTCTTAACAGTATAAATGCATTCAAATCGAAAACAAATATTTTTTTCATTTCTTTAAAAGAATATTATAAATACATTGTCTATTAGCGTAATATTAGCTTCCTTTCTGTTAAATTATTTAATCAATATTAAAAATAATCGGGGAGACCGTGGCCGCGTCACTTCAGAAACTTAGGCCATGTAGTGTTTTTCGATTCCTATCGAACTTTTTGTGTCTGAAGCTTCCACTTGTCCATTTTTTGCATGTACACTTGACACGCAACGCATATAATTGCAGAATCATATGTCACAGCAATTGATTAAACTGCCGCATCGAATATTATTACGATTTCATGGTCCCGATACTAGCGCGTTTCTTCAAGGTCTCATCACGAATGACGTCAGGTTTGTTGTTGGTGCTGTGGCCGTTTCTCGATACAACATCAATTCGTCGCTGAATTTATTTGCAGAAAATTGGAAACCGCCAACGGAATCGCCGCGTTCCTGTTGAACTCGAAAGGGCGAATTGTTGAAGATGTGCTCCTCTGGCGACGAGGCACCGATGACATATTCGTCGAATGTAGCCGATCAAACAAAGCAAATCTCATCAAGGAGATCGCGAAATATCGATTGAGAAAAAAGGTGAATATTGAAATCGATTTTTTTCGTGTAAAAAATTCAGCAAAATATTTCGTAATATCTTTCAATATCGATTTTTCTCAATGTTTTAGGTGGAAATTTCCGATTGCGATGATCCAGTTGCATTCATTCAAAATTCATCACAAACCAATGGTAAATGTTTGCTCATTTTTTCTTTCACGAAACCCATTTCTAGAGTTCCAAGACCCTCGATACTCAAATTTCGGTTCCAGAGTGTTCGGGAATTTGGATGGAAGCGAAAATTTAGAAAAATACGAGAATCTACGACGAGATCTTGGAATTGCCGAAGGCGCTTCGGAGCTCTCCGGATTATTACCGTTTCAGGTGAACTCTTTTGCCTCGTGTTTCTGTGTGAAAACTCCGAACAATCTGCGAATAATTTTTCGTTTTCCAACAAAAATGAACATTTTCAGGCGAATGGTGATCTTTTACACATGGTATCACTTGACAAAGGCTGCTACATCGGACAGGAATTGACAGCGCGAACCGCGCACACCGGCGTCATTCGTCGTCGAATTCTGCCGTTTGAATGCGAGGGCTCCGTGAAGAACGACGCCGACATCGTCGACGAGAAGAAGAACAAAGTGGGCAAGGTGATCTCAAGCGACACGACGCGCTGCCTCGGCGTTCTCCAATTATCGGCGTTCAAATCGCAAAAATTGTCCGTCGACGGTGTCGCGTTGAAGGCAAAGAAGCCCGAATGGATGCCGGACAAGATTCTCGCGGCGAACGCAACCCGCACAAGTCTAACCGATGCTTAAATCCGAATTCGTTCTAAAAATCTCAATTTTTGTCTTTCTACTAGTCGTTTACCCTCTCCTTCGAATAACATCATCTTTTAACCATGTTCGATTGATTCCCGTTTAGTTCAGATAGCTTTAGAGATTATTTGTTGGTTTTTTTCTGTTATAAAGATTTTTACTTTTTTCTTAAATTTTTATCACCGAAATTGTTGCTTTTCAATTTGATATCTCAATTTTTCATTTTTAATTTTTGCACATTTTATTTTAGGATGTCGAAGAGTCAAATCAAACGGCTCCATGAGCAACAGGAACTTGAGAAAGTTGCGGTGAGATTCGAAAACAAAATTGAATCAAATTTGTCGAAAAATTTTTTAGGCAAATGCTGAAGAGGTTGAGGATGTGCCGGTGGCGAGAAAGGGACCAGCAAATCGATTTGCCTTTTTAGGTGAGGTTTTTGACGAATATGTTAGATTAGCAAAATGTTTTTGTGTGGTCCATATTAAATATCATTAAATACCATTTTAACCTTAAGAATGAATTAAGTTTCTGCTCGAAATTGTCGATAATTCTAAATCCTTATTGAAAATACAAATCTTAAAATCGAAAATAGTTGGTTTTCGGCGATTGCTGTACGCTTATTGATTCACGGGACATTCGTTTTTTGCTATGGTCTCACCACGAACGAAATATTATTATTATTATTGTGTTTTCGCGTGAATTTTGTATATTTTCTTTATTGGTTTGGAATTTCCTTGAATTTTTCGAGAAATTAGAAATTGTCAAAATGTTCCATAGAATGCAAATTTGCTAAAGACGCATACTGGTAATTCTATCAGTCACCGAAGGACGACTACACAAGAGGCTAAAAAAGTTGAATCCGAAAAAATCGATAATCGAATTCGCAGAATTTTCTCTAGATTCGAGAAAAATCTTATTGGGTTTATGAAAAAAATGTTGGTTTTTCTCGCATAAATGTTGATATCATTCAAAAAATAATGTTTTTAGATGACGATGATGATAATAAGTCGGACTCTGAGCAGGAAAAAAAGCAATCCGATGAGGAAGATGAACCTGTTGAGCAGGTAGCTTATATCGTTCTTCTTCTCTTGTAATCATTTGATTAATCCATTCAAGGTGCCTTCAACTTCTACGAAAAAGAAGAAAAGGAATAAGAAGAACAAGAAGAATGGGAAGAAATACAAAGACGAAGAGAATGACGACGAGTTCTACGTGCCACCAATACCGGGACATCATCGGACATACTACGATTATGAGGACGACGATTTCCATATCAATCTAGCTGATTTACTACGTGTCGATCCGAAATTGTTCGATCCAACCATGGAATTGAAGCGGGCTCTCGGCAAGACATTCCGCGATGTAACCGGCAACGGCGCTCAGAATTCGCGGAATTCCTCGTTTCGTCCCGCTGGTCGAATTATCAAATCGAAGCCGACGTGGCCGCCATACCGTAATCTCGGTTTGAGTATGGTTTTGGATGAGACCAAACAAGGATATATGTATTTCAAATTCACTCACACTCAGAACTACGAGGCGCTTGAAAGGTTTGAATACTTAAAAAAATTGCAGAGTGAAGATTTTTCTTGTTGATTTAAGGGATATCTTCGAGTGCGAACATTCCGGATCGTTAGATATGCTTCAAGCGATTTGGAATGAAGCGCCTTATCATCTGAATTCGCTTCTCATTTTGGCTCAAATGCACAGTATGCAGGAAAATCTCACAATGGCTATTGATTTGATTGGTAAGCACCAAAAATTGGATTTTTTAAATTAATTTTTTTTTCCAATCATTTTGTTCCATATTTTAAAGAAAAAATTTCGAATTGGAATTTAAAGAAAAACCATGTTAGAATTTCAAAAAAAATTTGAAAAATCATCGTTGATAATAATTTTTATTGCAATTCTCACTATAGTTTCCCAAATATGTTTATCCAAAATCTTTCAGAGCGTGGAATTTTCTACTGCGAGCAAAACTTTTGCGCGAAATTCCAGCCGTTCACGTTCGGCCATTGTATGAGCTACGATGTCTATGAGAATCGCGCATTCTTCCTTCTTCTCCATCATCACATGCGCAATTGTGTCGAGAAGCATTGCTTCGAGACCGCGTTGAATGTCGCCAAATTCATTTTCAAATTGGATCCGCTTCGTATGTTTGAATTGCGCTCAAAAATGCCGCAACTGTCGCGATTTTCAGATGACAATATGGGAATTCTTCTCTACATCGACACTTTATCGATCAAAGCGCGTCAATACGAGTTCCTTGAGCTCTTCTATGAGGCGTATGAGCACAGCAAGAATTTGCAATTCTTGCCAAATATGGTTTATTCGAGGGCGATGGCTCAATACTTGTATGCCAAGGATCATAAGGATATTCAGAATTTGGCGACTCAGCGGGTATTTTTTTTTCGTTTCATTTTCCTATGAGTTACAATGACGAAAAATATTTAAATGGACCTATTCATGAAACCTTTTTTTATTTAAAGAAAATGTAAAAATTAAACTTATATCGAAAAATTTTAGATCGAAAATCCGGTTTGATAAAAAACCATCTGCGGACAATTCGCTGGTTTAATTGTGTAGTTTGTTTTCAGCTAATTCACGCGATTCGCAGCTTCCCAACTGTGGTGACGTCTCTTCTCGATGAACTCCAAATCCATCCGGATCCGCTGCTGATCAATCATAGGCATTTCTCGGCGTTCGCGAGCAACCGCGAGCCGGTCGGCCTTCGCGACCTCATCAAAATCTATGTGAAACTCTCGGCGGACTTGTGGCGAGAGCCGACGGCACTTCGTTGGCTCGAAGAGACGACGAGAAGTGTTGCTGAGGATGTCGACGATGCTCATTCGAAAATAATGAACCAATGGAAGGAGAAGAGGCCCGCGATTTTCACAGGTCGCGCGATCAACGTGACGAGATTGGCAGCGATTCTGGGTTATGATCAATGCGATTCTGTCACTAATCCGTGTCCGCCGCCTGGTGAGCCGCCAAAGTGAGACCGTTTTTTTTTCTTTTCGAGATTGTATAAAAATCAGGGTTAAAACGTAGATTAGACCCCTAAAAATGAAAAAATTTCGACTAGTTAAGTTTGAGGGGGCTAGTGAGCCTTCCAACACCTTAGATAAGCATGTTTAAAGGGGGGGCGAAACCAGGTGCACCTGCTGTCGCACCAACTAAGTTTTATCCCGAAATCGGAGTTGTTCAGATTCCTTCGTGCTGCTCCAACGGTGACGAGAGGCACTGATAGTATGTTCGTGTCATTCATACGCTCGATGTACCCAGATTATCAAGTGGCGGTGAGCAATAGAAAATTGGAGCCTTAAAAAAAATGATTGTTTCTTTTATTAAGGATCCCGGGAATTTTGGCGCGATTCAAGCAATAATTGAGCGAGCGCGTTTGGAATTCCAGCGATTGGCTGCGCCGGCTAGACAGCCGCAAGTTGATACTGGACAAGAGCCGATTGTGATTGAAAGTGATACTACTGATGGCGAAGAGGTTGATGATGGGGATGCTGATGAAGCCGAAGAGGAGCCGGCCGATCGGCAGCAACGCCAATAACTGAATTCGTCCAACTATTTCTTCTTATTTTTTATTTGTTTTTTTTTTCCTTCTTCTCTGCACTGCATGTATTTATTTAGTAAATGATAAATGGATAAAGGCACCGGATTGGATGAAAATAGATCACACGATGAATGTGAAATACCCGATTTGGCGATTATTCAACTCAAAACCAATTAATTACGAGTGCCTAGTAGATGCGCCGATAATGATGGTTTGAGGTATTCGAACATGATCACGAGGAATACGACGGCGCAAATGTACATGCTGAGAACGAGTGTCAATTCGGTTCTGAAATTCTTCAATTGTTTATGCCGCGGAAATTCCGTCGGGGGGAAAACAAACTCACAAACTTCAATAAACGACAGTAACGGGAATGCTCGACTATTTTTTAATAACAAGAATCGCCGAGTTGGAATGCGTGGATTATTGAGGATGTTCTCACCTTGTAAGTGTCACACCGGCAACTTCATCGCGCATTTTGAGCTGCTCATGTTCATCGCCATCTGAAAATTAAAAAATCGAAATAATTGTTAGGCATTTGCAATTTTTTCGAATCGAATTCGACAAATTTCGGCTCCGAAATTGACCTGACTCGCTTCACAATCGAATAAAAAAATTTTCGAAAAGAGCAATGAAATGCGACAAATTTTGAGCCAAAATTGATCAATTTCGAAATTTGTCGATTTCGATTCGAAACCGAATTATCATATTTTAATGGTACTATGCAAATTTCGCAAAATACTCAAAAAAAAAACACTCTGCTCTCAAAAATTCTGTGGCAGATGGCAGAAAAAAACTCCAAAAACCTCGGCCGCGTCCAAAAAAAATCAAATCGTTCCAAGAATCATGAAATTTTATCTCATGCGCCTTTAACCGCTTTGGTTTTAGGGTTTCTATTTTTTTCTGTTGTGATTAAAGGCGCATAAACAAATAAAATTTTTGGAACGATTTCATAGAAAACTGCGGTATTGTAGGCTTCGAAAAACCTGGCCGTGGCCGTTTTTTTGTAGTTCTTTTTTTTTTCAGCCATCCGTCTAGCGATTTTAAGGGTTTTTGAGTTTTTTTTTTGCGCAATCTGCATATCACCACAACAAAACATATTGTGCCTATGTAATTTTCTCAACTTTAAAGTTTTCACATCTGCGGACAATATTTAATTATTTAATGTTCGCCGTTTTTTTTCTTTTAAAAAACCGCCCAATAATACAAATGTTTTATTTGCAATAAAATTGAATAAATTACGATTGAGTAACAGTGGCGGTCCCAAATTCATCGAGCTGTTATTGTGCACAGTTCGCGAAATCGACGAATGCATCATCGTGCTCGGCGATTTTTCGAGCCCAACCGAGTATCACCGCGATTATTTATTTTTTAGATGGGTAGAATGGAAATAATTCGTTGATAATGACGAGAGGAGTGAATTAGAATACCATTCGGTTACGCGCAACACTGCAAACAAACAAGAATGAATGAGCGATTGAAGAGAGCCGATCGAGAAGAATTATTGGCCTATTCAGTGAAATGTCTGCTGCTCATTTCATCATATATCACTCTAATCAACCATATTATTACTAAAATGGCAGCAAATTAAAAATGCGCGGCCTAAAATTTCAATTTCGTGGACTAACTTTGAAATTAGTTGACACAAATTTTACCATTTATGCATTTTTTATTTAAATTAGGCAATATTTCAAATTTGTGAACTCGTTGTAAGAAGAATTTTAAATAAAATGTGAGAGATTTTTGGAAAATAAAAAAGTGTCGTGCATTTTAACGTCTCGGTGTTTTAACAAATTGTGCTCTACAGTAACCATTGAAAAAATTTTTGTTTATATTTTTGTGGATATTTGTTTCCTCGATTCTGAGATTATTGAAAAGATTAAATAAGCATCACATCACTAGTAGCGTGAGAAGCCGTAGTTCAAAAAAATACTTAATGCAAATTCGAATTAAATTCGGCTAGAATTTTCGGAATGACAAATAAACGTCGATATTGCCTCATAATAATTAAATGTGCGTTTCAAATAGCTGGAAAAAAAATGAACGAAAAATTTTATGCGCTATTCCATTGGATCCATATGGATTTTTACGAACCTATAAAATCCATATGGACAAGTGAGTAAGTTGAATGAAAACAAAAATGAAGTAGTAACGGAGTTTTGAAGCCAGACATATACGAGTTGATGAGATTTGAAGATAAGTGCATTCGGATTAGGGAAATGAAGTGAGCATTTTAAAGGGAATACGTTTTTGAACGTTGAAATGAAACGAACGGGTCTCACAACGGCAATTTTTTTGGCGAATTGAATCTTAATATGAAAGCCGTATGTAAAATTCGAGTTTCCGCGGAAAATCGACATTGGGCATACTCTAATCTTTGAGGCTCAATACGACTGCGGACACCTCGCGGGTTTCTGTGTACTTCATACGGACAATGAAAAAATCCGAACTCGTGAATCACATGTTGCGAGACCCAACTTGATAATTGTTTAAGTGTTTTAAATTTGTCATCGCTTCATGTTCATTAGAGCGCACTTGCGAATTTGATCTAAACAAAGTTGTGGTGATATATAATCGTTTTAAAATACGCATAATATCGGAAGTGAAAGAGCCAGCCGTATATTATATTTGATAAAATGTAGCCAAATGAGAAAAGAAGAAGAAGAAGAAGAGACTACAACAACAAAATAATCAATGAGGTGTGCGTTGACGTAAATCATCAAAAGCAGAGGAACTGATTATTATTATTACAAGCGGATAATGCGATTTCGAGTGAATCATTCGTTTTGATCTACCGGAAAGAAACGAGTGGCGTTTAAAGGCGCATGCGAATTTCTCGTTTTAGCTTCCCCCCCTCCAGAAAAAATGGCGTGCGTGTCGTTTTCATTTGGTGGGAATGTCAGTCGTCGCCTTGGTGAGCATCGCTCGCAAAAATATATAAATAAAAAAAATATATATGATGTATTTTATATGATATTCATCTAATGAATTATTGATAAGAGTGTGTGAGGTTGATTGCGAGGAAGGCGGGGGGAAATGGGGGAAGCCGGGGCGAGAAGCGACAGGAAAAAACAAGAAACACATGCGAATTGGCTGCTAATTCGATAAATGTGTCGCGAATTTTGTGCAAGAAAAAAAACGCTACCTGATTCTCGTCACGAAATCTTTTTTTTGCGCTGCGCCTTTAAAACGGGTCTTACCGCGTCTTTTTTTTCGAATTGTGCACCTCCTTTAAAAAGTTGGATGTGTCTCCCTTTAAATTTCGACGTGCCCTTCTGATATTCAAATTTTTTTTTTGATTCGCGGCGAGACATTCCAAAATCTCGTTTCTTCTTGAATTTGGGTCTCGCAACGAATCGAGACAATCCCAAGTTTTCGACTATTTTATAAATAATTTCAGAAGAAGATTAAAAAATGGATTATTTTGGGGATCGTGTATTGCCCGTAAATCGACACAGATTAAAGGTGCATCGCCATCTTATCCTTCTAGACGAACAAAATTGAGGAAAGTGCCAACTTCAAAATCAAACGAGACCTCAAATTTTGAGATTTTCGGGTGTTCAAAAAAAAGTTGAATTTGAAGATAGATACAGTATTTGCCACGTGGCAGAGATCAGAAGGAACCCAAATCATTGGGGACCATTAATCCCATAAAAATGATGTTCATTTTCCAGATTTTATCTGGAAAATTAGAGATTTCAGCGCGCAAAAAAACCATGAAATTTTGAAAAAGAAGAAGAAAAAAATGAAACTCACTTTGAACGACCCTCCTCGAATTGAACATGTCTGTTGTGTCTGAAAATTTCAGAAATTGCATTTTGCTGGAAAAACCTCAAAAGGCACCGAGATAACAAAATACGGACACCGGCGAGAGGGGGGGGGGAGGTGTCGTTGCTGATTTCAGCAGCGATGTTAAGCCGCCTCTGATAATATGCGAGACGGGGGCGAGAGAGAGTGAGAGAGAGAGTGTGTTGAATGGCGAGACGCAGATCATCAAAAAAAAAAGAAAGAAACCTGAAAAAGAATGAATGGCTGAATAAATGACGGGGAACCGGCGAAGCTGTGCATCGGCGCGTTGCCGTGTGTCCGAGCCGAGCCGAGCCGGGCCGGCTCAAACATGTGTCGGCGCGTTTCGTTTTTTTTTTTGCTTTAAAATCGACACCACACAAATTGGTGTGCATTCCTCGATATATTTGAATATCTGCCTAATTTTCAATATCATCAATCAACCAACAAGCCGGAATTATTCAGCATTCTCATTGGGACCCTCATAGAAGAAATTTCCGACCTCTCAATTCTTTTCAACAACATTCCGATTAACTGCTTGCTTTTTTTACAATTTCATGAGATTTTTTAAATTGCCACTTCAAATAAATCGTTGAGAAATGACAAAAATGTATCCAGGTGTCGTGGGATTCTGCGTATTGTACGCAATGCGATAAACCAGTTACCGTAATCCTCGCAGCGATTTACGCGGGACTTTTTTAAATTTCCTATTTTTTTTTTCATTTTTTTTAAATTTTTCGCTTAATTTTCCGATTTTCTTTCGCAATTGTTTATTAAAAATCTGCAGAAACCGATTTAAATCAATTTTTAGCAGAATAGGCACTTTTAAACTATATATATTTTTTGGTAAAAACAGCAAAAATAAAAAAAATGAAATTTAAAAAAGTCCCCAGTAAATCGCTGCGAGGATTACGGCAACTGGCTTATCGCATTGCGTACAATACGCAGAATCCCACGACACCTGGATACATTTTTGTCATTTCTCAACGATTTATTTGAAGTGACAATTTAAAAAATCTCATGAAATTGGAAAAAAGCAAGCAGTTAATCGGAATGAAAAATACAGTCGAGTCTATTATAGAGGAATTTTGTGAAGATCGAGACACACAATCGAGTTGTTTTTCGGAGCAAATCGAACTGTTCAGAAAATATGACTTGGCTGAATGCCAAAAAAGAGCAATGACAGTGGTCTTGGCGCATATCTAAAAGTGTAGATTTACATTGTATTGTTAAGGATAGGTTAAAGGCGCACAGCTGTGGTTGCTCAAAACCAAACGGATCGGACGAAATTCGCCGGCGGAATCAACCCGAAAATTAGATCCGATTGGTTTTTTTTTTCTGGGTATTTGTCGGATCCGATTCGAATTGAAAAATTAAAACAGAACGGATTCGATGCAATAAATATCAAATCGGAACCGACAAATTACCCACCTGATCGCGTTGATTCCGGAGCCGAATTTTGAGAGAGATAGATCACTTTAAACTCTTAGCCATTTTTTCCCAACAATGCCAATTTAAACCCTTTCTTTTAATTCAGAAATTCTAGCGACATGGCGCATCGGATCATAAATATAGTCCAATCGTTTGGACCGAAAATTTTACCGACACACCAAAATTTAAATTTGAAAGATTTATAGCGTAAAAATCAGTGTAATTCTTAAAATTTGAGTGTCGCTATGGAATTTTGCAATTTTTTAGCACTAGCCTGATTTGTTTTTTAAAAATGCACAATTATTTTGGGATAAGATCAAATTATGAAATTAAATAATAGTCTTGAATGGTTTGACTTTGTTGGACCCTCAAGCATCTTGCAACGGGACGGGCCAGGGTGAGAATATTATTAACCCGCCCGACACGCTAATTAATTTTTTGAAGAAAAGTTTATTATAAAAAAAATCAAAAATAAAACTAAAACAGTGAAAGCTAGTTCAATCAATTTTGTTTGGGAACCTCTTTTCTTCCAACAAAAATTAATTTTGCTCTATTGTAGAGCAGGCGGGAACGACATTTCTCAAAAAAAGAAGCCGGCTGTTAAAATTGGAGTGTCGTTGCGGGTCGACTCGGAAATTTGCAAGTGTGCCTACAAAGGGCATCTCAAATTTGATTCTGAGGGTTATCGTTGAAATGATGTCTCGCTTTCTGGAGGCAGGTTGGAGATTTTTAAAAAATCGGAGAAATGCATTTCTAAAAGAGGTTGGATTGGTTGGAAATGTGTGCAATATTGCGTGCGCGTGTATCAACTTTTTGCATTTGATCCACGTGTAATCAATTCGAAATACAAACAAATGGGCACCGCAATTTTGTTTAGACAAGGATTGTTTTATTGTTAAGGCCAAAGGCGTAAAGCTCAAAGAGCATTCAGCGAAAATTCAAATAAAATTTCAAATCTAGTTTCAATAAGCCATAATTATGAATAATTTGGGTGGAACTAATAATTATAAACGAAAATTTTCTAGTTGAAACATTACAAAAAATTGAAATAAGAAGGAACCACCCAAATTGGTGTGGGCGTTTTGTTCAAAAATACACAATGAAACCACTCGATGGCCACTTTTCCGTTCTCATTTTCACCCCCAATTTTCTATTTATATTCTCACACTCGCGATTCGAGCGATTCGAGATTGAGCAATTGAAAACAAAAACGAATCGAAATGCTGAAAATTTGAAGGCAATTCGAAAACGTGCGATTTTTTGCAGGCAAACAAAAAAAATAAGAATGAAATAAATGAGAAGATGGACGAAATTGCGTCGAACCAACAACACGAAAGCAAACAAAAGGGATCAGCATCGGCTCGGAATCGCGAATCTTGCCAATCGGATGTTGGGTAAACTTGCAAAATGCTACTTGACCTATTGGACACAAAAATCAACGCAAACGAATCGGTTGCGTCTTGTCGCGATCGAGTTAAATAAATTCGGGTTGGCTTGAAACATCCACAAAACTCGAACAAAAATATTGCTACAGCCACTCATTTTTTGAGTGTAACTTTGTCAATTGTGAAAATTTTCAAATTCTGATTTCAAATATGAATTTAGCGCTAAAAAATACGTATGTGTACCAATTTTCATAATATTATTTGCAAAATTGGGCAACAAAAATACTGAAACTCAGGGGCGACGTTATAAGTGTGAATCGCACTGAATTAAATACGGAACCTCGTTGAAGCGTCCCTCTGAAATTGGTAAAATTCCAGATTATTTAAGCTCTCCTCTACACCAGAGCTGCACGGAACTTAAATTTTCTAAAAATGGAATTCGGAACAAAAAATTGTTGGACTGAATACGGAAAACGGAACACAAAGTTAATCGAACTCGAATATTTTGAAATTAAATGTGCAAAATGTGAGATTTTCCAAATGCTCATTCGATAAAACAAGGACCTTTTTTTTGTCGAACAAATTTCTCCGGATGTGCTCAAAAACTTATTAGATTCGCTACACGTGCAAAATCTACAATTAAAACTGAGTTTCTTGTTTTTTGGAAACCGATGTCGTTATTACGGAGATCGAAAAGGCGAGTTGAAGGTTCTTGCCAGCGGTAATTTCAATTTTCCCGGCCACGCAAAATTCCAACGGGCGCCCAGAGACACTTTTTTTTAAATTTCAAATTTCGATCAGTCGTTTGAAACGAAAAAAAAAATAATATATTTAAATAAATTATATTATTTACTAAATTGGTCCATTTCTACAGTGCTCCACATAATTATACGGTCAATTGATTTTTTCTCAAAATTTCGAAAATTTTGAAAGTTTCGGGAAATCTTCCCATTGAATAATTATCCACATTTAGCAGCATTTCATCTGTTTATAACAAAAAATTACAAAAATAATTGTACATAATCTTATCATAAAATTAACAAAAAATTGAAAATTTTCTTCCACATAATTATACGGTCAGTAATGAGATATGATGCAAAACGATTCAAAAACGTAAAAATAAACAAAGAACAATTCTTAATAATCAACTGTACCACCATTGCATCTGACTATATCAAAAATACGGTTATCCATTGATATATATAGATTATCAAGAAGTGTTTGATCAACAAGTTTCCATGAAGCGATAATCGCTTTTTTGAGGTCCGAAACATTGTCATAACACTTGTTACCCTCATAAATTTTTCGTACCATAAATCCCCACAAATTTTCGATTATGTTCAAATCAGGAGAACAAGCGGGCCAATTCAAAATTGGGATCTTTCTGTCATTTAACCATTTGATTGTTCGACGAGCACGGTGACACCGCGCTCCATCTTGCATAAAAATAAGCTGGCGGTTGCGATTTCGGTGCCAAAATGGCATCAAACCACGCCTCAGTGTATATCTGTAGTCGGAGCCACTCATTTTTTTCGAAACAAAGCATAATTTGATGCGACCGTGTGAACTGATTGCGGCCCAAACCATTACACCTCCTCCTTTAAAGTTTCGGCGGGAATAACGCAGTTTCTGTTTACGAAGATTGTGCCAGTAATTGCGGAATCCATCTGGTCCATCGCAGTTAAACTTTTTTTCATCGGAAAAAATAACCTGACATATGAAACCAAATTTAAAGAGTGCAGCTGCAATCCTAACCTGAGTCCAATCAGTATGCTGATTCTTTTTGGCGAATTGCAATCGATTTTCTCTGTGGATTCGGGTCAGCATTGGTCCTTTCCTCATTTTCCTGTTTTTAATAAACATGCTCTTGCTTAAAACCCGTCGGACGGTTTCATTGGAGACGGGAAGTTTGAGTTCGCTTCTGATTTTTGAACAGGAGATGACTGAGTTTGATGCTCTGCGTAGAATTCTACGCTTTTCTCGGTTCGAAAGGAGAGATGGGCGGCCATTAGACTTTTTCGTGCCATATTCTGCTGGATTGGCCGCATATCGAGAAATTACGTCTTGCGAACGGCCCATATCTCTCGAAATTTGACGATGAGAGAGCCCTTGGGCTAATTTAGCGTCAATTTGACCTTTTTCATACTCTGTGAGCTTTTTTCCTCTACTCATACCTAGAAAACAATAAACGTTTATTTAAAAAATTTTCGAGTACTTGAAAATTGAAAAAAAAATTGAAAAAAGGTCAAAAAATAAAAGTGACCGTATAATTATGTGGATTTTTTTTTTCGCACTTTTTCGAAAAAAATGAAAAAAAATTCGTTGGTCATGTTAATTTCGTATTTGCTTCAGGACCCAAACTGGATGGTTCGGGATATTCCTTTTGCTACCAAAACAAAATTGTATTCCCATATAGCAACTCCGTTTTTGTTATTTTTGTTGTTGACCGTATAATTATGTGGAGCACTGTAGATGCGTTATTGTAGTACTGTGGCACTAAAAGAAAAATTGAAAGGGATCGACAGACTTTTTGAGCAGAGACCCCAAACCACTTAATATTCGTCGGAAAGATTATTTATTAAAAGCAAACAAACGATGCAATTAAGAGATGACTTTCGGAATTAAGCCGCAAATGTAACCTTGTCGTTCACGATACACTCTATAAGAAGAAAATTGAAATTCTACAAGTAAATGAGGCTCATACGCAAGATCATTGAAGCATCCTTCGCCATGTTTAATAAACTCGAGACTATTCTCTTGTTCATCCAAATCGTTTGGTTCCTGAGGGCACCAATGGTAGGAAATGAAGTTTAACTTCGAGTTTGGTGCCAATCCATGTTCCCATATAAACGTGTGTGCCTTAATACACGAAGTACAGTGATAATCCCTTCGGCCGCCAATGAACGCATGTGTGAAGTCCCCAGGCATTAAATCTGAAATAGAAAAAATATATAAATTCGATAGACGAGAAATTCTAACCCATGATGAATTTCATTTCATTTACTGTGTGTATCGCTGTTGGTTTCGCGTTATGTTTATCACACAATGCTTCAACTTCTCTCTGAGCTACTGTTTGTCTGACCACCTGTAAATTTAAAAATTAGTTACTTGATATTGTCGATTAGTTTTTACCAAATGACAAATAACGCGTTCTCCTTCTTCGAATCGATGGAAACCCTTTGGACATTCGGCATATTTCAATGAAATTACGCCTGCAATAATTTATCTTCGTTTTTTTTTTACATTACATAATAATTTATTTTTAAAATTATTTCGTATATATTGAAATCTTACTTGATTGGCAATACATTGGGGCCCTTAATCCCATAAATTCAAAACACATCATTCTCGATTTATCCACAAAGTCGACCCCGAGAATTTTGCCATTTTGTCTGAAACTTGTCATTTATGACTAGAATTTTGAAATTAGCTACCTATTAGCAATTGAGCATAATTGGCTTGGTGTGTTAGGGTCGAAGACAACATTGTTAAGAAGTTCTGGATCACCAACTGTCATACATTCTTCCTAGAAAAATAAGAAGCTAAATTGTCAAAAATAAAAATAAAATTTTGCAAACTTTTCCGCTAACGAGATAGCAGAACTTCTTTTCATTTCGATTCATTCTCATTGTACTTAATATTATTTTCGTATGATCGGTTAACGGAGACGTGACTTTTTCAGTAATTTCTCGAATGTGTTGATAGAATGATCCATGGCCCGCTCCAACGAAAAACGCGTTCAAAATGCTCTTCAAATAATATCGGTTCGATTCTGAAATTTTTTGGTACATACTTTACACTTTTTCTCGAGTTTTGCCATATTATCAGAAGGATTGTACCTGTAATACTCATGGAAATAAACAAATTATTAAGAGAATTTACATACATATATTTGTTAACAGATTGTACCACGAGTTTTTTGTCGAAAACGCTTCCTTCATAGTAGAATTGTGCAATGCGGGACAATTTTGCTTGCAAACCTTGAAAATATTTACAACGTTAGGAAAATTTTTAGATAAAATGAGAATTGAGAAAGGAAAATGGAAAATAGACGTGCATTTCTTCGTCACGGTGATTACACTCTTTATTTCGTTTGGCGAAACAAGAAGGGTAACCTGTCTCGCCGTTTATTTTTTTTTTCAAAAAACCCCTGTCTCGACTCGTTTTTCTCAAATAACGTTCTTACTTGGCACGGTCTCTGCTGGATTATATTCGCAAATAACTTGTGCTACTGATTTGACATCTTCTAGCACAGTCGTACCATACGGCAAGTATTTTCCAATAGCGAATCCGTACAAAATTTGATTCTCGAATCCTTTCCTCCTTTTTGTGATATCAGTTTCAATATAAACCCAAATATGGGACAATGATCCGAAAATGAGGTTGAAATGATTAACAAGCTGTGAATACGTCAATTTTGCAATTTCGCCGTTGACACTTTTGCACAATTTGTTTGCTTCCTCATAGCTGTACGCCACATTCTTTGCAGTTATTTGATAGCATTTGTCGCGAATTTGGTACCATCCTTCTAGACATTTTTTCTCGGCCTCTGAACAATGTTCGATATTTCAAAATTAGAACGGTCGTTACGAATAGTGCATTTTATAAGGACATCGCTCGCTTTAGAAGCTTTTACAACACGATACGGTAATTTCTTTTTACACAATTTCAGCGCTTCTTTCTAAAAATGCAATTTTGTGCTTGAACCACCCAGTATTTCAAACATCATCTTTGGCATGAGCCTGCACATTGGCATCATTGCAAATGTCGGGTTGGTTTTCGTTAGCTTTCTGAAGAAATTCGTCTGATTTTGAACTGTGCACCATCGAGTTACCTCAGCATCAACTCTAGGAGAAAATTTGCCACTCAGAGCTTCACAGGCTAACTGAAACGACTTGTCAGGCGATTTCGGATTTTCTTGTCCAAATGCGATTTTCGCCAAAGCGAATATAATCAAATACCGAATATAGCCTGCGTTTCAATGCAACTCTGTTCATATTCAAGTGATACCTTCTATTATCATCTTTCTGAATTCTTGCTATTTCCAAGTTTCAGTTTGTATAATAATGAGCTATTGAACATTAATCGTCAACATTAATTTCACGTTTACAGTTTCACCAAAATTTTGTCAATATCAACAATTTTCGTCATTTTTTAAAGTGCGACATTTCGAACTTTATTTATTTTCAACAATTTGTTTTCCAAAAAAGAAAGTAGATTTGTATCAAGATCTGGTCGGGAACCACTAAATATTCCTTGATAATATGTAGTTTAGCTCGTTCTGAATATTATGTTATCGTGTACAAATTAATTTGTTTCCTCACTTGAGCGTTGCCATTGGATCCAATAGTAGTGCTCCTTCGACTGAAGGCAAGAAGATGGTGTCTGGGGGGCGGGATGGCTCACATGATCAATAACCAATTGTTTGATATCATCTTTCCCAATAAGATACTATCCACGAATCCAAAACGGGGATCAAGAAACGTGCACATTAAGAGCCTATCGTTAATTATAACAATTTCAATTCTGAAAAGTGTTCATAATTACTAATTCTGACACAACTATAGTCGGCGTCCGGCGACTGCTGTGCGCGGGTAGCTTTACGCGAATGCGTCTTTCGAAATGGTCTCGCAAGGACTAACAGGTTATTTCAAATTTTATGGACCGGTTCGATAATTTTTTAATCGAATGACGTTTAAGGAAATACGAAACTTGTCAAGAAAAATGAAGCAGTTCACGTGAAAACAACACAATAAGCATACACGCGTGGCGAGAAATCTACTAGCGTACAGCAGTCGCCGGACGCCGACTATACTTACCTTTTGCCATTCTCCACTTTGAGGGCTCACGACAGTAGCATAATCGGATAACACACTTTGAAATACTGGGAATACCTCTGATAGGTAGGAAAAATCACTTTGGAGCTGAAACCGTGCCGTGATTTTTATGATTATCGACAACCTGCGCACGTTTTTTTTACTGTTAAATGTACTACTTCTAAAAGCTAAATTGATTCGCTTGAAGTAGTTTCCTGTGTTGGCTTTGGCAATTGCGGCGTGAGTGACGGTACTTCGTAAATGGACCATTTATTACTATTTTAGCAAAGTATATAATGTAATTCATCGAGTGCTAGGCAATGGAACTGGCAGGGGGGAAAAATTGAAAACTTTTCTCGTGCTTTTAATTGAAAAAAAATCAGTTCTTAGGCATTATTAATTCAAAATACCTTTAAGCTTGCGAACTGAATAGTATAATTTATTAGTGCGTTGTAGTTTTAAACTAGTTTACTTTCAACTTCCTCTCGAATTCAGAATTTACATAGGACACATGAGAACTATATACATGCAGCTTACTCTGTTATCATGTATGTACTTCTTTCAATTCTTTCTTCAACGCCTTCTTATAATTTTCTGATGCCGAAGTAATAATTCGTTTAAATTGTTTTGCAGAAGGAAGAATAAATTCTGCATTTAATGAAGGCACAAATAATATGAAATGCTCATTTTCCACGAATCGAAATTGAATTAACTGCCTCGCAACGCTCCTGAAATTTAAACGCATCGACCGAAAAGAAAAATAGAAACTGACAACGCTAATTCAGTAGCTTCTTCTTCTAGCGAGGACGTGTTGGGTTTAGATGGTTCACTGGAAACACTTCTCGTCTGCAATAAACTCATTAATATACTGGCGATGGTGAAAGGAGCACGAGTGAATCGCGATAGTAGTGCAGTTTTAAAAATTTACCTTTCTCACGTATTTGTCCATTTCATTGCAGTGTTTCTTGTTGAGATGGTTCAAAATCGAACTCGTAGATCCTTTGCAAACCAATTCTTTTTTTGCATAGTTTGCAGGCAACAGTTGAATTATCAACCGAGTTTGTGGCAAAATGCCACATTTTGGACGTGCACGACGATTTCGTGGATTATGGCATTTCAAAAATTCTAAAAAGTTAAAAAATGAAATATCTTCGCAGAGATTTGAACTCACGTCAGGGTGGGTTGTGTTCGGGAGCACGTTGCCCAGGGCCGTGTGTTGCGGCGGTGAGAATGTGTTTCCGACGGTCATTGCTATAACGAGTCAAGTATTCGATCGAGCATATTTTGTCAACATGAGACACGAGTGAAGAGGGTAAAAACTCCAGCCAAAACGACGAACAACTGGCACCTTGTTCCACGCTTTGGTAACTCAAAACCAATCGGATCCGACAAAATTCGGCTCCGGAATCAACCTTATCCGATTGGTAATTCCTCGGATAATATTGTAAAATTGTCGGATCCGAATGGTTTTGAGTTACCAGAGCGCGCACCCCGTTTTGCCTATGCGGTTACTGTATCCGTAGTATAATTGTGCGCGGTCGCTCGGCTGAGGGCGATTTACGCGGCGCATTACAAAGGGGTTAATCGCTCTTTTTTGCGAAAATATAAAAGTCGCGAGATTTTTGACAGCGCTCGACCCACGAAAGATCATTTATTCCGCAAAAAAGCAAACAAACGATGCAATTAAGAGATGACTTTCGGAATTAAGCCGCAAATGTAACCTTGCCGTTCACGATACGCTCTATAAGAAGAAAATTGAAATTCTACAAGTAAATGAGGCTCATACGCAAGATCATTGAAACATCCCCCTTGAAGATTAACAAGCTCCAAATAATTTTCTTGGTCATTCAAATCGTTTGGCTCTCCAGAGCACCAATGGTAAGAAATGAAGTTTAACTTCGAGTTTGGTGCCAATCCATGTTCCCATATAAACGTGTGTGCCTTAATACACGAAGTACAGTGATAATCCCTTCGGCCGCCAATGAACGCAGATATGAAGTTCCCAGACATTAATTCGAAAATGAAAAAAAAGTTAATTCAAATAAAGAGAAATTCTTACTGAGGAGGAAATTCATTTCACCTATTGTGTGTATCGCTGTTGGTTTCGCGTTATGTTTTTCACACAATGCTTCAACATCTTTCTGAGCTACTGTTTGTCTGACCACCTGTCAATTAATTATTTGAAAATGTTCGATTACTTTCTAGGCAGATGTTTTTGCCCACCCACCGATTGGGAATTTCATTTTAATTTTGCACACAAATATGTAGTTTGCATAAATACCTAATGAAGAAAAGATGAAAAGGAGTCAAGCCGATCGTATTTTTCGTTTTTCAGATCACGGCGCGGCTTTGTAGTGATTATAGTGTGTGTACTGCACTTGATGACAGAAGGTTCCAGCGCCTTTAGGTGGCAATGAAGAGCTTCTGGCTGATAATCGACGAAAGTTGTTTCTACGGGAGCGTTATTTATGGGGAAAGGGTTCCAATTCAAACGGATAACTGTTTCATCTATTCTAGACGTTCAAATTTCAATGCAATTTGATTGCAAACAAATTTTGGCTAGAAGAGGCTTCTTGATAGCTCACGCAGATTCGTTCGAACTGTCGCTGCTCGCCGCGCCAAACCCTCCGCGCGGTACAAGCGCAGAAAGTTGTAGCGAGCAAAAAATCCACTGTAAAACGAAAATTAAAAAAAAAAGGTCCAAAATTAGAAACTTTGGACCCACAATTTTCGGACTTTTTGAAACTTACAGAAAACGGCATATCTTAATCGCTAGGGAATTTTGTAAACATTTTGTGCGCAAAATTTGAAAAAATTACCAACCGATAGGCAAAAACACCTCTCTTGTTTCTACCAAATGACAAATAACGCGTTCTCCTTCTTCGAATCGATGGAAACCCTTTGGACATTCGGCATATTTCAATGAAATTACGCCTGCAATAATTTATCTTCGTTTTTTTACATTACATAATAATTTATTTTTAAAATTATTTCGTATGAATTTAAATCTTACTTGATTGGCAATACATTGGGGCCCTTAATCCCATAAATTCATAACACATCATGCTCGATTTATTCACAAAATCGACCCCGAGAATTTTGCCATTTTGTCTGAAACTCGTCATTTACATGTCTAGAAATTTGAAATTAGCTACCTATTAGCAATTGTGCAAAATTGGGTTGGTGTTGTAGCATCGAAGAGAACATTGTTAAGAAGTTCTGGTTCACCAATCGTCATACATTCTTCCTTGAAAAATAAGAAGCTAAATTATCAAAAAAAATTTTGCATACTTTTCCGCTAACAAGATAACAGAACTTTCTCTCATTTCGATTCATTCTCATTGTACTTAATATCATTTTCGTATGATCGGTTAACGGAGACGTGACTTTTTCAGTTATATCTCGAATGTTTTGGTAGAATGATCCGTGGCCAGGTCCAACGAAAAACGCGTTCAAAATGCTCTTCAAATAATATTGGCTCATTTCCGAACATTTTTTTGGTACATACTTTACACTTTTTCTCGAGTTTTGCCATATTATCAGAAGGATTGTACCTGTAATACTCATGGAAATAAACAAATTATTAAGAGAATTTACATACATATATTTGTTAACAGATTGGACCACGAGTTTTTTGTCGAAAACACTTCCTTCATAGTAAAATTGTGCAATGCGGGACAATTTTGCTTGCAAACCTTGAAAATATTTACAACGTTAGGAAAATTTTTAGATAAAATGAGAATTGAGAAAGGAAAATGGAAAATAGACGTGCATTTCTTCGTCACGGTGATTACACACTTTATTTCGTTTGGCGAAACAAGCAGGGTAACCTGTCTCGCCGTTTATTTTTTTTTTCAAAAAACCCCTGTCTCGACTCGTTTTTCTCAAATAACGTTCTTACTTGGCACGGTCTCTGCTGGATTATATTCGCAAATAACTTGTGCTACTGATTTGACATCTTCTAGCACAGTCGTACCATACGGCAAGTATTTTCCAATAGCGAACCCGTACAAAATTTGATTCTCGAATCCTTTCCTCCTTTTTGTGATATCAGTTTCAATATAAACCCAAATATGGGACAATGATCCGAAAATGAGGTTGAAATGATTAACAAGCTGTGAATACGTCAATTTTGCAATTTCGCCGTTGACACTTTTGCACAATTTGTTTGCTTCCTCATAGCTGTACGCCACATTCTTTGCAGTTATTTGATAGCATTTGTCGCGAATTTGGTACCATCCTTCTAGACATTTTTTCTCGGCCTCTGAACAATGTTCGATATTTCAAAATTAGAACGGTCGTTACGAATAGTGCATTTTATAAGGACATCGCTCGCTTTAGAAGCTTTTACAACACGATACGGTAATTTCTTTTTACACAATTTCAGCGCTTCTTTCTAAAAATGCAATTTTGTGCTTGAACCACCCAGTATTTCAAACATCATCTTTGGCATGAGCCTGCACATTGGCATCATTGCAAATGTCGGGTTGGTTTTCGTTAGCTTTCTGAAGAAATTCGTCTGATTTTGAAATTTGCACCATCGAGTTACCTCAGCATCAACTCTAGGAGAAAATTCGCCACTCAGAGCTTCACAGGCTAACTGAAACGACTTGTCAGGCGAATTCGGATTTTCTTGTCCGAGTGCGATTTTTGCGAGAGCGAATATAATCAAATACCGAATATAGCCTGCGTTTCAATGCAACTTTTCAATGCAAAGAAGTTCATATTCAAGTAATACCTTCTATTATCATCTCTCTAAATTCTTGCTATTTCCAAGTTTCAGTTTGTATAATAATGGGACACTGAACTTTATTGGCAACATTTATTTCACGTTTACATTTTTACCAGAATATTTCCCCCGAATATTTTTTGCAGCATTCGATATTATAGGAAGATGAATTTGAAGTCAGTGTAAGTAATAAAACCATTTCGATTATTCTCATTATTGTTTTAATTTAAAGGCGCACAGCATTATGTCGGCGTGTAGTCTTCCAACGAATATCCCAAATTCGATATCGAATTGGGCAATTTCAAATATTCTCGTAATTTTTTTAATGTCGCTATTTAGCACTTTATTTATTTGAAACAAATTGATATTTTAGTTGAAAATGAGCGATGATGATAAGCTTCTTGAAAGTATGCTCATGTTGCCGCCGCCAAATAAGGTGCATCAAGTGCAAGAGAAAAGAAAATTGAGAAGAGAAGTTGCCCAAAAAGTCATCGAATTCCGGAAACGACCCAACGCTATAAAGTTTTAATTCAGATCATCGAATACATCAAATGACTCAAATTTCAGATTATCGCGCCAAACTTTGATTTGGGATGCGTCCAAAAATTCGTAAAAATTTGCAACAAGTTGTTATTCTTAAAAATTGATTTCAGTTTCAAATACTGCACACTCTGTAAAGGAAGAGCAAACGTTAATAACGTGTTCACTGAGACCTGGGAAAGAGTAATTATCTGTTCCGCGAGATGGACGAGCTCATTTTCCAAAAAATACTGCAACTGGATGGTCTCAGAAAAGGCTGTCGTGTATCTCTGCGAATTCGATATGGTCAAAACTGTAAATTTGTTCTCAATGCAAAAAAAAAACATTTGTTTTAATAGTGCATTCAACTCCGTTCAATTATTGTTAGTGATTTGTCGAAACCTTTTGTGTCGTTGAATTCGTCAAAATTCGACGAGTTATGCCGAGTTGTTGCCGTTATATTGGTTTGTTTCTTCGCTCATAGATTTTGCTTAAAACTAATAATGCTAAATTTAGAATGGAAATGTGACAAAATCCACGGTGGCCAATATGTTTATGAATTTCGTGAACAAATATCTTCGGCCGGGATCGGTGAACTGCGTCCAAATATTTAGTGCATGCGATGTTTGCAAATCTCGAAATGGGTGTCTTTGCAAATTGGTAGGCATTTCTCCGATTCTTCTCTAAAAAAAATTTCCACTGTTTTTAGATGACTTCTCCGTTGATGATATGGTGTGATTATTGTAATTCGCTGAAACCAAGCGAAAAAATTGTCGGGCTTCCCGTAGTGTATAACGAAAAGATGCAATGGCTGCTTCGACTCGATGAGAGTGTTGAAGTAAAGCTCCAAACAGCGCATCGTGCCAATCTCTGTGTCGATCATTTCCCGCTTTATTTGCGAGACGAAAATGGAGTCAAGGAAGAATGGATCAATAAGTTGAAGCAGGATAACACGGTATATTTTGAAAATATTTTTTTAAAATGTCTCGCTTTGCAGTTGGTCGCGGTTGGTCGAAAAATCTGCGATTATTGTTACGCTTCGAAACGCCCAACAGAAGTGATCTGTATTGGATTGAATGCGATTCGTACGCGAAAATGGCTGTTCATGCTGGGACCGAGATTTAGTAAAAGGATTGCTGGAAAAACGAACGCCATCATGTGTCGATCCCATTTTGAAAATGGAGCCGTGTCATGGAATAACAAATTGAGAAACAATTATTGCCCTATTCGTGATGCTACTCTTCATTTTAATGAGGCAAATCTGAAAACAAATTAAGCAAGGGAATGCAGAAAAATAAAACAATAAACAAATTTTAAATCTGGAAAAAAGGAAACGATTTTTCCTTTTTTCCTTTTAATTTTCATTTCTCTGCATTCCCCCCCCTTTTTTTTTTTGGAAAATGGTATTAAATATTTCAGGCATACAATGAAGAGGCTTGCAACGAATTAATTGAAGAATGTAAGAGAAACGTAAGAATCGTCTAAAAAATATCGATGGTGCTGAATATTCAGAGGGGCCCACAGGCGGCTTGCAACTTCTGCCATGCTGAACTACCCATCGGTGATTTGCTCTTTTTGACTCAGGATTTTGTACTCAACGCACCATGGCTTTCCTCCTTTGGCAGCGCATTTCTCGAAACAGTCGCTGTATTGAAAAATGTGTACTTGTGCCGATTGCATTTTCCGAGAGAAGCTTTTGGTTTCATGAACAATCTCAAACCCACCTACAGCTTGAAGAAACTATGAAATGTTTTGGGAGATCCCCTTATATATATATATATATATACAAATAATTCGTCCCAATTATAAGTTTGCCTGGAAGTTTTGCTTTTTTTATGTCAATGGAAGTTAATGAAAAAGTTTGAATCAATACAATATCATTCTTCTTTTATTTTACAGTATTTATTTTTTAAAAAATGTGTACCAATCCTATAGCATTTGTTCCGCCCCACTCAAAAATTTGGTGAAAAGTTTTAATTCGCCACTTTTTACATAGAAAATCTTTCGAATTGAATTTTTTAAAATTAAATGTGTTTGCTTGAGACACTACGTCCAGGGTTGCATCGAATTCCGTTTCCGTTTAACATATCCTTATGCATAGTTCCATAAACCTACGCTTAGTTTTGCGCTGGTATTACTGCTCTTTTTTGGCATTTTGATAATTGTTCGCTCATTGTCTGAGATGTACAGTACCGCGCAGTAATATGTATATACAATTTCGCATTTTTTATCATAACTCCGAAAAGTTGACAAATCGATCTGAAATTTTTTTACAAAACGGATAGTGTGTTCCCAAACATTATTTATTTATTTTGGGATACTATAGACGCAATTCTTGTGTTTCTGGACCTTTTGACTACTTTCAAAAATGCGATTTATTTTATTTTTTATTTTTTCCGATTTTTTTAGATTTTCAACGTTAACATCAGTTTTTTATTTGTTTAAGTATGAGAAAAATAAAATGATCCAAAAACATTCTATCAGATATTTGAAAGCAATAAAAAATCACGGAGCACAAGGTCTTTTCATCCAATGTCTCTCACACCAGTTCAACTTATCGACTTGCACCATTCGTGGATGTTTGAAACCTCGGTTCCAAACCACTTGGAAATCCTTCCAAAACATCCTGGGCAATCAATCGCGCAATTATAAAAATCAGAAAGAGCGACCCGCGTCTTTCTGTCTAAAAACCACTCATTTCGGAGAAGAACCGCCGGGCCCGTTTGAAGTGGGGTAAGGAGCTTTTGAATTGAAGGTTTCGACAATAGTCAAAGGTTGAATGGAGTGATGAATCGAAGTATATCTTGCTTGGAACTGATGGAATTACCTTTATAAGACGTCTGGGTGGCAAAAGATTCGATCCAAGGTATCAATTACCAACGGGGAAACATGGAAGGGTTCTTGGATGTTTTACTGCTTCTGGAGATGGCCCACGTCGTCGAATTGAAGGAAATATGAATCGATTTATGTATAAAGACATTCTCGAGAACCATATGCTTCCGTTTGCAAAGTCTTTGCTCGGTGTGGATACTTATTTCATCAGAATAATGATCCTAACTTTGCTCTCGCTTCATCAAAGAGTGGTTCTAGCAGCGTAGGATGGCCGCCATGAACTGACCAAGCCACTCACCTGACTTGAATCCTATTGAACATTTGTGGGAAGGTCTTGGTAGATGTGTTCGAGGCCAAACAGTACAAAATTGTGCCGAAATGTTCGAGCAGCTGAGGAGAGCATGGATGGATATACCAGTTTCAACCCTCCCAAAGTTGACGAGGCCATGGGTCTCCGATATCAAACTGTGATCGATGCAAATGACATGTCAACAAGATATTGAGTTGTTTTAAGTTTCCAGACAGATAATTGTTCTTTTCCATTTCATTTCAAGTCGTACCGGTATCAAAATTATTCATGTCGGTTTTTTGCTATAACGAATTTTTTGATTTTTTGTCAATAAAATTTTTCCTAATGTGTTTTACACCTTCTAATTTTGTTATATAATCACTCTATCGATGCTTAAAGTTGTCCAAAATTTTCAGATCGATTTGTCAACTTTTCGGAAAGTTATGACCAAAAAAGTGAAATTGTATATCTTACTGCACGGTCCGCGTCCAGCCATTGCTTTACGCGGTTGTGTCTTTCTCTTGTTCTCGCGTGGACTAACTGGTTATTTCAAATTGTATGGACCAGTTCGATAATATTTAAAACGAATGACGTGGGAAATTCAAGGAAAAAATCATCAAGAAAAAATAACTGTTTATGTGAAAACAGCAAGATAAGCGTTCACACATTGTGAGACCATTTTGAAAGGCGCATACGTAAATCGCATATGTAAATATTACTGTTAATTGCTAACGTTAAAAAAAATAATTTGCTAGTAAATTATACAAATACTTATTTCAAAAAAATCGCACTACGGCAATTCAAATATGAATTTAAACAATGGGAATTCATGTTTCGTATTTTATTTACTCTTGTATTTTCTGGTTTGAATTAATTTTATCCGTTTTAATGAACGTGCTCTCAATAGCATCACATTTCCCATTTCCCATTTTTCGAGTCCCTATTCTCAAATCACTCTGCGAGATGGTAAATGTCTATCTATTTGTAAGACATTATTTTTGAATGATTCCTTCTCTACCATTCCGTTCTACAGGGTTTATTGGCTTTCGTCCAGACCATACTAGTTTCCATGAGTGTTCTAATCCAATGCGGTGGTAGGAAAGAAGTTGGTGTTTTTCGATGAAATTCAAACATTCGGAAAATCAGAAAAAAGCGAATACGTCGGCGAAGGAGACGATGAAGAAGAAAGCGGCTCCGACGCCCCCGAAGCTGAGTCCTGACGTATTCCCAGTAGCTGCTGATGAAGTTGTCTGCTCGAAAGAAAAGGGTTCGAAGGAATCGAAAGAAGCTTCTCATGATAAGGAAGATGTGTTGTTGGTGAATCCCGAAAATCATGGACGAGACGACAATAAGGTGGCGAAAGTCGTGCAGCCAAGTGAAAAAGATGAATGAAAAATATTAATTTGTTTTTAATGAAAAAAATGTTTGAAATGTCCAATAATTTATGACTGATGATTTTTCTTTTAAATATGAAATTAATTCTTCCGGGAATCCATTCTTCTATGATTCCTCTTCTGCCGATATGGCATCGGTCGACAATATGAGCATAAATCCATTTTTCGGATCGGATCATATCCGATTTGACTTGGTGATGGCGGCGGCAATAATCCAGGAAATGAATTGAATCCGATTGGCTTCGGCGAATTCGGAATCGGAGAGACTTGATAGTTTTGAATTGGCCTCATTGTTTGTTGAATAGTCGGAAGATCCTCTGGTGGTTGTGTCGGAGACCACGAACGGGTTGAAGGAAGGCTCGAGAATGTTGGCGGAGTTGGTTGGAATGAGGTAGGAGAGGGAGAAGAAAATTGAGAAGTTAGTGGTGGCGATTGAAAACGAGAAGACAATGAATACGCCTGAAATTTTTATGATTTCGAATTTTGGTTTTTTTTTCAATTTAAGGGTAACGATCTAGCGGAAAAATGAATGAAAGATACCATCCAAACACGAAAATTTTCTTGAAATGAGAATGGAATTTCACGGCTGGCCGCTTCTCATGCGCGGCCTAGAGAAACATTCAAAAATCAGGTTAGGCCACGGCCACAATTGCAGCCAAAATTGCTGCGCTTGCACACTTCCGCAAATTTAGCGTATTTTCTCTCGCAATTATCTTTCATTTTTTATGTTTAATCTTGATTTATTAAAATTTGAGGTTTGAAAGATACGAAAAAATTCAAAAAAATTGTAGCGTTTTTTTCTCAGAAAACGCAAATTTTGTAGAAAAAATAACCATCTCATTCTCAATTTTGAAATCATATTCGATTGAAATTCTGGAATAATTCGAAACAGATTAATTTACATTCGATTTAGATTGAAAAACGAAGTATTTTCGAATCCGATTGATTTTCATTTTACCTGAGTTTGAATTCTTTAGCGATCGTTTTTTTTTGCAGCAAAGTTGAATTTTTTTCACATAATTAATGCCGTATAATCATCAGAATTTTCAACGTCGAAAAAATAAAAGCTTGCTTCAGCAATCGAGCTGCAGAAGATTTGCAAGTTTTCACTATTTTTTTCAACAATCATTCTAATATTTAATCTCTCTTCTACGATGTTCTCAATCAACTTGATGCGGCACTCCACTTAAATCAAATCAGCAGAAATTTCATTGTAAACATCTGCGGACATTCCCCTGGATAATTGCGAGTTTGTTATGATTTTTTAAAGATTAAAGTTGGCAGAAATTCAAACAAGGGTCATTTGAGGGCCCAGGGGTCATTTTATTTGGGGGGAGTCTTTCCCTATGGTCTCGTCACGAATGAACGCTTATTTTGATGTTTTCGCGTACAATTTTTACATCTCCTTGAATTCAAAATTGATTTCCAAAATAGAATTAAAAGAGAATTCAAAATATTTTTCGTCCGTGCGGGACCATAATTAAAGGCGCATTCTCGTAAATCTACCGAAGACCATTTCTCAGAACTATTAAATTATAAATAAAATGATACCTGCTGAATTTGTTCGGCAATCGTTTTTCCAATAGCTGATCCGAACGCCGACGGATCGAAATTGAGTGGCTTCGGATTCCTAAGAATCCGATTATTTCGAGAATCGCAAATCCATCAAATTACCCGAAAGAAGAAAACTGTTGAGCGATTGGTTGGTGATTCAAAGAGTTTCGGCCATAATCGAAAACCGTCGGCTCATTCTTCAGATATCGATACATTTGACATTGCGGGCACGGAATCGAGCACACACAATGAGCAATGAGAATCAGGAAAAACGAAATCGGCGAATACATGACGAAAACTGATACTGTCGCCGCATTTCGCGTCTTATAGCGCCGATTTTTTTTCTAGAACTGGTTAGGAACAAGGAAACGAGAATGACGGCGCGAACTCGAAACCATTCATCCGCGAGCAACGAGCCGAGGTTGGCGAGCACAAACAAGTGTTGTTGCTCAATGGCGCGTCGACTGAATACAAGACACAACAAAACAGGTGGCGCGCGATTTTTGTTTTGTGTGGTGCGAATAATGTGACTGACGACAACGATCAGCTGATAGTCGAGTTGAGGCCATTTGTTTATTTATTTGAATAAGCTCTGCCAAGGTTTTGCAAATAATTCACGCGTTTTTTTTTTCTTTCAACATGTCCACAGCCAATTTTTAAAGGGACATCGACAGCAGACACTTGCCGCATTGATCTTTTGAACTCTCTCTCTCTCTCTCTCTCTCTCTCTCTCTCTCTCGGAACATTGCATTCGCTGAGGAATAATTTGGGTAAATTATTACCGGAGTCAAAATGATTGAAAGTTCGGCGTAGATCAACGCAATTGTAAATTGACGCTTTGGCTAAATATTGAATGCATAGAAAAGTATTTTCGATCTCTCATTATTTTTTTAACGCAATTTCAATATTACCATCGCAAAAAAAAACGAGCGAAGTGAATAATTGTGGACGATCGCACTTTTTTTCGAGGCGGCAATTCAAATTTGAAGTTAAACTAGGTAGCGAATTTGAGTACCGTACTACGAATAACCTGTGAATCAAACTCGCCGAAAATCGACGCCGGGCGAAATCGAGAAATCAACGAATTTTTGACAAAATTTGAATAATAATCAACGCATCTTCCCTCTGAATTCGTCTGTTCTCGACAATACATTTCTTTTTGTCGTTGTTAAATAATCAAATGACGGAAGAGAGGTGGGGCCTTCGAATTCGCAAAATCAGTGTGGATTTAAATTTTTCGCTGGCCGAATATAAAAAAAAGCGCGTACACTATAATGCAATGTACGCAGTCTCGAGACGCATTCGCACATAGCCAATTATTTTTTTAATTTCGTCAAGTAGTTTGAATCCGACAAAATTTAGCCGCGGGTAAATTCACACATACGAATAGTCGGCGTCGAGTGACTGATTACCTCCATTTCGATAGTTTTTTTTTAATTTTAGCACCTTAAAAGAGCGAAAATTTACGAAAAAAAAACCATTCACACGTGGCGAGATCATGATGAAACGCAAGCCTACCCCACACATATTAGTCTTAAATCGAAAATTGAATTACCATCCGGAATTGTTTGCACGGCCAAGAGGAAGGCCTCCTATGAGATTGTCTGACTCGCTTCGGAAGGAGGTCATCACAAGAACAGCTGAAGAAGCCGTAGTCACCCCGTGGTCCACTGAAGCCAAGGGCGAACCGAATAAGTGACTCAATTCAAGTCAATTGTTCCACGTTCTCCTTTTTTGCGTTTTTTAGCTGCCTTCAAAAGCGAAAAATCAAAACAAAAAAACATCAAAGTATCAACTGGTAAAAATCATTTATTCATACCATATACGAAAATTTAAAAAATGGTATAAAACATGAAATGGTAAAAACGGGCAAGTTTTTATTTGAATTTAAGTTCGATTTGGTAGCTATTCGTTATGAGAACATCAGGTTTTCGGATCGTCAAACTCTTATTTTCTTGATTATAAGAGAACTCGAGCGGCTCAAACGGATCCGAAATGCGAGTTATCTGGCAGATTATCGTTTCATTTTTCCGTACAAAACGCACTTCTTACCTCAATCGATTTGGGCGATCTCTCAATTCCTCGCACAACTATTTTCTCAATTCTGTTCTTCGCACCATATTTTTCACCAATGTGCTCGCCGATAATACTAGCCGTAGTGGTTGATGTTGTTCTAAATTATTAATATTATAATTGAGGTTCCCAATCTTTTTTTTTCTAAACAAATAAAAATGAAACAAATGTTTAAAAAAAAGAGCTAACTCGTAGGTGAAATTCGCCTTCACAAACTCCTCATTTCTGTAGTTATGCGTTTTGCCATCGTCAAGATAAACTTCTCCTTTGGCGTTTCCAGCAGCATCAAGAGCGATGACCAGCGTCAGCGGATCCTAAATTTAAAAAAAAAAACATTAAAATGATAGCGACATCAAATTTCAAACGTTTTTCATAAGATCGGACGATCTACGAATTCGCTGCCACGTTGGAATAATGGAACCACCGCGTTGGAACACAGGGACAAAATCGATTGGAGCGTCGATATTGGCTGAAGATTCGAGGCGTTCAACACCAGATATCCATTCGTACCATCTGACATTCTAAAAGTAGTATTATTATTATGGATAAATTCGTCGGATTTCGCATTCTTAAACACGATGCAAATTTAATTTAGATTCAAAATTGACGCTCACTGGTCCGCGACCAAGTTTCAAAAGTCGATTGTGTTTGAGAATACCCAACTCAAACCTTTTGATCTCCTTTCGGAAATTGCACGTTAACACGGTATGTGTCCTTTTCCAAAACCGGCCGAACCATCAAACCGCTTCCAACCATCCACTGCTTCTGCTCTTTTAGCACCGTCTCGTCGTTTTCGAACTCATAGAACAACGGCCTCATCGGCGGCATTCCATTTTCACTGTGCTCTTGGAAAAGTGTGTACCAGTATTGCAGAAGTGTATAGCGAATACGAATCACATCGCGCAACGAATTTCTCGTCGTCTCGCTGAACAGCCACGGCTCGCGTCGTTTCGTTTCGATGTGACCGTGACCACGGAAGAATGGCTGGAATGCGCCCGCCTGATACCAACGCGTAAGCAATTGCTCATCCGGATCTCCAAAGAATCCGCCGACGTCGGCGCCGACGAACGGAATTCCGGCGACGCTCAACGACAAAAGCATTGGAGCGGTTATCTCCAAATGTCCCCAATTAGCGGCTGTCCAAATCGCAGCGGTCCTCTGGGATCCGACGAATCCCGATCTCGTGAGTACGAATGGTCTGTCCTGTCCGTTAGTTCTTGCAATAAGACCGTCAAACGTTGCTGAGTGGTACATCAATCCATACATGTTGTGGACTTCGCGATGCTCGATTCCTCCATAGTGGATTGCATCGCGATCCATTGTGGCTTCCGGGCCACTAAACACCTGAAGCAGAACACGATAGGGATTATCAAGAAACGACGACAACCATACCGACGGCTCATCCATGTCATTCCACACAAACAATTCGGGTGTCGAACCGACATACTTATCGAACGCAAACAAGTCCTTCCAATACGCGCGGGTCTGCGGATGCCAGAAGTCGAGATATTCGCTCAGGCCGGGCCAGCATTGACCTTCAAAATCGGTAGTGCCGTCAGACTTCTTAACAAACAATCACAATTTTTTGGCATCCTGGTACACGAAGTATCCGTCATCCTTCTTGATATGAGGATCAATGATAGCGACAACTTTTCGACCCTGAAAATTTCGAAATGATGCTTCCATTTCAAAAAAAAAACGGAGAAGGCATACTTTTGCGACAAGTCCTTCAATCATCTCTTTTGGATGCGTAAACTTATATTTATCCCAAGTGAAGTATCGTTTTCCGTTAGTGTGCTCGATGTCGAGCCAGATGACGTCCATTGGAATGTCCCAATCATCGAACCCTTGATTCACTTGGGCGACATCTTTCTCATCCAAGTAATTCCAATGGCTTTGATGATAAGCGATGGAGAAAAGCGGCGGAAGAGGTGTGACGCCGGTCAATTTTGAGTATTGACGTTGGACATCTGAAATTTGATAATTTGAGAGTCTTCAATGGTCCGTTATCATTTCATCGCCAAATTTGGTAGTTTGAATTTAATAGCAACTCAAGGAGATAATTAGTATTTGTCGCATCCAGCAATGCGGTTTAAAGGCGCATGAGCGCAGATGGTGTCAGAGAGACCAATTCGAAGTACACTTCGGTTGTAAATGGTATTAGTGTAAGAGAGCAGACACTACGGACGGTCCAATCAGAGAGCAGGACCACGCCCCCTGGTATCAAGAAACCAGAATAAAAGGGCTGATCTGGGCCAGTTCTGGGTCTAAGGCTCGACCTCACTCTCGAGGTCTCAACAGCTCACGTTCACCTCCGTCTCATCTACTCCACTCAGCCGCTTCCATCAACAATGACTGCGACAATCGCGGACTCGTCGGTAAAGAAGCGTATCCTGGTCGTCCCACACTGAACCACCGAGGCACCAACAATTTGTATATTGTACTTATTTAATAAATATTATAATATACACTGAGTTTGATTGTATCATCATAGTGTGGACGCCACAGTATTGTAGAAATCGCGCGGCTGCGACAAATTAGCCAAATGTTGGAAGTGGTCTCGAGCCGAAGCGACACGCTTTTTTTGAGCACTCCACGCGGGCAATGCGCCATTTGACAACGTGGCGTAAATCGACATTCATGTCGCGAGATAAACCGAAATCAAAACATCAAACAATTCTAGGGCAACGGTTGATTTGCGCGAAAAAAAAATGAAAGCTTGATTTAAAGAATACCTCTGATAGTTGGGCCGACAAAGAAGAAAACGTCGACGAGGCCAGTTTCAGACATGAAATGAGCATCAAAATGCGCCACGTCGTTTTTATCTTGGCCAGTCACCTTCAAAAATGCACATTTCCCAGTTGAATATGTGGTTTCCTTAAAATACAAACCGTGTCATACAAACTGCCAAGAACCCCTTTTGAGGACATCGAAGATTGAGTGTCTATCCAAGTCTCGGCGGCATTCAACCTGGAATTGGCGATTTTTGGACGTGTCGACTATCGAAACTCAACCACAAAGCTCCAATCGATCTATGCGGGCGATGAGCTAAAATGTATGGGACGGCGGCGTACAGTGCCATCGGATTATTGAGCTCGTATTCGAACACGTCGGCGTTGTACAATCGGTACGGATCGGTGCTTCCAACTGTATCGCGAAGAGCCAAACTATCCGCATGTTCGGGTAGGCCGTAGGCGTGTTTGAATGAGACGAATGAGATATCAACTCCAACGCTGCTCGATCCAAATGGTTTCGAATCTCGGAATGATTTGAACGTTTCGTCCCAGAAGCCCTCCGGATACGTTTTTCCTTCTTCTTTTCTACGGAATTCATCCACCTAAATATCAAGGCTGTAATGAGACAACAAGATGAAGAGATAGTATGAGAATGGAGAGGGGGCGAGAAGACGAGACGGTTGACGAGAGAGCGACCAAAACGAAGAGACCGCGCGCCAACATGCTACGGCCAATGAAAGGGAGGCCGCGGCCGAAGTCCGCTTATTTAAATGCTAGTCCCCGGTTTTTTTCTCGTTAAATAAAGGTTAATTACTACCCCCAAGTTTGAGGTTTCACTCGACTTGCTATCGGTTTCGAAACCGTAAAAAATCTATTGAGAGCTTACTAGGCCACAATATTACCTAAATTGCTTGAAAATATTTACTACCTTCAATTTTCCATCGCGATTCAAATGTGCTACCAACTCGTCGAATTCGTTGTAAATTTTCACCGAAAACGGTTTGAACAGGATTATCGCCTTCGACCGTCCGTCGCCGCTTGACAAAATTGCCTGCGATGGACTATTTTCGACCTTCGCAAACGGCAATTCCTCTGGTGGCCCAGATAGAGCGATTTCCGGCACAAATCTCTTCCGTATAGCCGTTTCGGTCTCATCGATTTGAACTCGAATTGTTCCGTCCTTCACACCCATCACTTTTAGACGTAGCCGGTTGTCAGGATTCTGGATCACAGCTCGCCACGTTGCACCGTCATGCGAAACACTGTTCGCGTCCACTTCGTAGCCAGTAGGCTCCTGGCAAAACATTATTGCAATTTCAAATCTAGCTTACAATTTTACCTTTATCGCTCGGTGCCTCTTACAGAATGAAGACTGTTCGCATGTTTTGAAATCCTCTCGTCTCACTGAGAGGATTAATGTGAGAAACAAGAACAGAAGAATAATCAACCAACTGTCGCCGGTCATTACTAAAAAATAGAATTGGAATCGAATGAATGTGGTGAATACAGAAGGGATTTAAAGAAGTAGTAAAGTAATATGCATATATAAGTGATATAAGTGGGCCGCGGACCGGCCAATTAGTAGTGGCTCACAAAAAGTGGCTCGTACTTACTAATATTCTTTGGCTCGTGATTTTTGGCTTGTGATCTTTGGCTGCCATTACCAAGAAAAAAGACAATTGCCAATAATTTGTTTGAAATCACTGGATGGAGGAACGTCTACTTTTTGTCTTAATGGGGGAAATGACTGTATGGGGGTAAAGTTGAAAAATTGTATTTATTGAATTGGGGGGGGGGGTAAGATTATCGCTAAGTCATTTTTTATTTCTGTAAGCGTAAAAATTACGAAATTGTTTTTTTTTTCTGGAAGAAAAAATTATTGGCAATTCTATTTTTCTTGGCAATGGCAGCCAAAGATCACAAGCCAAAAATCACGAGCCAAAATTCGCGAGCCAAAGAATATTAGTAAGTACGAGCCACTTTTTGTGAGCTAAAAATCACGAGCCACTACTAATTAGCCCTGCGGACCAAATATTGACGCGTTTTATTCATATTGACGGTATCGAAAGGGGCGGGATGTTCAATTGGTGTAGGCCGGTGCTGATAAGCACTGTACCTAAATTACAGGCCAGAAATGATTTAAAAATCGCTGAAAATGGTTCATCGAGGGGTGCGCAGTATGCGCCTTTAACATTTTTCATTTTGCGCCTATCTAGAGGATCTTTTAAACCGTTTCTTGCCTGCATTCCGGTTACAATTAGGCCACTGGGGAACCGTTTTCAAATCTAAAAAAAGGGAAGTTTCATTATAGAAAACTGCGCACATTTTCCGGGATCGCCTCGTTTGTTGCGAAATAAGCGAAATTGAAATTAGCGGCGGCGGCGGAAGCGAAACTCTCAAAAAACTCGATAATAAACAATCAAATTAGAAATAATATTGCGCTAAAACGAGCTTCTTTTTTAGTTTTCTTAACGAAATCTGACAAATTTACCTCCAACGTCGATTAAAAACTATTTGTCACAAAGTTCTAACAAGATAAAAATACATAAATTATAAACCTCTGTGTAAAAAATACCTTTCTTGTTGGCGTGAAAAATTAATATGTAAGGGTCAATAAAAAATTTAAAACAAAAAAATGCGAGAAAATTCATAGCATCAAAAAAGAATGAACGGAAAATTTTTTACGTCGAGGCTCGTCTCAATTGATATCATTAAAAAAAACGGGTTTTTCGGACCAAGTTGAATTTTTCAAAATGCTTTATCTAGTTCAACAGCAGTGTTGGCCGTGATTCCAATTACAACATATTCGTTAAGCCCTTACGCCTTAGAGTTAATTATTTAACTTACGTGCAACACTGCTCCACACTACTAATGTTGTATATTACATTTGCAAAGAAACGAGCACCCTGCGCCGATTGATTCGCAGGTTATCGAGAGTACGGTAGTCGAATTCCTACCACCTGAATTCAAATTGAAATTGTCGCCTCGAAAAAGTGCGATGGTCCACAATTTTTCAAGCCCCTTGTTGGTAATATAAGCATTTTAACCGCACACCGAAATGCAAAAAATTAAATAATTGCGGACTCTTTTGAAACATTAAATTGAACAATAAGTGTCTTGAGATGCTTAACGTGGCTACGCGTATGGCCTTCGCATTATGAGTATGAAGGCAATCGTGAAGCGGTTCAAACAATTCAACACAAAAAACGATCATCTCGGAGCAGAAGCCCGCGAACAAAGCAACGCAAAACAACTGCGTAAATATCATCCTCTCGTAAATCGACACACATGTTGTGAGACCCAACTGAACAGTAGAGAGCGTCTGCGGAAAATTGGCTGAATGCCAAAAACAATGGCAAAGATATTGGAATCAAATAATTGAATGAATAAGCATTTCGGCCAATTCTCCACGACGCCGACAATATACGAGGAAAAACGAACGTGAATGCTGTGTAGAGAATGACAAATACATATGTGGACCCTGCGACCGCCACGCATCTGATCATTTGATCTCACGGGCATTTGTTCATTCGATCTTGCAAGCTCTTTCATACGATTTGTCATCATTTTTACGGCCACCGCCCATATTTAGATAAGCTTTGTTTTTTAGTCGCTATCTTTTTTTTAATTATGAAATATGCTTGCTCGCCAAAGGGTTCAATAGAATTAAATTTTTTAATCACATTAATTTACGTTTTTTTCCTGGTTGCCTTCATATTAACACTAATTTTTTTTTAGAAAAAATCTGCAATTTAATATTCAGTCAACGTTTAAATTATAGTGTTTCTGAAAAAAATAATGGCTATCGAAATCGGCAAAAAACTGCGTGTGTCTTTCATTTTCGGTATCCAAAAAATATTTTCCAAAATAGAAAACTCATCAAAATTTTCAATATTTCAAATTTTTTTTGATAATCTATCAAGAATCAAGAAGTTTCCGTGAAAATTGTGGGAAAACGAAATTCATTTGAATAAAATAATCGATTAAAGGCTCATAATGCGCAAAATGAGTTGGGCGTTTGTGACGATCGATTCTGGCAGCCGTTACTTTTTTTCGAAAGTAGACTATAGCTAATTATTTTCAAGGGGCGCTTTAGTGAAAAAAAAAAACAAAAATCAATACAAAACAAAGAAAAATCTTTTTTTTTCTTTATTTTTCACTTCACCGCCCATTTTTTAAATATCAAATAACTTTACAATTTCCCATAATAATTTCGAATGTAAAATAGGACATTCAAAATTTTGGGAAAGCAAATACACAATGCTTTTTTAGCAAAGAAATATTTCTGTTAGCCCACGTCAGATAATTGCTTGTGTAGTGCAGTGGGGCGCACTTCAACATCTTAGGCTTCTTCGGCAGTCCTCTGTTTCAGTTCGAAATTTCTTTGCTAATTTTTTCTTCTTTTTTATTTTGTTTTTTTTTTGCGAAATCATGGAAAATTGAAGGAATCAGCAGAAAATAAATATTAAAATGACGCAATTCTTCATAGTTTTAAATAGATAATGCCACTTTTACTTACAAAACCGTCGATATAATTGACGACGTAAACTTTTTCTTTTCAAAACGAAGTCATTTCATTATTTTAATGTGACAATAAGAAGTAAACTGATAAGAAGTTCCCGAATTTATTACAAAAGGTGCGAATTCTCAAGATCTGCCACAGATCCGTTTTTCGTCCACTTATATGCGACCCCATAGTTGGCGCCGTCCTGCCCTGTGCATTTCTAGGCCGGACCCCTCGTCCTGCTTTTGTTTAAATACTAACGAGTGAAATTTGATTGTAGACATCTGCTGACATTTTCCGGGATGCGCCACAATCGCCTGTTTGTTGTTATAGGCGATCGCGGCAATTCAAACACGGATCCTATTGGGCTAACAAAGGAAGTCTTTTAGGCGAGAATCTTAATATTTTTCATACTCCCCTACATGCAGGTATAGATCCGAAGAATGGATTCTACAATTTTCAGCCGTCATGGGGGATGCCACGTGGCATTCTTCGGACCCTAACCTAAATGTGTGTTAAGTATGAAAAAAAGTTAAGATACTCGCCCAAACGACTTCGCTTGTAAATGCGAGCCCGATGGGCCCTGCAAATCGACCTTATTTATAATTTTTTCGTTTATTTCCAATTTTTTGATTTTTTTTTCAATTTTAATCCTTACAAGTTTGCATATAACTAACATAGCCCTACAATTATACATTTTAAATATGTCGAGGTGAAAATGTGAAATGCAATTCTCTCTGGTAACTCAAAACCAATCGGATCCGACAATATTCGGCCCCGGAATCAACCTTATCCGATTGGTAATTATTCGAATCCGTTTTGTTTTAATATTTCAATTCGAATCGGAATCGACAAATAACCAATCTTATCCGTAGAATTACCAATCGGATAAGGTTGATTCCGGGGCCGAATTTTGTCGGATCCGATTGGTTTTGAGTTGCCAGAGTTATGAAAAACATTCAAAACAAGTCAAAATTTTCGGTTTTTTATTGATTTTTATAAAAAAAAGGGCCAAATTTTAGAATATATGTATAGCCGTTGTCAAACGGCCGAATGAAATAAAACTAGCATTCCTTATATGCTAAGATGTGTCGAAGCAACGCGTAAATTGACGAATTCGCAAATCGACAACTCATGTAGCTTGGGGTAGATTTACGAGCTGCTTATTTTTCGATCGATAATGTTTAATTGGAATGATGTGAATAAAATTCGAGAAAAATTATTTCTCATAGTGAAAACAACAAAATATGCATTGGCGCGTGGCGTGACCATGGTGGCGAAAGGCGCATGCCCGCAAATCGACCGCTGCGAAAGCCAACTATACACTTCGACGCTGGGTGTGAGGCAAAAAGGGGACCCCTGGTAGTAATAATTTGGTATTCCAGAAAATGTTACTCAAAAAAAAAGGGGGGGGGGTCCTATGGGTCTGAATTCGAAAATGTTGTTATTCTTGCTATTATTTCATACGCAATCAAGATTGCTACAATAATTTTCTGAAAATTTGAAAATTTTCAAATTCTGGAAAGTTGAATTCATGGCGCAAATGATGGGCGCCCTCATTGCCATTCCTAATTCAACGTCTTCCTCAATCCTAGACATTTTCTTTCGATTTCTTCTCTTTTCGATTGATTTTCTATGCTTGGAAAAATCGTGCAGATTTTCAGCGGGCTCTTATATTAGAAACTCCGAAAAACCCGAAAGATTTTGCAGTTTTTTTTTTAAATTCGAGTCTGCTGAAAATTTGCGCAAAATTTTTTTTCGCGATTTTCAATAATTTTTTTTGAAGTCAATTATTTGTTTTTTTTTTTTCTCAGCTTTTTGCAATGTTGATTCGTCTACTGCTCGTTACGATAATTCCATTGGTTGTTGGCACTCAGCAGACACAATTGAGGGATGTTCGAGGCGTGCCGCTTTCAGGTAATTCTCAAAATCAGGCTTGTTGCTTTCGATGACGAGCCGAGGAACCAAAGATTACTGAAATATTCAAATGCGGAAAAAATCTGTTAATGGAATGAAAACAAATTTAGACAGAAAATCAATTGAATTTCCCTATACACGCAGAGCTGCACGGAATTCCGTCTTCCGTGACATTTTCCTGTTACGCGTTCCATGTTCCGACTTCCGTATTCCGTCGTCCGCTTGAGATATCTCCCAATACCAAGCACGTCTAGAGTTCGCATCGTGACCCGCGCCAACTTTTCGCGTGCGCCTTTGAAAATAAATAGCGGAGAATTACGATATATCTTTTTTGTAATTTTCGACGTGCGTGCATAGGGGACTCCAAATGAGAAAATAATGGTTTTTTATTTTTTATTGCATGAATAGGTCCATTAAACATTGAGCAACACAAAATAGTCATCAAAATCGTTCATTTTTGGCGCATTTCGATTTCAATTAGATTGACCAGAAAACTATTTTCTGGTGGGTATTTCTCCCACGTCCCTGCTGCAGAATTTAGCTGTGCGTGTCGAAAATGAAAAAAAAAGTTCAAAATTTTGCCCAAATATTTTCAGAACTCTCGCTATTCCAGCCAACCGGCGACAAATTGAACCTTTTTACGTGTCGAGATGGCGCCCAAACGATCCCCTACTCGAAGCTGAACGATGATTATTGCGATTGCTTGGACGGAAGTGATGAGCCGGGAACATCGAGCTGCCAAAACACCAAATTTTTCTGTCGCAATGAGGGATTCACCGGCCGATATGTGCCGTCAACTCGAATAAACGACGGAATTTGCGGTAATCTTTTTGATATATTATCATCCTTTTCAAAAAAAATGAATTTTTTATTTAGTAAAACCAAACAATATTTATTTGCTTCTGGGCACTTTTTAAAAAATTTTTTTTTCTAAATTCGAGCCTATCCTAAGCAGTACATTGCAAATCAAGAGTATATTTGAGCGCACGGACGGTTTTGTCGCAATACACACATGGCCTAGAAATAATGTCTTCAAAAATTATGTTCGGCCACGGCCACACTTGATGTATTCGTTAGTTGAGCTATTGTCGGCGTCCGGCGACTTCTACCCGCGGGTAGATTTATTTTTAGTTACAATATTCAATAAAATTATATACCCATCAAGAGAAATTAAGCAATTTACGTGAAAATGTGGCGAGACCATTTCGAAAGGCGCACTCGTACAACAGTCGCTGGAGGCCGACTATTGAAATAATATGTTTTTTTTTAGTATGTTTACGATTTCAAAAAACCAAATGTCGAAATAAAAAATTGTGACGAAGCATAATTTTAGAAATTAGCCTGTGAAAGTGTGCCGCGTTTGCAGTTTTTCTCAGAAATTTTAAAAATTTATTTGAAAGGCGAACACTGAAATTGAATCGATTTTCCATTTCATACAAATTCAGATTGCTGCGACGGAAGCGACGAATACGACGGCGGTGTGTCATGCGCCAACATTTGCGGGGAGCTCAGCAAAGCCGAGAAAATGGAACGCGAGCGAGTTGAAGGCATCGCTCGTCGAGGCTACGCCAAACGAAAGGAGCTGTCTCGCGAGTGGTTCGAACTTCGAGACGAGAAACTTCGCAACGTGGACACTCTGAAACAGAAGAAGGTTGACCTTGAGCTGAAGCTCAAGATGCTTGAAAATTCGAAGAAGATCGCTGAGGAGTTGGAGAGGAAGCTTCAGGACGAACACAACAAAAAAATGGATGGAAACAGTGGAAGAGAAGAAGAAGCTGAATGTCAAGCAGCTTTTCATGGATCTGGATAAGAATGAGGATCAGAGGATCTCATTGGACGAGCTCAAGACCCTCATTCAGCTGGACGCGAATAATGACGCCGAGGTTTCGGACGATGAGGCCAAGACATACCTTCCCATAAGTTGGATTTTCATGAAAACCTTTTTTTGCGAGATGATCCTTTTTAAGATGAAGCTGACTATGAATATTTCCGTTCAAATATATACGATCGTCTGTCTCTCGCTAAACAAAATCAACACGATGAAGAGGAGAAGATGCCGCCATATCCATTGGAGATCCAAGCTGCAATTGACGCCGCCGTTGAAGCTAGAAGAAATTTCGACGAACTTAACGACCAGATTCAAGATATTGACAATAATATCCGGTACGATTTTTCTTATATGTCAATTCAGTTCGTAATTGTCAAGAAGCCTTTTTTTAACTGAATCTGGGACGTGTCTAGCTGAAATCTGGCAAATTTGCTTTTTTTTTCTCTGGATTTCTAATTTCAGGGAAGCCGACGAGTTCGCCGCGACCGTTGATGGAGAAGATGCCGCGTGGGCGGCAATCAAAGGGAAATGCTTTGAACGCAATGTATATCAATACACCTACACTTTTTGTCCCTTCGGAAGCAATGAGCAGAAGGACATTGGGGCACATCACGGCCCAAATCTAGGCTAATTCAAGAATTTGGGAGACGCGAAGAGAAGCTTAAATGATTTCAGAAGATTCAAGGAATGGGTGACGGTTGGCTCGAACAAGCACGCGAAGCAGATTTACACCGACGGCCAACAATGTTGGAACGGACCGCAGCGATCGACAGTGGTGGTGATGGAATGCGGTGAGGATTACGAACTCGCGGATGTCACCGAACCAGCGAAATGCGAGTACCACTTCGTGTTCCGAACACCTCTCGCATGCAACGATCCCGATAGTGAACCTAAACACGAAGAGCTTTGATTCATGTGATAATTTTCTTCATATTTTTGGGTATTCTTTATATAATGTATAAAAAAGTTATGAGAATTTATTGAGCATTAAAATTTATGTGAAAAATTGCTGCAAAGACATGAAAAAAATTAAACGTTTAAAATTTTTGAATTAATTTTTATTCGAGAAATTTAAAATAACTTGGCCATGGAAAAAATAATGATAATAAAAGAAGAATTTACGCAGTCATGAAGTCGTGTCATTTCTGGCAAAATATTGTGGTTTCTCAGTGTGCTCGAATGATTTTTCGAGGACGCACACTGCTCTGGTTTGCTCCTACAAAACGTTTCGTGAAAATTTAGTTGAAAATATTGCAAAACAGAACTTTTAAACGTGGTTACTGTAAAAAATTCTTCCAACATCCGACGAAATAATGCGGATGTTTATCTTTACGACAAACCCATCAGGCAAAACATGGATTTTCTTCATTTTTTTAAGTACTTCGCTTTTTCAAGAAAACAACTTTTTTCGACTTTTCGCCACTGTTTTTTTTTTTTCTAAAATTTACCAATGGATTAGTTTAACGAGTTATTTCAAACAACTTCAATTTTTTTATTTTGTTGAAAAGTCATATTTTGTTTCATTTAGTTATTTTTTTGCAATATTTTTCGATAAGGATGTAACATCTACCATTCCGGAACTTCTAAAGAAATATCAAGCATTCCGTAGTGCCAATTGAAAATGAAAAAAACTAGTCTGAATACATATAAATAGGATACTTTCAAATCCATGAATTATCTTAAAGAAAGAGCTGTGACGTTAATACACCATTGATTATTTATATATAAATATATTTATTATAGATTTTCATATCTTAACAAGTACAATGTCCGTACCATCATGCTCATACGGCATTTCGTGCAGCCTGAGTCTTCCGCCTCACTTTCTTATCGTCGTTTTCACTTCCTTGTGTGAATCCCTCTAACTTCGCCTCCTCCTTTTTCGTTTTCACCGAATTTCCATCAGACTAAACATTAAAACAAATCGATTTTTGGTCAATATTCCCATGAAGGTTACCTGTGTTTTATCAGTATTCAATTTAGGAAGAAGTGAATTAACCAGTCGCATCTGAAATTAACGACGGAGCATAGTTTAACCATAGCTAATTAGAAAATAAATAAAATAAAAAGTTTTAAGACGAACCCTACTGTTTTCCGAAGGCACGGTTTTGTTATCTTTCTAAATTAATAACACATTTTATTTTGAAAACTCTCAATTCTTACAATATTTATCAATTTTGTGCGGGATATTTTGGCTCCATCGAACATTTGAGATTCCGTTGGATTCGTCTTCTGAACCGGACCTTGCCTGTCCGGAATTTGGAAATTCGCCAACGGATTCACTTCATCCTCAGCTAGAAGAGATTCCATTGTTTCCCCCTTCGCATCTTTGCTAGCTAATTTCAGTTTTAAGTCTTTGAATACATCATCACTGAAAATCTCTAACAACTTATAAAAAACTGTCTAAAATTATTCACTTGTTTTCATCTTCGGCGTCCGCTTTGCACTTAGTTCGCACTGATTCCTGATTCTCTCGACGAGCTGGATCTATAGGAGCTGGAGGACCAATCAATTGACTTTGGTTTTTATCTCGGCGTTTGACTAAATTTGACCCAATCACGTATTAATCGATGAGCTTTAATCTCACATTTTTTACAATTAATTATGCAAAACGAAATAAATGATACGAAAATGACTAGATTGAAAACCATTCCAATAGTTGGATACAAATATGAAATGGCATTGTGAAGAAATAACAAGGCAGTATTGACCTGTTATATTGTTAAGAATATTTATTTAATAAATTTATTTTCATTTGTTTATACTTGAATTTCTTCAGTCTCTTACATTCTTCTTGCACATCTACGATGGCCTCCTGGCCGAGTTTTTATTTTTGAATTGCACGGCCAACGCGCATTATTCGAAATTTCGTATTGCGTTTCAAGTTTGAATATTCCTTATTTGCAAACGTATTTCAGGTGACTATGGCCACTATCGATGTTACGGAAATTTTAAAAGCCTCAACAACTTCATACCAGGTATTATTATTGCATAAAAACAAGTTTTAATGTTCGAAACTTGTAGCCAGCCAAGAAGAAATCGCGATTCGACGCACCGCCTCAATCATCATCGTCGGCAGCTTCATCTTCTGGTCAGCCACGACCAGAAGATATTCTGGCAGCTCTCGAAAACGATGATTCGGCGAATTTTGTGGCACTCGATGAAAATCAAGTCAAAAAATTGGTGGGACAGCTCGAAAAAAAGATTCTCAAGAATCGAGAAATGCGCGTCAAAAATCCGGATGATCCCAAAAAATTTATGGACTCGGAAATCGAATTGGACACTGCGATTCAAGTAAAAATTTATTTGATTAAAAATAAGTTCATTCAAAATTTTCAGGAAATGCATTCCCTAGCCACTCAGCCTGATTTATATTCGGTGTTCGTCGAAGCTAATGGAGTCGAGCTTCTTCTTCAACTTCTTGGACACGAGAATACGGATATTATTTGCGCTACTTTGAATTTGCTACAGGTATGAAGAATTGTATTGTCGACGCCGCGCGACTGCGTTGGCTAAATGCCAGAAATTTTTTTAAAAATGGTCTCGATACATAGGCTCGTAAATCTACACTATTAGTTTTGCGCCAAGACCACTGCCAGGGTTTTTCTTGGCATTTTGCCAATTTTCCGCAGTCGCGCGGCGTCGACAATATATTTGGAAAATACATATTTTTTATAGGAATTGACTGATGTCGATATTTTGAATGAGGGAGAGGATGGAGCTAATCAATTAATCGAAAGCCTATCAAAGGGTGCAATTATCACCACATTCGTATCTTGCTTTGAACGTCTTGATGAAAATAACAAAGATGAAGCTGACGGAGTCCATAATGCGCTAAGCGTTGTCGAAAATGTAAAAAATTTATTCTTGAGTATCTCAACAATTAACGCAACCATTTAGATGATCGAGTTTCGCGACGAAATTATCGAAGACTGTGTTAAACAGGGACTCGTCATTTGGATGCTTAAACGGTGTTTCCAGAAAAGCCCATTTGACGCCAACAAAATGTATGCATCGGAGCTTCTTTCGATGATTCTTCAGCAATCGGACACGGCCAAGGCGAAAATGACAGAGAAAATTGATGGAATCGATTTGCTTTTGAGAGTATGTCTCATTTTTTCTAAATTTAATCGACATTCTGTGAAATGCGAGTTTCAGGCAATTGCGGTGTACAAGAAAAACGATCCGGCGAGTATTGATGAGCGCGAATATATGGAAAATCTGTTCAATGCGCTTTGCGCGGCTCTGATGTGGCCGGCGAATAGAAGTAAGGGTTTGAATGGGGCAATGCAGAAAAAAAGAAATATACCAACTTTCAATGCAGAAAAAATGGAATTTGAAATGGTATCAATTTTTATTTTTGTTCATTTTCTCTGCATTGTCCCCCCAATTTATTTCATCACGAGTTTGATATCGATTAATTCAGAAAAATTCCTCGATGGTGAAGGACTTCAATTGATGAATCTGATGCTCCGCGAGAAAAAGCAATCACGGCAGAGTGCTTTGAAGGTTCTCGATCACGCGACGACAGGAGTCGAAGGGATTGAGAATTGCAACAAACTTGTTGAAATGCTCGGTCTTCGCACGATATTCCCATTGTTCATGCGAACTCCGTCAAAAGTCAAAAGAAAGGATACGACTCCGGATGAGCACGAGGAGCATGTGTGCACGGTGAGTAGCTCAACTCTCGAATTACGAACTATGCGCTCAGATTCTGTCGTCGTTGCTGGCGTCTTGCAACGATACTCATCGCGAGAGGATCGTTTTCAAATTTGTCGAGCACGAACACGAAAAGGTCGACAGAGCTGTGGAGTTGTTCTTGAAATACAAGTGAGCATTTTTTTTCCCGATGAAAATTTCAATAATTTTGATTGGACTTCAGAGAAAAAATGCAGAGATTTGAGCTGAAGAAGAAGAAAGAGGCGAGAACATCAGAAGACGACGATCCAGATAGTCTGTACCTTGAAAGACTCGATCATGGACTGTTCACTCTTCAAAGATTGGCTCTCATTATCGCCGATGTCACGGTTTGTGTGAGTTCGGCGAGACAACGAGCGCAAAAATTGTTCGCGATGAAAATGAGCGATGGCAAATTGAGCGAAATGCTCCTTCCGGTAAGCTAAACAACTCAATATTATTAAAATTAAGGAAAAACTATCTTCGAAAAGCGAATGAAAAGAAGAAATATTTCAGATTCTCGAGGAATACGTCGACAATCTTGGGGAAGAAGCGGTTGACGAGCGTCGACGAGTCAACGAACTAATCAAAGCCGTCGAGAAATTCGAATAATTCATTTATTTGTCTTCTATGTGTGTGTGTGTGTTTCGATATTTACTATTTATGAATAATTTTTAACGATTTAAATATACTAATCGAAAACAATCGCTGTAATTAATTGCAGTAATCAAATATTGTTGGAATATTTATATAATAATTATTATCTAGTGATCCTCAAAAAATTGTAACAAAATTTAAAATTTGAGCTTATTTTTTTTAAAAGTTCGTTGAGCAAAAGTCGGATTGCTGCAAAATTGGATCAAGGCTTAGGCATATTTTTAAGATATGTTTTTTTTTCAAAAAACTGGTATTTATTATGATACCCAATTGTTTTGTATCCGATATCTCTTGATTCAACCCGAGAAACACGTTGCTCATTTTCATTTTTTTTACATGCGGACCAATAGACCACGCCCATCAAAGACGGGACCATCTATGGAGTTGGTCGCCATCCACTACCATACTCTGATAAAATATTCTATTTGTTTGCCTTGTCAAATTCGAGCCTGCCGTCATTTTTCAAATTTACAAAAAAAAAGAAGTCACGCCTGACCCAAAAGCGTGTTACCGGGCAATATTAACTCGACATTTCAATTTTTGAAGCTTAATTTTTTTTTACAATTTTTTGAGGATTACTATAAATATATGTGGAGTACTGTAGATCTATTATAATTTGTTGAAATCAGAATGGCACCAATTTCAATACGAAAGCAATTACAAGTTGATGTGGAACTTCGATCGGTGCTAGCCTTCTTCTTTGCATCCTTCGTTCTTGTATTCGCCTTCTCGCTATTCTCGATGTTGATCGCTGCGCTTCTCCTCGTCTGCATTCCGCCTTCGTCATACTTTATTAGCAAACATCGAAATCAGAAGTTTCAGAGTACGACGCAAGCATCAATCCTCGGCGTGGTAATCGATCATTCCAATCAATTCGTTTCAAAAAATGTTCTCAATTCCCTTTAGGTGTTCGGTTTCGCGTTGAGTTATTCGATATTCTATAACAATTACAAATCGTCGTGTTTATCTCGCTATTTCGCCATTTTGGCGATATTCCATTTCACTGAATATGTGTTCACCGCGTTCTCGAATCGTCGATCCCTTCAGCCGGATTCGTTCCTTCTCAATCATTCGGTTGGATATTGGATGGCGGCTTCGACGAGTTGGATCGAATTCCTCATCGAGGTATAATTTTTGCGCAAAAAAAACTGGACCCCCATCCACACAATTCAAGATTGCCAAATATTAGATTTTAGTGGTCTCGTGACGAAAACCGATTTTTTTGATTAACAGAGAGTATTAAAAAAAACAAAGCTTAGAAAAATGTTTTTAAAAAATTTAAATTCGCATAATTATGCAAATAAAACTTTAATTCAGTGTAAAAATTTCAATTAATTTTAATTTTTTTAAATTCCAAATCTTAAATATTTGAGGAGTAAAGCGGATAATTGATATTTTCAGCTCTACATATTCCCATTCATGAAATCGCATTCGCTTAGTATGCTAGGAGTGCTTTGCTGCATTATTGGAGAAGTCATCCGAAAGACGGCGATGATGCACGCTGGAAGCGGATTCACGCATAAACTGGCGATGGCGAAACGATCCGATCATGTTCTGGTGACCGAAGGCATCTATGCATGGATGAGACATCCTGGATATTGCGGATGGTTCATTTGGGCGGTCTCGACGCAATTGATTCTGTGCAATCCAATTTGCACATTTATTTATACCTATGTCACATGGCACTTTTTCTCTCAGCGAATTTACGATGAAGAAAGGGACCTCATCAAATTCTTTGGCTCCAATTATATTGTAAGTTGACAGTTTTTGTCGATTTTTGAGATTTCGATTTTTTCAGGCATATCAGAATCAAGTGATGTGCGGTGTTCCGTTTGTAACCGGCTACAAAATGCCGCAACATGGTTAAAAACCAAAACCAAACATTTCATTATTCTCATCAAAACCGTCACGTTTTGATCTCAACCGATTGCTTTCTTGTCAAATAACTTATAAATCGTAACCATTTATCTTCTACTTTTTGGAAATAAAACCATACTCTATTCATAATACAAATAACATAGGCTCGAAAATGAAATTAGAGAGAAAAACACACAAAAGAGAATCTAGAAATCGATACCGATGGTTGGCGCGAACAGTCCGGATCCACCGGTCATCAATGTGCGGCCCTGCTGGCGGTCCCACCAGAGAATATCGCCATCGAGACAGGCCTCGTTCGATTTATCCTGAAATTATGGTCTCGTCGCGATTTCGAGTTTCAAAGCAATACTGTGATGTTTTTTTCAAAATTTAAAATATTTCCTGGTGGTTTATAATTAATGAGCTTTCATAAGAAATATTGAAATTTCAAATAAAGAAAGATGGCTCACCATTGGAATAAACATGAGACGAGTGTAGATGTAGAACATAGCGAAAACGACTCCGACGTAGAGGAACACCGATCGTGGTGTGAAGCGGAAGAACTCGGCTTGTGTCATATCAGCCGAATACCATCTGAACATCGCTGGATCCATGGTGACTCCCTCCTTGTACTTGAAGCTATGTGGATCATATTCTCTGCGAAGATATTCTTTCTTGAGGATCTCCTTGACTCGATATCTGGAAATTTGAGAAAATTTCAATGGTTTCGTTGAAAATTTGATCAAAACCTCCACAAGACAGCCTTCTTCTCATCGTCGGTCAAATTGTATTCATGGCCGGGCAAAAACTCAGTTTTTCCTTCAAATTTGAACACTTCCAATTTTATAATAATTTTAAATGTATATACCATGAGTTTCGAAGTAACCAAGAACGGGATCTTGCCACAATTTTGGCGACTTGACGTTCTGGTTCGCTGCTGGTCGAAGCGCTCTCAATGCTAACTTCATTTTGGCTTTACCTTAACAAAATAAACTCTTATTAATTTTATTTGACAATTAAAATTTAAAAAAAACAATTAAAATGAAGAAAAAACTAAACAAATCCGAGAAGACGTGAAAAAAATTACGAAAAAATTCTTGAGCGAGATGAACGAGACTCCGCGTTTACGCGAGTCACGAAGAAGTCTGCGGTTTAACGTAAACCATTCACAGAGTTTCACTAAAAAAAATTTAAATTTTTTGATTTCCACCTGTCCTATTTATTGCTTTTCACCTTCATAATTTCACATTATTTTTCTTAGAAAAATCAATATTTTTATAAAAATAGTGGAAATTTATTTTAATGGTTTATTTTTAAAATTTCAGAATAAATTACGTAGAAATTCTAATAAAGTCATGTCCGATCTACCAGCGCCATCAACAGAGGTACTTTTTAAGCAATAATGTTATAGAAACTAATAACTATTTTGCAGAACAATGAACAACAAGAACCAAGTCCAATTGATAGAGTAATTTATCGCAATATAAAAACAATGCCTTCAAAACAATTCCAAATTTCAGAGGCTTGCTGAAGGTCGCAGTTTTAACGATGGAAACTGGAGTAGCTATGATTTGAAGCATCTTTTCGATGGCATTGTTAAATACGGAACTCAACCACGGGCAATTCGCTATTTAGCGAAAAATGTTCTCCAGGGTCACACCGAGGATGAGCTCAAGTAATCCGAACCCTCCTATATGTTATATCATATTTGGTTTCAGAGTTAAAATTTTCGAAATTAGGGATTTAGCAAATGAAAACAAAGACGATTGTCGCGAGTATTATAAAGGAATATGGCAGGAAAAGGGTTTTCTCGAAATAAACGCGGAGCCAGTAACGGGACCATTTAAAGACTTGGTAACAATTCCTTTAAAAAAATTGCCTTTTGATTTCAAAATAATGATTTACAGACATGGGGAAAGGCGATAGCGATGATTAATAAGAACAACCACAAATCGCTGACAAGGTTCCGGAACCCAGTGCGAGACACAATCGAGGTAAAATTCGTTTTAGCGAAACCCCTTAAAGGAAGCTTTCAGAGTGATCTGTTATTATGCGCAGAAGCTGCCGAGACCCAACAAAACGTCAAAATCACTGATTTGAAAACGGCGCGAGCGAGTGTGGATGCGAGACAAGATATCAATTGGGAGAATATTTATAAATTCGTTGAAGCTTGTATTTCGCTTCAAAGTAGGCTGCCCCCTTTGAACGAGTTAGGCAAGTTTCGAAAATTTACAAATTTGAAAATGAAAATGTTTGCAGAAGCCGCCATTGTGATACAGGTTATGGATGCTATTGAAGATGAAGCTTCTCAAGTGAGACCAACATTTATTTCGAACAAATTTTGATAATATCTGAATTCAGATTAGCAAAGAAGATCGATCTACTCTGTGCGGGATGTTCAGCGACATTCAGAATCTCGATCTTCGGGCATTCGAACCCGACACTCCGTGCAATACCGACTCTGCCGTTCAGGCTCATCTTGATCCGTTGAGAACCCGCCTTTTCGGAGTGCCGCTCGTCGCCGCCGATCACACTACTCATAAAATGACAGTTGATAATGGTCAGAATGGTTTATTAAATGAGCAAGGCGACCCGCAATGAATGAACACTGTTTCTCTTTTCTTTTGATTTCTATTTTAATTGGCGGAAGCGCGGAGATCAATTATTGGCCGTCGATTCGACGGTTGGCGCCAAATCTTTAGTTTCTTCGATGACTTGATCCAAAATTACCTAAATTGAGTTTCTAGACTTGATTGGAGAATGAGCCGAATGCTACCTCAATCCCAATCCATGTCTCTTTTCCAATCGGAATCAACCAATGAGGCTTCACCTGGAATGCGAACCACGTCTTCATATCCGGCGGCAATTCGAGAACGTAGACATATTTCGTCGGCGTGTTTTTCTTGATCCAATCCGTCGCGCCACCCGTCGCCGTTCCGAGCATGTCGGCGGCGGTCCCGACGCGATATCGGGTCTCGCGATAAGCGAACACTTTATCGGCCGCCTTATTGGCAAGATCCTCCTAAATATCGAATTGTGCAATTGATGAAGGGCTCAAGATGTACCAATTCTTTGAAATCTTGCGGATACGTCCTTTTATGGTAGTTATACGGCAAAATCCAGAGTTGGCCGTGCGTGTGAAGGGAGACTAAAGCGTAGAGGCGTCCGTAGATTTCGGCCGACATGACAAAGTCGCGAACCGCTCGCGATTCGGGCTCCGAGAACGGATAGGGACCTTGGAACTCATCGGAGCACGGATTATTGAATGGATAGTTCTCTTGGCTGAATCTGAAACCGAAAACGCAATAATAGATTACGGTAGCAATTGTTGAGATGTGTGTACCCGATATCGTAATTTCGATTGAGGTCCACACCGACGCAGCAAATGTCGGTCTGATGGAATCCGCCGGTTCCGGTGCAATTCTCCGGCGCGCGATTCTTTCGCCATTGTCGAATCATCGCCCGTTTCGACGTTCTCGAATAAACGAATCCGTCGGGATTCAGCACCGGAAACACATAGATGTCGAGCGTCTCGACGTACTTCGTGATTTTCTCATCGATTTTGTAGCCGTTGACGAGCTTCTCGATGAAATAGACGGCCACGTGGAACGCTGGCCATTCGCGCGCGTGATTTCCGCCGTCGAGCCATGTCGCGATTTTGCGGCGCCCGTCTTGCGCCGGTTTTCCGATCTGCAACATTCGTTGTTTGTGCACAATACATTGTAATATTATCGATCGTCTCCTTCTCAATCATCTTTCGAATCTATCTCGATCGGGTGTCACACAACAGTTTAAAATAATCAATACTCAAATGTTGGAAGTGGTCTCGAGACGACGAGAAGCGCGTTGTGTACTCCACGCGGACAACGCAACACGTAAATGTCTTAGTCGATAAATTCGACATTTTTTTCAAGTGATTTGTGAGTTACAAAAAAAATCGAAGACGTCAATGAATAGACAAGTGATATAATACGTTTTCCCCAAAAAAAAGTGGCTACCAACATTTTTCCCTGTAAGACCTTAATGTATTTCAAACGCGTCGCGGTTCACTTTTTTATATTGTCGAAGTTTCGGATGGCGTGGTCTACTGTAGAGTTGGGTCTCGCAACAACGAGTGTCGATTTACGCGCCCGGATTTTTCAGCCATTTTGCCGCATTCGCGTGATTTCGACATTAATTGATTCGCAAGGAAACGAGCACCATGTGTAGATTTACGGTGAGTTTGATTCGCAGGTTGTTCGGACCACGGTAGTTCAAATTCGAATTTGAAAATGTGCAATGGTCCATATTATCTACAAGGTGCTCGTTTTTTTAATGCGATGTTAATAGAGAATTTGGAGAACCGCAACGCGTCTGACGACACTGAATAATTACGGTAGGCGCTTTTTTTGGGGAAGCAGATGAAATTTGGATAAATGGCAAAACGGTTTAGGGAGGGGTCGAAATACACGGCATGTGCCTTTAAGCTATCCGTAAGGTTCGCCCCGTAAATCTACCATTAGTTTTGCACCAAAACCTCGTTTTAGCATTTCGCCAATTTTCCGCAGACGGTCGACGTCGACTTTAATTTTTTTTAATCTACACAGAATTCAAAATATTGCATTTCCCGCCATCGATTGAGTCATTTGAATCCGAAAATTCCAACGCAAAAAAAGCGCCTACGGACCATCGTAATTTTTCGGCACAGTATTTGAAATTTCGGTGAAAACTCGGATACCGTACTAGGGATAACTTGCGAATCAAACTCATTTGCATTTTGGAATTATGGTAATGCATATTTTTCTTTTCCGGTAAATGAAAATCAAATTCGAATTCGAAAATAATTTATTTTTTCCAAATCGAAATCGAATATAAATTAATCTGTTTCAAATTATTCCAAAATTTCTATCAAATATTGTCGGCGTCCGGCGACTGCTGTACGCGGGTAGATTTACGCGCATGGGCCTTGAAAAAAGATCTCGCACGGACCAACAGGTTATTTCATATATTATGGACCGGTTCGATAATTTTTTAATCGAATGACGTTGGAAATTCAAGGAAATGCGAAGAAAAATGAAGCAGTTCACGTGAAAACAGCAAAATAAGCATTCACGCGTGGTGAGACCTTTTTTCAAGGCGCATGCATAATCTGTTTCGAATTATTCCAAATTTCAATCAAATACGAATTTCAAAATTGAGAATGAGAAATAAATCGATCGATTTCGATGATTTCTGAATCGAAACCAAGTTTTCAAATCGAATTTCAAATCGAATCCGGTTAATTTATTTTCCATTTTTTTCTTCGAATCCGATTTAAAAAATAATTTGCCTAGTTAGCCGAAAAACCAATTAAGCTTCCAAAATTCCGAAGCTTTTAGGTTGTCAATTTTTCAAGTATCAAACATTCTAACCAACCGTACACTTTTTTCAATATCAAAACTCACCTTCAATCCAAGAAGCGGCCGTCCTTCTCTTGATCTACCAATGGTGCGCAGTTGCACAAACGACGGATTGTCCTGCGCGACCGCTTTGATGTAATCCTCGAACTGCGGCCAATCGCTGTAGGCGGTGAGGTCGAAGAACGGCGTCCGCAAGCCGGCGCCAACTCCGCCGATTGATTCTCTGAAAAAAAAAACATTCCGAATGATTTCGACTCGCATCAATCAATTCCGCTTCCTCGTCGCCTCACTATCTGATGCCGATTGATACGCGCGATTATGTGTGTTTTTTTCTGTATTTCGAATCAAGTATATCTTACACCCTCGCCAACATCCTCCTCCCTTCCCCTCCCAAAAATGACTGCCAAGGTCACCACCCATCATTGCCGCGAGCGCGATAAGGAATGAAGCTGGGATTGGCCGAAGCGAAAATCGAATGGCATTCAGAGTAGGCGAATAGTAAACCGTTCCGCCATTTATCATCCATTTGATAAGAGGCGAATCAATATGCGTAGATTGTAATAATCACATCCAGTCGCGGACAATTTGATAAGCATTGCTAGTAGAGACGTTTTTCCCCATGCACCTTTAAACGCGGTCTTGCAATTTTGGCGAAAATTCAACAACAACAAAAAATGGAGAAAGTTACGAAAAAAAAATCATTGTTCTATAGATTTGAAAGTCCTCAAAATGTCCGCAGCTTGATTAGTACAATGCGTGGAAGGAAGGGGAAAACAAAATTAGTAAAAAATAAATAGTGCAACTTACAAAACGAGAAAAAACGCGGCGAAAATGATTGACCCGGCACGCTTCGACATGTCGGGCACCGTCGAGTGGCGTGCCGAGACCACACCGCCGACGGGTCCGTCTCCGCCCAGCCATCAAACTCCGCCCCCCCCCCTCGTGTCACCGTCACCTTGCGCATCATTGTTGATGCTGCTGATGGCTTCTGTTTTCGGCGTTTCCTTCTTGTCTCTCCTTCCTTCGTCGTTTTTTTTTGGTTAGTTTTCGTCAAAATGTTCATGTAAATACTAGAAATGATGAAGGCGATGGAGAAGTGTGAAATGAACGAGTACTGCCGTTTTGTCGGCCGCCCCCCTCCCACTTCTCTCCTCCGCTTTTTTTGCATTCTTTTTTCGCCGTCTTCTTGATTAATGATTATGCAATCGCTTCTCTTCATATAATCGTCTTGAGAAGGAGATGACGATGATGATAATGGTAGTAGTGTGTTGAGAATGATAATTAAGAACACCATACCATCTTTAGACACCATATTATAGAATCATGTACTTTCGAGATTGCCGCGGGGCGGCGATATTAGGATGGAAGATTTATCATGGGCATCACAAGAAGCTGCTAGAAGTGCATACTGCAAAATGGAAACGTAGCAGCAAGCAATTTTTTAAAATGTTTCTTTGAAACCGAAAATTGCAATTTCACCATATTTCTTGACTGGCAAGCTAGAAGAAATGAAGGAGCTTTTAAAGGCGCATGTAATTCATACTCAGTTGATAGTGTAGATTTACGAGAACCTACGTCCCACCAGGAAGGAAAGAAACCCGATTAGGCGATCAATTTGGGTCTCACGGATATATATATTTTTACAGCGGTTACATGCATTTATTGCTGCGGACAGTCGGAAGCCAATTTTTTCGATTTGGAATTTTCTTGGGAATTCATAGAGGTTTGAAAAATTGCAATAAAGACTTGATGATCAGAGATTCCCGTGAAATTGTCCGCAGCAAGTGTTTTATTTAAAAAATATTTGTTTTTTTCGTTCTAAAGACCAAACAACAACTAGAAAAAATCCAGGTAAGTTTTTCGCCAATCATGGAAACATGATCGAATTAAGGCCGACACAAAACTTTTGTCTCATTGTAAAACATCTCGAACCACTAATTCGGTTACAATAGATTATTACAACATCTCAAATGTTGCAAACAAAACACCGTATCGTCAAGCCATTATTCCGAAATCTTCTCTTTGAATATATGGGTGTGTGGGCGCGTTTGAAGGAAGAAGGGGAGTGGTGGCCGCGGACTAGAAACCAGTGAGTCCCGGTGTAGTCCACCGGTGGAATATAAATAATATGGAATCAAATTGGACTCACATATGGGCAACGCTGTTTTAGTTGAACCGTTCTTTTGCATTTCAGCATTACTTAAGCCTGAAAGACAAGAAGATTTAAGACGAGGGACCTTAGATGAGGTTCCCACCATCAATTCATGAATATCGCTGTCCTCGAATATATAAAAATTGATTTAAAAAACGTGACATAGATTTGAAAAAATAAAACGAAATCCGAACGATTAAAATTTAAGAAAAACACGCAGTGCGCGCACAACTCACGCGTGGCCTAGAAAAATTGTCCACAAAAACTAGATTCGGCCACGGCCACACCTGATAGATTAATTAATTTAATTGAGTAGAACTAAATGAATACGTATGTATTTGGCGTGTTTAGAATTTCAACAACGAAATATTAAAAGAAAAGTCACATCTTCGCAAAATAAAAGAAAATAGCGACTAACAAGCATAATTTTAGAAATTTGTGTGCCGCACTTGCATTTTTGCTTTTTGAAAGTGTCGATCAATTTTTCTAGGCCGCACGTGAGTTGCAACGAGATGCAAAACGCCATCTTCTCTGTGTGGAGCAAAAACAAAAAACCCGGCCATACAAGTTCGGCCATGACTGTTCGGCCATGTTTCTGGATTTTAGTTGAAGTTTGATTAGAGAAATCGAATAAAATTGCGGATATTTATATGATTTGTCTGAGTGATGACGATTCGGGATTCGCTTCTTTCAGCTTCTTGTGAATCGTCTCCATCGTTGCTCGATCCTGCGGCAATTTCGCCCAGCACAATTTCAGCGCGATGTCGGCAATCGCTCGAGGGCATCGCTGAAAGTCGCAACAAAATCACAAAATCCGATTCGACGTCATTTTTACATCCGGAAACTTCATGCGATAATTGCTGACGACGATTTTGGCGCGAGTTTGAATATTGCTTAGTCCTGGATAAGGATCATCGCCTTCAGAGTAAATCTCCCACATGAGAACACCTAAAAACGCGCGTTTATGTTTTCAGCAAATTTTGCTGTAAATTTTTTAAAGGGACATGCTGAAAATCCGTTTAAAAATCGTCAAATTTAAAAATTTGTATTTTTCCATCAAATTTTTTTAAAGTGGAAATTCAATTTTGAATGTCAAGCGGTCTGTCAATGCTGGAAAAATTATTGTTAAAATTTTGGAAATTCGAAAAAAAATTTGCCAATTTTGAATTGCCGCCAAAATTAGCGATGATTGCGGACCTTAATTTATTCGAATTTCAGCTCTAAAAAAAAACGAGAAAATTTTCAATAAACGGTAGCGCGTGAAAATATCACAGAAAAAACCCAAAAAAAAACCGCCCATGTCATTTTAAATTTTCAGTTAGTTTTTTTATAGTAAAGCTGAAATTAAAAAAAAACTTTTAGATCGAGTTTCAGATTACTTTTGGATCCGTAAGCAGTTTAAACGGCTCATAGATGTTGGATAATACTTTTAACAAGAGATTTTCTTTTACCAAATTTATTTTATGCTATTGTCGGCGTCAAACGACTGAAGGGAGGCGGGGGCCTTCAAATTCGCGAATTCAGTGTAGATTTAAATTGCTCATTGCCTGAGTATTAAATGCGCGTAGGCTATAATGCAATGTACGCAGTCTCGCGTTCTTCTCGCTGCCTGCCTCAAGACGCCTTGGCACATTGCCAATCATTTTTTTTTAATTTCTTCAAGTCGTTTGACTCCGACACAACATGAACATGAAAAAAGAATCTTTAAAAGCATTTTTCAAAAATTCTGGTTTTTTTTCAATTCCAAAAAAGCTTTGAGTCAAACAAGAATGCCAAAAAAAAAACGCGAGCGTATACATATACTGTGCCTCAGAATCATACTACACAGAGAATGGAGAAATACAAGAGGGGCAGAGAAAAAAAGGGCGAGAGTCATAGATCGAGGAAGAGTGAGAGGTTGCTATGCAACGAGACATTTCTATAGAGCACGTTTGTCCACTATGTCACATAATATCATTGAAATCCAAAATTATCGAACCGACCCATTAAATAGAAAGTAACCAGTTGGTCGGCGCGAGACCATAGGGAAAGGCGCACCCCGTAAATCTACACGCGACTATCGAATTTTCATTTTTTTTTCTGTTTCGCTTTCTTATCTAGTTTCAATGTTTTTATTTTGAGTTATAAAGGTGATATTAAATGCGCGTAAGCTATAATGCAATGTATGCAATCTCGCGTACGTCTCGCTGCCTCGAGACGCATTGGCACATAGCCAATCATTTTCGAACACTGCCAACAATGTTTGGTGAGACCTACCAAATGCCCAAACGTCACTTTTGAGCGAATACAATTTGTCCTGCAAAACTTCAGGCGCCAGCCATTTCACCGGCACTTTGCCGAGTGTGTCGTCGTGCATTTCTGTGGTTTTATCATCGGACAACCCAAAATCCGAGATTTTGATCTCCTGAATTAATAAAATCGTCATCGATTGGCGTTGGTTTTTTTTTTGCGAGTTTACATCGTTCGCCGACAGAAGGCAATTCCGAGCGGCAATATCGCGATGCAGACATTTTCTGGATTCGAGAAACGCGAGACCGTCGGCGGATTCGACGCAGAATCGCAACAGCTCGGCGTTCTTCGTCGTCGTTTTGTTTTTTCGCAAATATGAGAGCAGCGAGCCGTCTAGAATTGTCGACTCGTCGTTTCGAATCCGAGAAATTCGCAACTCACGTGGACACACTTCCATTAGAATCATGATGGGATGGGCATGAACAGCAAGACCTAGATGAGAAACTCTGGTAACTCAAAACCAAATCGGATCCGACAAAATTCGGCTCCGAAATCAACCTTATCCGATTGGAAATTCTACGGATAAGATTGGAAAATTGTCGGATCCGATAGGTAATTATTCGAATCCGTTTTGTTTTAATATTTCAATTCGAATCGGAATCGACAAATAACCAATCTCATCCGTAGAATTACCAATCGGATAAGGTTGATTCCGGGCCCGAATTTTGTCGGATCCGATTGGTTTTGAGTTGCCAGAGAAAAAATATTTTGAAATTCGATTTTGGGCGGATTTCAAGAGAAATAATTTAATTATCAAAAATAGCCCGGTTTTTTTTGCCTAAAAATTCCAAATTCTTCATTTTTGGCAGAAAAGCTTTGAAAAACAAATTTCGAAATTTTTTATCATCAGCAAAAATTGAAATGCGCTTATTTTTGGCAGTTTTTTTTCTTTCAAGAAATTTGCCACTTTTATTTCATGAAAGTTAGACAACGTCAAAATTGTTTATTTGCTATCCATGCGAGACCCAAAGTAGAAATTTAAATTTAAAAAAGATGCTTGATATTCTATCGAATTTTGTTCTCTTCTTAAATGAAAGATTATAAAAATACTGACTTAAAGCGAAAATTTGGACGAACCAAAAAAACATTTTCAGAATTTTTATTCCAATTATTCATTCAATAAAAATTTTTTCCAAATCGAAATCGAATATAAATTAATCTGTTTCAAATTATTCCAAAATTTCTATCAAATATTGTCGGCGACTGCTGTACGCGGGTCGATTTACGCGCATGCGCCTTGAAAAAAGGTCTCGCACGGACTAACAGGTTATTTCAAATTTTATGGACCGCTTCGATAATTTTTTAATCGAATGATTTTTAAGGAAATGCGAAACTCATCAAGAAAAATGAAGCAGTTCACGTGAAAACAGCAAAATAAGCATTCACGCGTGGTGAGACCTTTTTTCAAGGCGCATGCATAATCTGTTTCGAATTATTCCAAATTTCAATCAAATACGAATTTCAAAATTGAGAATGAGAAATAAATCGATCGATTTCGATGATTTCTGAATCGAAACCAAGTTTTCAAATCGAATTTCAAATCGAATCCGGTTAATTTATTTTCCATTTTTTTCTTCGAATCCGACTGATTTTCATTTACCAGTTTTTTATAATGCAGTGTTGTAAAAAAAGCTAATTTTCTCATAATTTTTTAAAAATATTTATTTAGAATAAAAAAATTTGATGGATTTGGTCAATTTTATGACATTCGCAACGAAAAAAGACGAGCACCCTGTGTAGATTTACGATGAGTTTGATTCGCAGGTTATCCAGACTACGGTAGCCGAATTACCCTCGGTTTGAATTCGAATTTGAATTGCCGCCTCGAAAAAGTGCGATGGTCCACAATTATTCAAGGTGCTCGTTTTTCTTTGGATTCTAATACTTCTCGGCTAGAATGAGACCATGATCGGCTCATCAGCGAGTCGACTTAAGCTCTCAACCAGAGTTCAAAAAGCCAAAACAAGTACAGATTTAATTGAAAGCACCTGCGGACATTCTTTCTAAAAAAGAAGGGACCTTCCTAAATTTGAGCTTCTCCCGCTAAATGAGAAACTGGTCATCAAAATCCTTCATAATAGGAGGTGCTCCGAGCAATGGTTCAGCTCGTTATTCGAATTGTCTAGACTTCTCGACTCTGATAGCTCAAATCCAATCGGATCCGACAATTTCACAATCTCATCAATCGGATTAGGGTAATTCCGAAGCCAAATTTTGTCGGATCCAATTGGATTTTTAAGTTACCAGAGGATGATCCGATTTTCGGCAAGCCTATAGTGAAACGATGCCCGAAAAGCCTTACCAATAATCTTAACAATATGCGGATGATTGAATTTTCTCATCAGCCGCGCTTCCTTCATAAAAGCGGTTCGCGTGGCCCTTGTCAATTGGGTTTTGACGGTCTTCACTGCCACCGGAATGATGGTCCCGCCAATGTCGCATTCGGCAAGATACACCTAAACCAATCGATTGACGCTATTCTCGACGAGGCGACCAATTCGACTTCTCCGAACGCGCCTTCTCCCAGCTTTTTGCTCAATATCACATTCTCATGATCAATGATCCATGCCGGTTTTTCGATTGCATTTTTCAGTTTCACACCCGACGATTTCGTCAACGCCGATTTCGAGCTTCTATGAATCAAGAATCACGATTGACACGTCGAATAGTTGAGGCTCACAAATAATATTGAATGAGTTTATCGATCGATTTCTCTTTATGCCCCTCGATCCAATAATGCGATCCATTAGCATCGGAATGGATCGCAAAATGATGAGCAGTGTTGTGATCATCGCGAACGGAAACCACAATGGCTAATTTGTCTGAAATTCCCAACAAAAAAAATGAAATGCGCCTTTAAAGTAGTAGAAAGTCACAAGAAGTTTTTGGGTGAAATTTTAGGGTGCTGTGGGTGCAAAAAACTACCGTACTCAGTTTTGGCGCCAAATGTGAATATTTCAAATCATTGAAAATTTCTTTCTAAATTTAGAGCCCACGCTTTCTTCAAAAAATGGTCTCGAATGGAATTTTTCAAATCAGACCCCCCCCCCGCCCCCGCAAATGGATTACCATTAATTTCGGAAATTCTGAGCAAAAAATCGCCGGGTTTTCTGAGCAATTCGTCGGCGTCTTGTCGTTGAATAACACCGTGAAAATAGTCGCAATTCTGCACACAACTCTCGACGTCGTCCGTCGAGATTTTCGATGACTTCGATGAAACCGTTGACATCTTCTGATGACGTCGTTAGATTCATTCATTGAACAACACAAAATGGCTCGTACCCTTTTATTCGATGAATTTGAAACTCATCAAAATGAGAAATATGAAATGGCGAGTCGAATTCGAAAAATGCGCACGTTTTGCATTTCTTTTTTCAATTGCAAAAATCTGATCAAAATTTTTTCGCTTAAATTTTTTTTTGGCGTGCGATAAAATTATGTGGGTCTTGGGACGAATTTCGTAACATTTTTCATTTTACGAAAAAAAATCGCAAAATATAGAATGCTTCCGGGAAGGAGTCGCTGCGAGACTCAGCACAAAAAAATGTGTGCGCCTTTAAATTTAGATATTTGAAATTCAAAAATTATTCAAATATTCATAAATCACTGATTTCTAAATATTAAATTTTCAATTAGAAATTTCCATGAAAAATTTTGGAAAAGCGGGAAATTCAAATAAATAAATAAATAATTGATTAAAGGCTCATAATACGCAAAACGAGTTGGGTCTTGTGGCGACTGATTCTGGAAGCCCCAACAGACTAAAAATAAATCTATTTCATCGCAGGCACCTTTCAAAATCGAATTTTTTTGAAAGCTTACAATAATTAGAAAATAATTGCATATTTTCGCATAATTGCAGAAATTATTTGTCATGGCAAATTAATTCGCGTACATATTTTGGCTATTCATTTTTTTTTTTGAAATTTTATTTGACAGCCAATCTTTTTCAAACCTCCAATCAGATTATTCCAAATCGAAAATACCCTACATTTTTTGAATTTCAATGAGTTTCTGAAAATGAATTTCGAAATGATAATGGTCCCTTTCGGACCCCTTTCGAGCACAAAACTCGACTATGTCTTATTATGTCGTCAATTTCCCATTTGCCGACAACTTCCTGCTCAAACTTGAACTCTTTAGTCTTTTTAGGAAGCAAATGAATCACACATCGAAGAAGCGAGAGTAGAAAAAAGAAATCGCATCTCATCTACGGACATTATTCGACTCTTCTCAAACCCCATTTCATTTCTCCTTCTTTTTCTTCATCTCCATTCACAATTCACATTTTTATTCCGATACAAATTTCACAAAACCAAAACATTTTGATCATTACATATCGATTAATCGAATTTTTTGTGCATTTTTCACGAAAAAATGAGAAAAGCGTAAAAATGGGGCAGACGAAAAAGAAAAAGAAGCACACACACAATATATATATATATATATATATTTACACTATAATCATAATAATATAGAAAAGAAATGAATTGAATATCCTATAAATCGAAAGGGTTTTTTCAATGTGTGTGTGTGCGATTGCCCAAAACGACGGCTCGAATCAATCATTTATATTTGAAAAATTCATATACGGTGGTTTATACAATAGAAAGAAAAGAGTGAATGAAAAAAATGAGAGAAAACACGATTTGGTTGATTCGGGACAACGATAGGAAGCAAGTTTCCGCCAATTCTCGCGCAACATGTTCACAGGTTTCCAAATTGTACACAAAAAAAGAAAAAACCTACACAATTTTTTTAGAGAAAAGCTCAAAAAATTTGCCTATTACATCCAAAAAAAGAAGAAGAAGAAGAAGGTATTTATGTGAAGAATTGGGGAAGACCCGAGCTTTCCTTTCAAAAAAATAAAAATAAAAATGATTGAACAACCTATGAACATGTTGCGCGGGCATTCGCAAAACGCAAGAATATGGGGGATAATATACACTATTTTTGCGGGCACCTTGCCGGTTTGACCGGCGTTCGATTCCCAAGAGAAAAATGCCGTTGAAGGCATCTAAGCGACCACCACAATTGGAAAGAAAAAGAACAAGAAAGTCGAAAATTAAACTGTTTTTGTATTTATGTTTTTAAAAGAAAATGGTTGGTTGGTTTCTTTTTTCTCTTTTGAATAGAATTTGTCGAGGAACGGACCAAAAAATAACAAACAATATACGCCAAATATAAAAACTCAAGTGTGGAAATACACTTTCCGCAAGAAAGCTCCACACCCAAAAAGTTACATAAACGAGTAATGATTGTAGTTTCAGTCCAAATGTGTACAAGGATAGGTCTCGAAAAGAGCAGAATGTAGCCCTCGCAGGCCTATATACAGAGCAACTAAAAACAGCTTGATAGAGACAGTTGGAATCAGCGACAAATATAAAAAAAATATAAAAAAAAAAGAAACGTTCCTCGAGATTGAAATATGAGGTTTTCGGGCGTGACAATAGGAAAACACAGTGCAAGACTAGTTGAAGCGAAAAAAGAATGAATGAAAATAATAATTGTAAAATTGGATTACTAGAGAGACAGACCAAAGAGAAGGCAAATTTTGTGTGAATGGGATTGAGAGAAACGAGAAATAGAATCCAGTCAACCAAAATTGCGGGTGATTGTTTTCAAAAAAGAATAACAAAGAAATTTCAACGCTGCGTTTTTCAGCCACAGCAATTCAAGATGCGATAGGATGAGGGACCCAACCCAACAAAAACACCAAGAATGCACGAGAGATGAGAAAACACAACGCCAAACGCGACAATCACCACAATCATGTATTGATGAAAACACATCGCAGAATGTTCTTTGTTGTTGTTGTTTCGATGGTTTTCAATGGATTTAGATTCGTTGCACTTTGTCCGACACGATCACCGGATTCGCTTTTCGAATTGCCTCGCGCTCCATCGTCTTGTAGTCGAAATCGCAGTTATGAGCCTTGTCGTAGCGGTGCTCACCGCAGTATAATCCGCCGCAACGGCATGTGAAACCTGCAATAATCGAACAAAATGATGATTGTTTCGCGAATCTTCTAAATCGGGGTGGTCACGCAATAAAAATTCGCTGAATCAATTCTTGTTCGCCGATAAAAAGGAATCTTTACGATGGTTTCGAAATCATTTCATCATTTTTCAAAGATTCGAAAATTTACCCGTCAATCCAACCCGCTTTTTACACTGAAGGCATCGATTTGCTTTTTTCACCGGGACAGGAACATCTGCAACCAACGTCGTGGCGGCATTGCTTTCGACACTGAAAATTTGAAAATGAGCCGATCTTGATATAAAATGACAAAAATACTCACGATGCGTCGTCAGTAATTCTAGTAGAAAGGTTAAGAGCCTCTTGGGATTCAAGTTGTGCTGTCACTTCCGCGGCGGCCAGCGATGCTTTGGCGCACGTCTCGGCACTCGACGCGTCTGACTGAAGAGCGGACGAGGTGGCGGCCATCGACGACACAACTGAAATTACGCAATTTCCAATTCACATATTTCAAAAGAAATCACAAAAATCTCGTTGGTTTGGTCATATGATGCGCATAAGAGACATACACAAAAAAAGAGAACTTGAAAAAATTATTGTGCGATGACGATTCGCTCATGACGATAAGGACATGAATTTTGCGATAAACAAATGTACTCCAAAGAACAAGGGAAATACTCAAAAGCAAAACGTCATGACAAAGTTATGGAATATAATTGGATTAGGGTTGGGATGATATAAGAAAAACAATAAAAATAAATCAAGGTGATAGACGAACAATGCAATTTCCGTGCGTTTTCGCAATATTTGGTGTCAAATTTCGCGCAAATTTCATCGGAAACGAAACTCGAAAAAAACGAGAGAGAGAGAGTGGGAGAAGGATCCGAAACAATATGTCTTCTTCCCACTCTTTGTGAATCGATCGCACTCCTCTACGTCCCCCACAATTCCATTCCCATACAAAATGCGTATAATTGTTCACTGGCAACGCGCGGGCGGGGGCCTTCGTGCGCGGTCGCTAACGATGCAGACAACTAAAACCTCTCATTTCTGTCTGACGCATAAAATACGCAGCAACGCCATCGACACATTTATTCATACATACGCGCGCACACACACACACACATATATTCACCAACCAACAAAGCCCCATCGATTTTTGGCGTCGCCTCGCGGCAGACACCACAAAACGCATTCAAATTAATCGTCATACCGTCAAAATTCAACCTTGTTAATTTGCTGTCGCCAAAAAAATGCGCAACACACTAGATCCCTCACTCGCAATTCTGAGCGCGATTCGGTCCAACGGCGATGCGTATCGATCGAAAACAATTGGCTAGTCGCAAATTTTCGCCGAACGCGCAACCGAATCGCGTCATCATTTTGTTATCATCAACTAACTACTGTGGCCGGTGTGTATGTGTGTGCGTCGTTCTCAAAACGTCAGAGATAAAACAAATCGATTAGCTCTCAGAGGTTAACGACGCTGTAAATATAATAGGAAGCGAGCGGGGTGAGAGAGCACGCACACAGGGAGCACACTTTTGAAAAACGCACGGATTTATGACGAACATAACTTTTTTCTTCGTTCGTTGACTTATGCTGCGACCGAACAAAAGAGAAAGCCTACGAATTGGTTGTTTGATATAAATAAAAACAAATCTAATCGAAGAGAAGAAAACGAAATGGTATAGCGTGGGACACGAGACAAAAAATAACTTCTCGAAGGCATAAAAAGATTCTGAAAATACGTCATAGAAGAACGTCATCGAAGCGGTAAAACGAGAAGAAACGCATTCATTCAATTCGGCATGCCAAAAATGAAGCAGAAAACCGAAAGACCAACGCGGAAATTATTCAACTTACCAGGAGACGAAAGCCTGACGGGGTCCTGTGTGCGCTTCAGGGTGTCTTTGAAACATTTCGAGCAGTAGCCTTCTGTCGCCGAGGAACCGAAGAAGCCGCAACCCGCGCGGCACACAGAGTTCGTCGAAGCTTGTTGCTGTTCGTTCTCCATTTGATGTCCTGAGCGACTTCCTGAAATAACAAACAAATGAGATATAGAAATTGTATAATAGCAAAAAACGAAACACTGCGCGAGTAATTAACAACGATGGATGGCCGATAATATATACACACTACATTCAATTACTAATAATGATGTGTCTGCTGACTGACAAAAGTTCCAATTGTGCAAGGAATGGGCGGTGCGACGCTGGGACGCCAATCATCGCACCACAATATGACGCTCTCAAATCCACTAACGCGCAAAAAAAAAAAACAAAGCGAAACTAGTAATAATGATTTATGGCTAGTTTGTATATGGAAATTGGCTAAAGGTCGAACGATTTGTCAACCTAAAGGTGAAACGCCCAAAAAAAGAAGAAAACCCAACTTACTTCTGAACATTATTGCTAGTAGTTAACCGAGTCAAAATGTGAAATGGCGAACCCAAATTTTCAAACAACTCTTGTTTTCACTTGGGTTGAAATGGGGTTTACGCGGCCGTCATTCTCTCTTTTTCTTTTTATGACATTCTTCGCATTAAATAAGAAAAAAAAATGCGAAATATAAAAATCGAAAGATCGAGAGCTTTTAGTGTACACTCTCTAAAGCGAGAGGGGTCTCATTGTCACGGCGAAGGACCAGACAACGATGAAGCAAAACTCACTGTCTCATATGACCATCGGTAGGGGAAGGTCACAAGGAGAAATCAAAGGTATATCGACTCGAAACAGCTGAATATGTAACCACTTCTTTTGCGCTCGGCACGTACACGTCACATGCAGGCGAAAAGGGGTGACGACGACAAAAAAAAAAAGAAACGGAAGAAATGTTTTCCAGTGCGCCTCGGGCCCGTTTTTCACAGAAAACTGCGAGGCGAAAAGCCTGACGGACGGACGGACGGCGGGCCCGGCAGCGACGGCGAAAAAGCCCTCGCTTCCTACATTTCAGCGTGCACTTGTACATTGGGAATAGAAAAAAAAACCACTTTTCCTTCTTCTTTTTTGACAACGAAAAGAAGAAAACGAAGAAAATATTCAATACGAACCATAAAAATACCCAGAAATGACGGAGGTGGAAACCATTACAATTTGGGAAAAAAACCAAAGATGGAATATGAGTCATTCCTGAAAATGAAGTAGGCACCCATGCGAAAATGCAATTTTCTCAAAGCTTAGCCGACGCGATAAAAACGAAAACGAGCAGAACAAAAAATTGCACATCATTAATGAAATTCGAAATAAAAAGAACTAGTAGTTGGATAAACGATGTATCTAAGAAACCTATCGAGTAGAGTGCAAGTGCGCGATTCTGCGCGCGCAAACCATAAATCTAGGAAGATTGTAAAACGCGAACATCTGGTTGGAGGCGTCTTAAAGAGATGTTGATAGAACGCTTAAAGAGAATGCCGCAAAAACCGCCTAATGACCGCGATTTGTACGGCCAGCCGAAAACCCAGCAGCGCTCTATAAATATAAACACCGAGCTACGCGGGGCGAAGTCACATGACAACGCGAGGCCTCCGACTGATACTACTGACGACGGACGCCGCTAATTGTGACTCGAGAACATATAAACACATTTCGCAAGCATCATGTGCCATCCACCGCATTCATTTGTTGAACTGCCAACCTCGCGTAACACCCGACGAAAAAAAACCATTCAAGGCGCGCGCGCGCAATTTTTTTTGCGGAGGCCTTTTGGGTTCATGTGACAACTCACGTGACAACGGAAGCGCGCGCGTTTTTCTCTCCGCGCCACTAGCAGCAGACAGGCTGACTGACATTGGCCGCGCGTTGCGACCAGACAGCTGCCGACGATGTACAACCCCACTGCCAACGCATGAGCGACCCCCTCCCCCCTTCGAGTCGCAATTCACTTCGCTCTCTAACACACCCCGTGTATTTCGATCGCACTTGAATTGAAAAAAATTACAAAACGGCGCCCCAATCTGTACCAAAAATCTATACGTTTTCATTGCGTCTCGTATCGGGCGAAGATAGAACGCTGGGTGTACTGTGTTATCGGCAACGATATGGGTTGAACGGGGGAGGGAGCGTAAAGCAAAACTTTTACGATACAAGTTGCCGGCAGTAATGTATGCAAGCACAAACTGAAGACGAAAAAAGCGGACAAGTACGAAAACATAATGGTGCGGCCTCGTTTGGCGAGAAAAAAAAACCTTAACTGATGCAGTATGGGTGATGACGATCATCAAGGCGCCTATTCGCCTTGATAAGATACTATCAAAACGATAGTTCGAATTGAGAAACAAAGACGCTACGAAATTGATACAATCACATGTTAGCTGATTTTCATCTAACGCTCGCTGTCTCATTCGCAATTCACCTCATCTCGTGGAATACTATATCAGAATGATGCAATACGAGTATGCGACATGATAATTCTGTTTTCCAGCGATATCTAAAAAATAAATAGAAAAATATACGCGCGGTGCCAGTGACGGCAAGTTTCCAACAATAACAAGAGCTGCCTATTTTTCCTAGCTGTGCATGCGGAGGGCGAAGAAAAATAATTAACAGAAAACGCAAATCAGCGGAGTGTCTCGCGACTAGGCTCACGCTTCTCCGCCGCCCTTCAAATGAAGGCCTACAGAGTCGTTTCTCTTCTTCTTCTGAAATTGGGCGGAGTGCACTCCGTTTGGCATGACTAACCGCGCTCAAAGTGCATGCCGAGCAGCCGATTCGCCCGAACGCTGCACTTTTGCTTCGGAGACCTTTGAGACCATGTACCAATTCGATGCCGGCAATGACGCCGCCTTCGCCGACGTTCTTATCGTGTCGAAAAGTACACCGATTCGATTCGTAAAACGGTTGTAACGAGTTTCGGACGCGAGATAGAAAACCGGGGGGAGAATTTTCGCGAAAACATTGTCTCGAGATTGCGGGCCGTCAGCACAAATGACGAAATTCGACAATCCCTCTAAAATTGAAACCAATATTTACAAACCCGCAGTTGAAACGCGTTGGAAGACACCACCGCCACTAACTAAACGCCAAACAACTCTTAGAGAAGCGACTAGAGAAATTTGTTGTAGCGCCGGCTAGGAAAGACCCCCAGTTTTCGTGGTTACGTCTCACTACTTGAATTTTCCATTTTATTTCGAAACAAATAAAAAAAACGGCAGAATTTTGTGAGTTTATTCGCGGAAATCACTCCCATAAAAGAGGATTACAAAAAAATGATGATAGCCCCCGTAATGTTTATTCGGATTTGAAAAAGAAATCCTAAATCCTTTATTTCCGTCATTAATATAGCACTCAAATGGGTTTAATTTTTCAACAATTTCTAAGAAGATTCGATTCGTTTGTGATTCGCGTTGGTGTCTCGCTGACGCAAATCGATATTTCGATAGCGAAAGTGAATTTCGAAATACTTTCGAAAATATTTACCAAGCCTCATCTTATCAAAGGATTAAAAAAACGTAAAGCGGCGTTAAAAATCTCTCATTCATTATAATATTCGTTTCGACACTTCAGAGAAACTTGTAGAATGAAACAAGCGATTGCGAAATTAAAAATTAGTCGTAAAAGGTGCCTTAAATCAATGAAAATGTAGGAAAATGTTCACGCCACTCCTTCAACGTATCGATTCGTTTTCGTCATGTGACATTTGCCGAAACGAAACATTGAATAATTCGTCAATTACATTTTCAGCCGCCCTCGCTCGCTCAAATATCACGCAAACCACTCGTCACACACTGGAAGCAAAAAAATAACACACTGAAAACCAAAATTATTGAGGAAAAATTGGTGAATTGACGGCGTTGGAGGCAACCAATCCCGCTGTCTGCCTACATGCCAGCTATCGACCGACATCACACGATGACAATTTGAGAAATGCGCGTCGCGGCCGCAACGCGTCGCTCCACTGTACACACCCGACCACAGCGATAGTGCACACAACTAAAGGGACAGGCATTTATTATCCTGTGACACGCATCTCTGTGGTCTCATTCGTTTAAAAACTATTTCACCCCCCGATCCCCTTCACTATTATCAGCTGATTTTTTGTACTGCGTTGTGAACTTGAACAGAAACCAAACTCATCGTCATGTGACCATTCATCAGCACGTGAATATCAAATATTTCTTACAATTCTTTTGAACAGAATAAGGAAGGAAAAAAAAAACATTTTTCTGGGTTTGAGAAATGAGGAAATATGAAAAAAAAAAAAACATAGTGTTTTGCCCCATTCTCCTAAACAAAAATCCTGTTTTGTCATGGGCAAAGCGTTCTCGAAAACAATTTTCAGGCGCCCCCACCCCCCCCCTGCGGCCGGCACTCGCTCTCACAGGAATCTCATTTTTCGTTTCCACTTCTCCTATTTTTTGTCCAGAGTTTTGTGACTCAACCTTGTGTGACACACAGACACGCACACATACACACACGTTATTTTTTCTGGTAAATGTCCTCTGGCAACCAGCGCGACTAATAAAATACGCATTAAATATTAATTTTGCGACCAACCGACGACATTCGATTCGGAAAATGCATATTTTAGGGAGATTTCGAAATCGTTTCAGATTTCGCTATGAACATTAAGATAACGAAGTGGTAGAAAAAACCGCATTGACTCCGCGCAAAATTTTGCCTGAAAAAAACTAGTTTTGTGCGAACTGAGAATTAAAGGTCAACCGAACAAAGAAAAATTGGAAAATGAAAGAATTCAATGGGGACGACAATTTCACAAAAGTATTTAAAGTAATTCGCGTTTGTCATTCGGCATTGATTGAGCGTTGAATTCCAGCTAATCGCGTTCTTATTTGCATTTTCAATATACTAAAAGAAAAGGAGAAGAAATGAATTATAAATAAGAACAATTTCGAGAGGTTTTCGCCCCCTCCCTCCATTCACAACGAGCAATCCCCAAACACGAAATTATTCGCGAGAAGCCTCTAGAGAAAAAAAAAACGAAGCGTTTCGTTGAACAAATCGCACAGTTTTGCAAAAATTTTTCGCGTAGAAGCGTTCAATACGTGTCAACTTCAGCCATTGTGTTCATAAAATAAATATTTGAGCCGCGCTGGATTTCGAACTCTGATCAATTCAGAATGACAACGACGATCAGCGGGATACATTCCCTCCAATTAAATAATCCTCCTCAATCTGAATCACAAGAATTAATAAGATTTTGAATAAGAAAATAATTATGCTAATCATTGGAAGCTCCTAAAATCCGTGAGAAATGTGAAAAATCACAGATTTTGAGCGGAATTTCTCAAAAATTAGTATTGATGGCGTGTTAAAAAAAAATTTAATACTTCCAATGAATCGCATACATGGCAAAATTGTGAAAAAAATGTGGTTCACAACGAGAATTTTCGAGTAAAAACGCAATTTCGCGGGAAAAATAAACAATCGAAATCAATTTTCTTGAAGGATTTAATGCGAAAACAGGTATCGCTGCGAGACCATCGGCGCGTGATCGCCCATGCGTCTTCCCTTTCAGCGGCAATTCAAATCGATTATTTCGTCGATTTGCCGGTTTCTCGTCGAAATTCAACGCAAACACGACCTCAAGTGAGGCAGGAGAGCACCATCATCGGGTGTTGGTTGCCGAATATTCGGAAAATCGATGGGTTCTGTTATCCGAACACACACAGACACGCACAACCAACCAACCACCACCATCATCATCGTCTGCGACGGCGGCGGCCGAGTTCGCAAACACAGCGGATCGTCATGTCAGGAAGCGAGACACCGGCAAGAGGAATCGAGACGCAGGAAGCAATGCGGAGGCAATAGAACATGGGTGGAGGAAAGCGGAGTGCGGCGCAAAAAAAAAATTGGAGAAAAGTGGCGACGAATGATGATGATGATAATGGCCGCATAAAAATTTTTTTTGGAATGACGGGAAGGTTATCGCGGTGGGGAATCAGACCATTTCGGCGGGGGTCGTCGTCGGCGGCGGCGGCGAAACGGAAAAGACGCATTAGGGGGAGAGCACAACATTGAAATCCATTCTTATCGCGCAGAAAATGCACTTTTATTGATTTTTATCGAAGTCGGCGACCGGCCGCCGCCGCCGAAATCGCGGTGCGCATCGACTGACGCGCTAAAAATAAAATAATGGTTGGGGCGGAAGGCAAACAGCGCAGCAACAACTAGTATAAACTGAAACAAACAATTTTTGGCGGCGAACGAACTCGACCCTCGCTAGGTTCAGCCTAGGCATTCCAACCAACCCGATTCTCTCTCTCCCTCTGCGCCCTTATTTGCAGCGCACTCAACCAATGAGACACAATGTTGTGTCAATAAATGTTTGACAAAACGATGAGAATGAGGAAAAAAATCGAATATGGAGAAAAAGTTGTTTGAATTTGTCGCTAGATTCTAGTGAAAGTAATATTCAAATAAGGATTATTTGATCATAGTAGATCAAAAATCTAGGGTGTCTCGTTCTCAACATCGATGGTTAAAATGTTATAAAATCGTTTAATATATTTTTTTTAATTGAAAAGAAGATTGATTTTTTTCATTCGAATTCAATTTTTCTTTTCCTATTCAAACCAGAAAGTGTGAAATTGTTTATACAATGGCGAATTCTATACTATTTCATTTTTTGTTCTTCTCCGCTATTATTTGCGAGTCGGCAGAGGAAAAAAAACGTCTCGAGGCAGCCTTCAACCTCGCTTGAGACGGGGGGTGCGCCTAGGGTTCTCCCTGGTTACCCAATTGAAATCAAGTTTTCGAATCGGGATTTTTCTAGACGTCAAATTTGAAATTTGAGGAAATAGTGTAAAGTGTGGTGAGATGTTTGCAGAATGCACGTAATCCGACGATAAGTGAATTCGATTTTTTTTTCAAATTTCGTCCTAAAAATAAAAGTTTTCCCATGAAACGTCAGAATTTGTTTCTCGAATGTTTATTCCAAATTGGAGCTTGTTAAAAATGCTAAATATGGCCCAAAAAATTGTTCCCAATTTTCCCAAAACATCGTACTGTTTTCTTTGCATCGCATTTCGCCGAAAAAAAACACATCGGGATATGTATAAATAAACAAACAATCGTGAAATTACATATATTATTTTTCGACCGAAATAAATTCTCCCATTATTTCCTGTTTTTATTTTATTTTTCAGCAGCGGGTGGTTGACGAGGGAACACGAAAGAAAAACTAATATGATAGATATCGGGGCGGCGAAAAAGAAAAAATTCGATTCGAAGGTGAATTCGAATCAAAATCAAGAAAAAACACACGGCACCGGGTGTGCCTATAGTGTAAAATTGTCCAAATTAGGCAAGCAGAAAAAAACCGGACGCGATTCTAGCGGCGAAATCGAAAACACCACCATCGGCGGGGGCCGCCCGAAAAAGGAAAACCCGCCGACGACCAAAGAGGCAATCGCGCGACGACGATGTTTGATAGGCGTCACTTCAGAATCTCCCAAATTAATAGACTTTATCGGCGAATAACAAAACCATATCAAGCAATAACAGAACAATTTTAGCATAAGCTTTTTTTTGGAATTTTCACGAAACACACGGGTACGTATAAATTATGGGGCACATCGTCCAACAAATCTCGGGTACAAACAAACATCGCGGATATGATTGGTGTTGGTCAGCCAGCAAATGAATCTCTCCAAACCGAGTCCGAAGCCGCCATGCGGCACCGATCCATACTTGCGTTGATCCATATACCAGAAGTAGTTCTTCGGATCGATTCCGGCCTTGGCGAACGCCGCAAGCATCTCGTCTTCTTTCCAGATACGCATCGAACCGCCGACAATCTCGCCGACACCTGTTCAAATTCCCAATTATAATGAGCCCGTATATTATTAATTATTTGAGCGTCGCTCGTACCTGGCATCAATAGATCCACTGACTCTGTCAGCTCATTGTCATCGGCGCAGCGGGGCATATAGAATGCCTTGATTCCATGTGGGAAGCGGTTGAGGAAAATTGGCTGCAATTATAGGTGATTAAGAAGCAATAAACAATTTCGTTTATAAATGGAAATAAACATATCTATTATATTACATTCTAATTAAAGGTTTAATAATGACATTTAAAAGCAAATGCAGAATATGAAATATGCTTGAAAATTCTTTCTGAAACCCTTTAATCAGTATCAAAGAAATTTCTACGATCTTATGATCTCAATGTTCAAATTATCACAAATTCGCAAAATGATTATCATACCCTTCATTTCAAAACCACTTCCTATCTAATCTGCTTTCCCTTCTTATCGTATTTACAGATCCCGGGCAAAGTTCGCGATTACTGTAGAATCACGCGACGGATGATTCATTTCAACTTTTTGTGTTCCAAAAACACCAATGGGTGATTTATAATCTCTTACCACTCCAATCGTATCAGTCATTTTTCTTTCCGCAGCTTCGGCGATATCCTCTCCATACACAAACTCTTCGCCATTTTCGTTAAGGACTTTGTGCTCCTGAAGCCAAGCGATCGCTTCCTTGTACGCCATACGACGGAATGGCCTCTCAGGCTTCTTGTATCCCTAAAATGACCGTATCGAGACAATGAAAGAATGGTATCATTCCGATTACCGGGTTGACGAATTCGATAAGAGATTTGGTGACGGGATCGGCCAAGAGGCGATCAACGGTATCGCAGACAAGATCCTCAATTTTCGCCATCAGATCGTCGAACGTAATGAAAGCGCATTCAGCTTCGACATGTTGATATTCAGATAAATGACGGCGAGTACGAGATTTTTCAGCTCTGAATGAATGATTTTCAACTTTTTCACATTTTTTCGAATTGTCTAGACATTCCCTTCTCACACAATTTTTCTATTGCACTTTTGATATTTACCTGTATGATTGAGCAATACAGTAAACATCGCCAAGGGCTGCATTGCAAGTTTCCAAGTACAATTGCGACGATTGGGTGAGGTACGCGGGCTCTCCGTAATAATCCAAAGAGAACAACGTGGATCCGCCTTCGACTTGGGTTTGCACCAAAGTTGGCGGAGCGACCTCGGTGTATCCGGCAGCGTAGAAGTGCTCTCTCATGGCGCGTGTAGTAGCCGCACGGATTCGCAGAATTCTCGACGCATTCTCACCGCGGATAACCAAATGACGGTTGTCAAGCAACACTTCAACTCCGGCTTCTTCGTTGAGAACGTTGTCGATTCCGCCTGGTGGCGCCTTCGAGATGACCTCCCAGTAATCGACGACGAGCTCATGGCCGTCTGGAGCTGATTTTCCATCAGGAAGCTCCTTGATGATACCGTAAACTTGGACGGAAGTCTCGGTTGAAAGTGTAACAGCATCATAGCTCTGGCACTGAAAGATTTCAATATTTTAAAATGAAACTCTCTTGAAAACAGTACCAATTTGTCGTTGAGAACGCATTGAAGGAACCCATAACCATCACGGAGGACCAAAAACATCAACGACTTTCCTTGACGTCTTATTCTGTGCACCCAAGCTTTAACAAGAACTCTCTTGTTTCTGTTCTCAATTGTTTCGCTGATTTTGATGACCTTGGCTTCTGGAAGAGACTTGTCCAACGTGAATGTAATCTTTTTCGCTTCTTCCAGAGCAGCGTGAGCGGATTCCTCAGCAGCTTTGCTTCTTTCAGCAGACTTTTCAAGTTTCTTGACTTCCGCTTCATATCTAAACGTTCACGTTGAAATTTCAATTTTTTTTTAGCAATTTCTTCACTTTTTCATAGCCTTCTTGATGGCTGCCTTCGCAGCAGGCTCCCACGTAAAGACGCCATCTTCGCTTTTCTTTTTCATCAAAAACTCCCCGCTGTTCTTCGATATCAACATAGCCTAAATTTCAATTTGTCGCGACAATGTTTTCGAGAAAAAATACCTGAACAAGGGTAGCCAATGGCTTCTCTTCTGTACCGGCATGCTCATCGGAGCCAGCTTCGGTGTCAATGTAGAGTTTTGACATGATTTACCCTAAACGTTGGGTTTAGAACGTTTCGTAGAAAATATGGGTAAAATTTTATCGGAAGTGCGCGGTTTTAAACGTGAAAACGACTGCAAAAACAACATAATATGACGGAAGCCAGAAAATTGTGAGATTGCGCAACAGAATGAAATGTCGTAAGTTGAAGTGTTTGCGGAACTTCGACTTCCTAATTTCGAACATTTGTATTGCTAATTAGCCAATTATTCGCATTAACAAATTGTTCCCAACTATACAATTTCTGTACCATTGATTTAATGTAAATACATGTGTTTAATCAGCTTTCAATCCAAGCAGATGCGTGCGAATCACCAAAACACAAAAAGAAACGTACGGTACGCAAAATTTACACTTCATTCTGTGCACTCACACGATTTGACGACATTTTGCACCTACGATTTTTTTTCCGGCGCCTGACACTTTTGACATTAAAAATCCACTAATTTTTCAAACTTTTCATACTTTATATTAAAATGTTGTTGCAATCCAGTTCATAATATAATTTTTAATATTCAAATTTAAAGAAATGTAATTTTCAATCCGTTCATTACACTGTTTATAAATTTGAAATATTTATCAAATCAAAATAGTAAATTACGCGCATTAATTTGCAGTAATGAATCGTCTTCTTCAACAAGCGGTGTGCCGTGCGAACGTTGCGGTTCGCGCTTCATCAAACGTCACTGTCGCTCCACCAAATCCAAATCAAATTACTAAGGGCAACGCAAAATTCGACAAAGTTACACATACCGGACAAGTAAGAAAATCTTTAATAGTTTAAAAGGTATGTCTAATTTCAAGGCTTGGGATCAAGCTGACTACCGCCTTCAAAGATTCGACATCTCCGAGAAGCAAGTAAGCTGGGCAGAAATTGAAGAAAAACCGTGTTAAATGATGAATTGAAGGTGAATCCAAATGTCGCCATGCACCTTATTGCCCAAAGACCACCACAGGATTGTGGAGATAAGAGCGTTGTCTACTGCGACGGCGGACATCCGGCACTCGGACATCCAAAAGTTTATATCAACTTGGTAACTTTTTTTCAAATTAAAATTGTTTCCCTAAAGTGTTTTCAAAGTTAATTCAAAAGTTCTACATTCATTTTTAGGTTTTGAAAGATGATTTTGGCAAAATTCCTGTGATTTTTAATTTGTGGAAAACTCTCCAAATTTATCGATTTCCATGTTTTCCAGGATAAGCCAGGAGTTCACGCGTGCGGCTACTGCGGAAATCAATTCTACAACTCGCACGTCACCCACGGCGAAAACATGCAAATCAAACATCTCAACTGCTAAGTTTTCAATTAGATTCGAGTCACGTTCAGCGATAGATAATCCATTTCGTTCATTATAAATAAACAAGATTAAGATATCGGTTTCGAATATTCAGTACAGCTAACCGGACGACCGACAAAATTTTACGACCAACGAATAGATATGGAGACGCAGAGAAACATACAAAGAGATCATATCACAAAGCAAAAAGAAAACGAATAAGTAATAATAATAATCGAGTTATTTGATCGGCAACGAGAAGAATTGATGCTTCAACGCCTCATTGCACGTCAATCTCTTCGCCGGATCCAACATGAGCATTCCATCGAGTACTTGCCGAAATGCTTGAACCTGCAAAATATGAATTGTCGTCAATTCCCAATCAGCCATATCCTGAAAGCTATAGGATGATGAGCCACGCTAATCGACCAAATTTCTATATTCGCACTCATAAAATCGCCGCATTCGACAATTGAAAATGCGACGAGGAACAGAGTGCGGCCGGCATTGAGCCATCGACGATTCTTGCACCACGCCCAACATCACACCATATCTACCCTACATGTCATACCGACCTGCTCATGTTGCTCACGGTTAAGACGTTGACCACCAAGGAGTTCGGCCTCCAGATCACGTGATGGCTTAAGATTCGATAAAACCGTGATCTGTAAAGTAATTCACTTATTTATTTGCCGTTAAGAACATTAGAAAAAAAATCGAACCTTATCTCTTTGCGTGACTTTGTCAATTTCATGATACAGCAAATTACAATTCGAATCAAAGTGTTGATCTTTGAATTGCGATTTTCTCACCAATTTGTTTGGATATTTCCCTTTCACATCAGTGAACAACTAAAAACTTGAATTTTCAAAAAAAAATTGAATTGAAGTCTAGAAACCTTTAACATATGATTGTTCGATCTTCCGGGGAACATAATTTTACCAGTATAAACCTCGTAGAGTGTCACAGCCACAGACCAAAGATCAATTGCGTAGTCATGAGGGACTCCAAGCACTAAAAAATAATAAAAATTGACAAGTCCTTGAAAGATTTTTTAAAACTGATTTCCGGTGCTCTGTAGAAGCGCGAAACCAAATATGGCGCGATTTCCTGCTCATTCACATGTCCCGATGAACCGAAATCGCATAATTTCAGCGTCAATTTCGATTCGTTTACCTGAAAACTCAACAATTCGACGTTTGATTACGTCAAATACCAAAATATTATCAGGTTTAATATCAGCGTGGACGAGACCACATTTCTTTAGAAGTCTGAGAGCAAGAAGAAGCTGCTGAGCATAACTGCGAACCGCTTTCAAGTGCAATCCATCCTTCTGCCCATATTTTTTGAGAAGTTCACGGAGATTCATGCTGTAAATTTTTAGAATCCAATAAACTTGTTTTGAAAAGAAATTTTAACCAAAAAAAAAAGAAAATATTGATAAAAGTTACCTCAAATTCTCAAAAACCAAACAAAGATGGTTATGATGAGTAAAAGTTCTGTACAGTTGAAGACAGTGATAGCGATCTTCCTTGTCGGCTTCATTCAATTTTCGTAAAATTTCCATTTCTCGAATTCCAGTTTTTCGCCTAAAGAAAAACAAATGCGAAACCTGTCATATCATTTAATTGAACAATCATTTACATAATCTCATTGTTTCTTATAATTTTTACGGCGACCGTGTTATTTCTCGACTGATCGGTGCATCGGCAAACGTTTCCAAACACACCAGCGCCAGTAAATCCCGTAACTCGATAGCGATTATCGAGAAGTTCTCCAATACGAACACCTTAAAATCAACATGAGCTTGTTGGAACCAAAAAAAAAATGAAATAGAAAAGATTACGGTAATATCCATCAGTATCATCCCAGTTATCCTTTAATGTCTCATGTTTGGCACCCATATGCCCATCAATTGTGGCAATATCTTGAGGAAGCTCGTTATCATCGGCGAACATATCAAATTCTTTTTTCGGCTTCATTTCCATATCATCATCATCATCGTCATTTTCACCTTCTTTTTTCATTTTCTCAGCTTCTTCTTGCTTTTTCACTTTTGCCTGCTCTTTTTTAATCTCTTCCGCTATTTTCTTATCAGCGTTTCTAAAAATCGATATTGTCCAATTTTATCAAAACAAATCCAAAATCTCACTCAATATGCTCAATTTTCTCTCGAAGACCATCGAAAAAGTCTCCAGCACTTTCATCGTCGATTCTCGCTGGCGTCGATATTCCGCTTGAAGGCGAATCGCTTCCTAGTCGAGACTGAAATTAGAGTCATTCAAAAAGTAACGTCGAATTAAAAGGAATACCTGTTGAACCATTTTCTGGGCTTCTCGAATAAGTGCCTCCTTCTCGTAATCTGAATCCGATTCTGAACTTTCTTCATTCTCCTGGTCCGAAGCCTTTTTCGGCTCTTCTTCTTCCTCTTTCGGCTGATTTTCTTGCATAGGTGTCTAAAACAGCTATTTTTCAGATCAAAAACCCAAGTTGATTTACATTTTCTCGAGTGCCTGAAATTTTCTTCAAAATTTGCTGCCGACGCTTTCGCATTTCCTCAATTTTCTTCTCCTCATCGTCAGAATCCGATTCAAGACTCCACTCAACTGGCTTAACATCGTCATCTTTGTGTTTTCTGTCTCGACTTTTTGATCGTCGTCGATCTTTCGATCTTGACCTTCTACGATCATCACGTCGGCGAATATCTCGTCGATTTCGACTATCATCGCGACGGTGCCTTTGGAATCGATCAGGACTTCTGAAAGTAACTGGCATTGTTTAATATGAATAGAACTAGGTTTACCTCCTTCGGTCCGGCGACCTTCTGACATCCCGTCGATCCCGACTTCTTTGTCGTTCGATATTTTGCCTTCGGTCGGCATCTCGTCGTTCTCTACTCCGCTCTCGCAAAACCCTTTCAGACTCCCTTCTTTCGCGGCTTCTTTCTCTTGCAAGCCGTTCATTATCCCGTCTTTCTCGACTTCTCGTTCGATCTCGCGCGGCACGTTCTGGTTCACGACGTCGCTCCGGACTTCGTTCTCTAATTCGAGACTTCTAAACCGAGCAGATTGTATTTTTCAGATCATTTTATTAAAAAAAAACCTCATCTCTGTGCTTCTCTTTTTCATCGTGATCATTGCGTTTTTCTCTTTTCTCAACAATATCGTCTACAGAAGCGCGTCGCTTTGTTGGAGGCTCATCCTCGTCATCCCTTTCTTTGTCACGTTTCGCTTTCTTCTCTTTTTTATGCTTTTTGTCTTTTTTATGTTTTTTCTCCTTCTTGTGCTTTTTTTCTTTCTTCTTTTTGTGCTCAGAATGCTCGGATAGAGTGCGTTTTCGAGAATTGTGCTCACTTTCTGGTTCGTTAGCTGAAAGCACGTTAATGATAGCATTTTTCAATATCAAACGTGCAAACTTCTCATTTCAGCGTCGGTCGATTCATCGTCGGAATCGCGCACCTCGCCATCTTCGGGACGTGAATCGATATCGGACATGCCTGGTTAAAAACTCAATAATTAGAATATTTGCAATAAACTCTTGCGATTTGAGGTTTTTTGCTAAATTTTCATGTTTAAAAACGAATTTTGATAATTAACATCGCAAGATCACCCAGAAGACGCAATGAATACCGGAAAACGAGATCTTCATCCATACTCCTCTCCACAGCTAACGACGTAGAAAAATGTGGATGAAAACATCTTAAACAAAATGTTTCAGTAAATTATGAAACAATATTCATTTTACATGTTGAATTTACCATCAATGGTATTGAAATCCCCATGTCGTGAAGCATTGGCTAGGAAAAAAAAGCACACAGTGAAAAATCATAAAGAAAATGGAAAGGAAATTAACTTCCACATAAAAACGCGCTCAATTTACGAGGGTTTTAGCAATCGGTTTCGTTTTCGCTTAGAAATTACTAATAAAATTTATACGACATAATTTAAACAAAAAGTTCTGTGTCATAAATCAAGAAAAAAAAAACAGAGAAGCAGAAAAATTGAAAATGGAGATTATTCGAAATTCGAAAGACTACACCAAATAAATGTCAGTTAACTATCATAGGCGCATTTTGAGTGCACCAATAATTTTTCAGCTCCAATTTTTGCTTCATTTTTCCAGATATTATTTGCATTTTAAAACATTCCCTCTATAATTTGAGTTTTATTTAAAATATGGAATATTTAAAGCTATGGACAACATTAAAATTATATAACTTTCCGTGTTGTCAAAAAAAAAGTTTTTCTAGCAACACTTATACTCGGTGTGATTTCGATGCTTTCAATTATAGCCTACTTTCAGATAATTTTTTTTAATTATTGCAGACACTCAAACATCGTATCTATCGTTATTTGTCATCATAGCGCGAATTTTGTATGAACAACCTTGCCGTCAAGAATGGATTGTTCCCGGTACCAATATTTTTTTTTCTAATATCATTAAACCTTCATGAAGGGTTGCAATTTTCTTAGAAGTCCCTATCGGCAAACGCGGGTCGAAGCGAAATTGGTCGGGTAAAAGTTGCATTGGCTCCCGGCAAGGGTTTCCTCGACTGGCTCAAATTGACAACCGGCAAGGTTCGTGTTTCTACTTCTAATTGCTCACGGAGCCGATGTCGTCGCTCGGGCTCTCTTGCACTTTTTCTTTTTTTTTTCGCGGCTGCGCCTCAACCACCCATTCCAAACACGCCCACTTTTCCATTTTTGCTGCTCAACATTTTTCTCATGCTTTCCACGAGCGCGATTACTATTTAATGAATGATATGCTCCAGCTTCTGCTCAACTATGAGTCTTGACATATTCAAAAAATTCTTTCAAAAGGTCCCAACTCCAATGTTCTTCAAAGGACCATCGAAATTTCAGGTTCTCGCAAAACGCCAACATCCCGTTGATCACATTGAACTCGCGAAACATGACAAAATCAACGATTGTTGGGTTCTTCTATTCGGCGATGTGTACGATGTAACTCAATACCTCGATTTTCATCCTGGAGGAGTTCCAGAGCTCATGCGAGCAGCAGGAAGAGGTATAATTCAGTTTTTTGTTGGTTGGGTAATCATATTTCATGTGTATTGTCTTGGAAATCCAATTATTTTTTTCCCATTTTCGCGTTTTGTATGGGAAATGAGGAAAAGCATAAAAAATCGGAAAATTTCTAGATGCAACCTCACTTTTTAATGAAACTCATGCATGGGTCAATTATCAAAGTATGCTGAAAGCTTGCCGAGTTGGGCAATTTATAGGAGACGCTTCAAAACGCAAGTTTCTTACTCAATTTTCATCAAAACCTTGTCGATTTTTAGTGCCGGCATGTCTGCCGCCGACAAATCTCAAAGATCCCAATCTTCTCGGACCATCATCATCGTTTTCGACGATTTTCAAGGACAACACCTCGGAGTTATTCGGCACCAAGTGATTTGATCAATTTCTATCGATAATAACCAGCTTTTTGTAGAATTATTCCGACTGAAAACGGGCTGAAAATCAAAAATGACGAATGGCAGGATTTGCGTTTGGAGAATGTTGTCGTTTCTTTGGAATCTCGAAAAATTCAGGTTTTTTTCGGAAATATCGAGATTTTGAATATTTCTTTGTGTTTCTAGACGGCCATCACCACTTCTGGAGACGAATTGAGCTCGGAAATTCAAGTTCTTCGGATTTTGGTCAAACATTTCTGGAAAGCTGGAATGGAATTCGAGTTTGGTTCGTCTATTGAAGAATAATTCAAAAAAAAATTTTCTTTTCAATTTCAGAATCCTCGAATTTATTGAAAAACCAGAACTTCGAAGTTGACGCCTTCAAAAGCCAAGTTGAAGTGAAATTTTTGAATGTAAGCATTATTTTGCTCATTTTCTGAAACATGTTTCGCTGCAGGTCACATTCGAGCAAGATTTTCGCGAAATATTCGATGAGAATAAGGTCAAAGTCACACGGAGTCCAGGTATTTTCCCATAAATTGTGCATAAAATCATTCTTGTTCTTTCGTAGGAGTCTCGTATCACAAATGCGAAGTGAATGCCATTAATCGGCTGAATCATAATACGTTGGTTTATTCGCTTCGAATTCCGAATAACATTCATTATGGCATTGCAATGGGCCATCATGTTTCTGTGAAAGTCCGAAAAGGAAGTTGGTATTTTGAATTTCTAAACAAATTTATTCGAAAAATCTCGTTTTTTTTTCACATTGTGGAAAAAATCGTTTTGATTCTCGAAAAAGAGGAAAAAATTGAACAATGAACCTTTGATTATGATGATTATTGCGAGTTCAAAGTCCATTTCGCAGATTCGGTTCTCTATCGGCCATACACTCCAATTCGCGCTCATTGTGGTCATAATGATCCGAAACGAATCGATTTGATGATTAAGATTTATCCGGATGGAGTTTGTACACCTTCTTTGGAGAAATTAAAACCAGGTTTCAGAAATTTTCTGAAGAAATAAAAATAGGATATTTCGGAAATTTTTAGGAGATTGCTTGGAGATTAGTGATCCAATTGGAAACAAAAAATTCGAGGATTGGGTGAAATATGCGGATGAGCTTTATTTGATTGCTGGTGGCACTGGAATCACGCCAATGGTTGATATTCTCGATTTGAGGAAGGAATGGAGAGGGTTTTCAAATATTTTTTTGCATTAAAACTCCTAAAATCAAATTTGTTCAGAAAAAATTACACATGTGCTCTGATTTTCAACAAAACTCAAGACGACACTCCGACTGGCGAACAAGCGCAAGAATTTGGATGGATTTTGTCGGAATGGGCGAAAAATTTTGATGGAGATGAGCAATTTCAGGTTGGAGTTTCTTATTTGGAAGTTTGAAATAAAAATAGATATCTGTTTTGACAGATTTTGAACATTTTGAGTGAAACGCCTTTAAAGGAATCTGAATCTTATCATACGGGAAGAGTAAGCAGTGAATTGATTCGAAATGTTGCCAGGATTCCGGATTGCACTAATTCGAGAAGAAAAGCGTTCATTTGTGGGCCTGATGGATTTATGATTGAGGCGAAAAGGTATAAAATTAAAATATTTATGAAATTCACGATTGTTTTTCTTCAGAGCTCTTGAGAACTTGGGGCTTACTGCCGATGACATTCATATTTTCCAAGGATAAAAATTGCTTTAGTCTCCTGCGATGTAGAAATAAATGGTTTATTTGATTTGTGACTTTCGCCTATTTATACTAACAATGAAACTGCGCAAGAAATGCAATGGATTTGACATAATCGGTTTGTTTTTTTGGAAATAATGTTACATTTTTTTGGAGAGAAATTAAACATTTTTTAATCACTTTGTCTCTATTCGCGGCGAATTTCCACGACGCCAATTGCGGAATTTGGCGAAGAGGCTCGTCGGAGACAATACTGAGCATTTTCCTGAAAAATTTTGGCTCGAAATGAAACGAATTTTTGAATTGATTGCCTCCTTGCGGATCTGATGGAAGCGCCTTCTTTTTTCTCTGCGAATATCGACGAATTGCGCTGTGGAAATCGTCGACCTGATGGCGAGGAGACGGCTGAAAACGAGGATAGGCGAATTCAAAATGACGGGTTAAAAGAAACCTTCTGCATTACGACATCTGGCGAAAACGCTTCTTGAATTTCAGCAACGAGACCAACGAGAAGATCGTCGACGTCATGGTCAAGTGCAACGGAGATTTCGAAATGCTCAAAGCCGAGAGCTGCTTTTGCTGAGCGGACTTCTGAAAACAAGACAAATCGAATATTGTTATTTCATTCATTTTGATTCGATGGCAGTGATCAATGAGCACAAAGACATGCGATTGCAGATTGAGAGGAAAAATAAACAAAGTGGTAATGAATGGTCCCTCATTATTGTTAGGCAGAAGCTCAGCGAAAAGTTGATTTTTGATCAGTTTATTCGGGTTTTAAAAATTTATTTTTTTAGTTAAACTTCGTGAAAAAACCAAAAAAAAATTGCAGAAATCAAAATTTTGGATTTAGTGTAACACTGCGTCAAGTGTTTGCGTACAATGCGCAGGAAATTTCTTAAAATATTTCAAAACAGTCTTAAAACGCGGAGAAAATTATTCCCAAATTCAATTTCAGGTGTTCGTTTTTTTTTTCTCGTAATCAACTCAACCATAAATATGCTTGCAGAGTGGGGGGGGGGCTCAATTATTCGACGAACCTTGTTTGGTCACCGTGCGTTTTCTCTCCAAATCGACTTTGTTGCCGGCGACGAGAATCGGAATATTTCGGCATTCTGGCGACTCGCGAATAATCTAACAAAATCAATGAATTCAATGGATTTTCCAACAATTCTCTCAAACCTCGATGGCATTGGTTGCCTGCTTCCAGCTCGATCTCGAATCAATACTATAGACAACGACGAACGCGTGAACCTCGTTGGTCAGCCAATGAGTATCATTCTATTAATATCGATTTTGTTCGATCAAGAATATCAAGAAAATACCAAGTCCGACTCAAAAAACACCAAATCGCATTCAACTCCGCCAATACAAATCGAAACCGTATTCTCGTAGTCCTCTGAAAAAGCCAACTGTCCGCAGCTGTTATTACATAAATCAATAATTGAGTTGTATAATTTTTGTGAGTGAACCCGGAAGATTGTCGGCTGCACAATATTTACTTACGAATCTCATCGGCGAACGCATTCTTGTATTCGGAAGTGATGAGTTGACTTATAAGCGAACTTTTGCCAGTTCCAGTGTCTCCGATAACGAATGTCTGCAAAATTTCGATGAAAAAAATGGGCAAAAAATGGCAAACAAACTTTGTATGTTTTGTGGCTTGTCGACGCATTTGCCACGTCATTGACAGCGAGTTTCGAGAGCTCGTCGCCTACCGGATCGCTGGCTTCGCTTTCGCTTCGAGACCCGCGCGCCGAATCCGTCGACATCGAAACCGGAAACGGCGACGGCGATTTGTCGCCTAGAAAATTTTCTAATTAATATATTTTGGGGGGGGGAAGCAATTAAATAGATATAATTGGGGGGGGGGGGGTCCTCCTGCGGGTAGATTTACGAGAAAGATGGTCTCGCATGGATGGATTTCTTCGAATTTCCGGAAAATAATGAATTCAATGGGGCGAAAATGTTTCGTATGGAAACGTGCTGCGGACATCGATCGCGGTTCTCACTTTTATTCGTCGGCGTTCGTTTCCGTCGAAAACTGTCGCCGCGCGACACGACGGCGCCCTTCTCGTCGATTTTGAATTGGCGAACTCTGAAAATTGCCGAATTTCCATTTCGAGAACGACAATCATCAACGGGCCAATGATTCATCGCTACCGTTTTTTCACTACCAAATTTTCTTATAGTCATTCTTCTTGATTTTATCAATAATCCACTTCATTTCAGAAAAAAAACGAGTTTAAAGAAAATCTTTTTTTTTTTAAATTAAATATTAAGAATACAGCTAAATTTTATCTTTAAACGAGTGAAAATTAATTTTAAAAAACACTTTACAAGGTACAAAAAATATTTCAAAATTTTGGTCCGTCCACAGCCATGAATATCAACCTAACTGCATTGTTTTTAAATTTTTTTCTATTCGTGTGATTAACAAGGTTATTTCTAACAATATTTTATAGATATTGTTCATATTATTTTCAGCACGGAAAAGTTTGTATTCGAAGTTAGCAATGCATTTAGGAAAATTCAATATATAAAATAATTATTGTTTGTCCCCTTAAATAATTTTTGAAATATTTTTTGTTCCTTGTAAAGTGTTTTAAAAAATTAATTTTCTTTCGTTTAAAGATTAATTTAATTTAGCTTTTTTAAATATTTAATAAAAAAGATGAAAAAAAAAAAGATTTTCTTTCAACTCGTTTTAGTGGAGTGAGAAATCGGTAGCGAGGAATCGTTTGCCGATCAGCGAACCAGAAATTTTATTTCTTTTTTTTGGAACAAAAATTCCAGTCAATTTTTTTTTTGCAAAATTCAAATTATGACAAAAAACCCACGGAAAAATTTTTTTTCGAAAACTATTCTTTTTACTTCTTGAAATTGTCGAATTGGCTAAATGCCTTCGTGTAGTCCACACGGACAAATGCACCACTTAATAACGCGATGTGAAAATTGTCGACGAGACCCAACACTCTACAGTACACCAATATCGGGATTTCGTGTATGCGCCTTTAAAGCCTACAGTAATCATCACTTGAAAAATATGGAGAGTTTAGGTCAGTCGCCGGATATATTGGAGAAAAGCTGACGTGCTGCGGACACTTTTCGCCGACCGCAAATTGTCCGCAGCACAAATTCAATATATGCCGAAATATATTTGTCTCGGCCTACCTCGTGTAATCCTCCGAGTCGGGCAACTTCAAGAAGCGCTCCTCGATCGAATTGTTGGGTTTGGCTTCCGGCCAAACGTCGGTTCTCGGCTCCATGATGCGACTCCTGCAAAATTGTCGCGATTTAATGAGCGGATGATGATGATGATGATGCCAGCCGATTTGTTTGCATTTCAGTGGGTGTCGGTCGCGTTCATTTCATTTAAATCCACGGTAAACATTTCGTCAGAACAAATCAACAGACAAATTTCGAAGCGAGAGACAAGCAATTTCGTCGTGTAAACTATTCACGGTCACATTTTTTAGAAAAAAAAAAACACATATCTAGTCGGATTGGAGGGGAAATAATCATTTGATCTACCCACCTTTGTAAGCTTTGTCGTCGCGAGACCGTCGGCGTGCTCTTTCGACGCTCATGTGGTCCGACGTCTTCATACGCCATTCGACGCACCTTTAAATATGTGAGTTTTTTCGGGTTACGGAAAAATGAAACGAAAATGTCGGCAGAATGATTTGATCTACCGCGGAACATCGATTCAACACGCCTTTTTTTTGGAATTCCTTTTTAAAAATAAATTGTTAAAATCAAAAAATTCGATTTTTGATAAACTTGAAAATCCCATTATTATAAGGGTCCCATCGCGAAAAAAAAATTTTTTTGTGAATTCCACCATGGAAAAAAAATAAGGGTCCCATCACGAAAAAAATTAAAGGGTCCCTTCGCGAAAAAAATTATTAAGGGTACCAACGAGGAGAAACTTTTAAGGATCCCATCGCGAAAAAATAATTTTTAGGGTCCCATCGCGAAAAAGTAATTTTTTAAAGGACCAATCGCGAAAACAATTTTTTTGAGAATTCCACCATGGAAAAAAATAAGGGTCCCATAACGAAAAAAAAATTTAAGGGTCCCTTCGCGAAAAAAATTTTAAGGGTCCCATCGCGGAAAAATTTTTAACGGTCCCATCGCGAAAATAAGACTAGTTCTAATGAAAATAGAAGGAGCGATTAGTCATGGGTCTCACCGCGACATGCAAGGATGATGACGGAAATGAGTTTTCTCCAGAAGACTAGGGCGTGGAGGGGATATTCAACCTACAGTATACCAAACTCATATTTTTTGGGATGAAAATGAATGTGCGAGGCGATCTATAAGGTCGACGACAAACCTCGACGACGGGCCTCGAGCGATGTTTGAATGATTGCGAGCGCAACGGCTGCTGCTTCATTTCGTCGTCGTCGACACACAACAAATTGCGATTGCTTGCCGGCGCGTTGAGATTCCTGCAAATTGGCCAAACATAGTATTTTGAGGAGGACGGCGATTAGAAAATCGACACAAAAAGGAGAAGCTTCGCGCGTTTTCTGAGAATACGTGTGGCGGGTAGGCGTTTAATCAAACGAAAACGAGTTGACAGCTTTTAGATAGATGTGTTGGTTGTTGGTTTTTTTTTCTTGCTCACAAGGGGGATTCAAATTGCATTCAAAAAAAAAAAGGGGGAGCCTAAGACAATAATTACTATAGCTATAATCATCTGCGGACAATTTTTGGGTTGCGCCTTTAATTACCGTATTCTTTTGGAATTTTCCTCTAGAAATGCCACATTTTCGAGGCGGCAATTCAAATTTGAATTTAATTCGGCTACCGTACACCGGATAATCAAACTCACCGTAAATCGGCGCAATGGGTCTGCGCCTTTAAAATAAATAAAATGACAATCGTGAATTTGCTGAAAAACTGAATGTGGGCGTAGTCTAGACTACGGTACCCGTTGATCAATGGTGTGGAAGCATCAAATTTAGGCGAAATTGAAAATAAATCAGGATTTGGCATTTGGCGAGATTGGAGCCAAGACAAAAAAAGCACAAAGGCAAGCAAGAATGAATGGCGAGTTTTTTTTCAAATCTGCCTAATGGAAACATCGGCGGCGCCTCCGCCAACGAGCTTCTCGAATTCATTAATTCGCCTAATTTCATTTTACGATGCATGAAAACAGTTGGTTGATTGATTGTTGTTGTTTTTGTTTTTTTTTCTTCGATTTGAAGCTAAAAATAAAAACAAAGAATATATAGTAAATCGAAGGTGATTGACATGAGACATCTGTTGGCTGAGCGATAGAAGCGAGAGGGAGCCGATCCGAAACGTTTATCGACGAATTACGGACCAACACCGCATATTAATCGGCAATTTTCCGAATGAAATTTGTCAATTTTATTTCGAAATTCGATATGAATTCTTAACTTTTCATGATATTCATGGGTTTTTTCTGATGAATTTTTTATTCAAAAAAAAAATTTGCGAATTAGTTTCTAAATTATTTTTTCGCCAACCAAAACACGGCTCGCCGTGGCCTAGAAAAATTGTCCGCAAAAACGAGATTCGGCCACGGTTACACTTGATAGATTAATTAATTTAATTAAGTAAAACTAAATGAATACGTATATATTTGGCGTGTTTAGAATTTCAAAAACCAAATATTAAAAGAAAATTCAAATGTTTTTGGAAATAAAAGAAAATCGCGACTACAAGCATAATTTTAGAAATTACTCAGGTAAATCGAATATATATATATATTTTTTTGAGATTCATTGAGAAAAACTAACGTGTCTTTATATTATATTTAATATTTATAATATTTAATAATTTTCTCAATCAACTTTAGAAATTATTAAAAGATTTTAGAATTTATTGAGATAATTTAGAATTTGCTCAATAAATTTTGATAAATCTTATAAGATTTTAAAAACCATTTTTAAGTTTAGCGATTCTCAATAAGTTTTAGAATGTATTAATAAACTTTAGATTTTCTCAAAATATTTTAGAGTTTATTATTGAATATTTGATTCTCAAAATATTTTATTTGATTTGCCTGAGTAGCCTGTAGTGGTGTGCCGCGATTGCAGTTTTTCTCATAATTTGTGCACCGCCCTTCGATTTTTGCTTTTTGAAAATGTCGGCCAAATTTTCTAGGCCACACGTGAAATGTGGCGAGCCGTAAAAACGCCAAAAAAATATTTCGGCAAGATAAAAAAAAATTTCGGAATAAAATTTTTCGATTTAAATTCTAAATTTGAGATTTTAAAAGAAATGTTTTCTTGATAAGTATATCATTTCCTTGAATACAATAGTATCATTGAAATAAAAAATTCAGGAAATGACCTCTAAAATGCAAAATAACCATTTGTTCCGTGCGGGACCATAGTAAAGGCACATACATGTGAATCTACCCAATATCTGCCGATTCTTTTTCCCTTAAAAATTGCCAAAAATAATATGTCGGCGATTTCACACAAAAAAAATTGAATTTCGAGAGAGCGAAAAGAAAGTGTGCGGCAGTATTGCAAAAATTCTGGCCGGGGTCACATTTTTTGCTTTTTTTTCATATATTTTTTTCTTTAAAAGAAGATAGTTAAAAATAATTTTTTTTTTTAATTTACAGTTTTTCTTTCAAAACCCTAATAAATTTATAACAGCGTTCTTTTGAATTTTTTTCGCTGCGAGACTCAAACACAAAAACGGCGTGCGCCTTTAATATTTTGGAAATTTGAAAACTTCTCAAATTGTCTTAAAATACCGCAGATTTTTGGGAATCAAGAAATTTTCATAAAAATTGTGAGTCAACTCAAAAATAAATCAATCAAAATAATTGATTAAAGGCGCATGAGTCGAAAAATGAGTTGGGTCTTGTGGCAAATGATTGTTGCAGTCGTCGTTTTTCAAGTGTCTGGAGAAAAAAGAAGTGGCTAATTGCTCGAAAAAACCGCATGCGCCTTTAATTACCGTATACATAATTGTTCTTTTTTTTTCGAATGAAAGGCGAAAAGTCAGAATAATGCAGGAGAAATTTTTTTAAACAAAAAAAATTAAATTTAAAAAAAATTCTGGTAGTCGATTTTTATTTTAAAAAAATGAAAGCATATGGAGACCGCCGATTTGAGAAATCGGGGTGGTCCGCCTCCCGGAAGGCCTCTAAACAGCGGACCATCTTAATCTCACCGAAGAAGGAAAGAACAAAAAGAAAAGAAGAGGAAGCATGACAACGAGTTTTTCTTTTATATTGCAACAAGGCAAACATGACACAAAAAGAAAAAATGAAGAAGAAACATTTGTATTTTTGAGCGTTGCGATATAATTTGATTCTCGGGCTCGGCTCGGCTCAATTCGATTCGAACGCAATTGATACACGAGGGGGAAAAAAATAAGAAACAAGAAAAAAAATGTTTGGGGGGAAATACGAATAAATCGAGGCGAACTCGAATATTGCCGGAGGCGATGAGAACTGGTTTAATAATCTAGTGTGGTCCCTCGCGTTGCGGCGGGACCCAATAAATTGTGACCAACACGACGAGGGACAATGCGAAGCGTTTGGAGACGCAGTCAGGGGGGGGGGTTTTGGGCGATTGATGAGTCTGGCCGACGGAATGGGGGGGGGTCATTCGACTCGTCGACATATTCAAATTGCGCGGTACACTTTACGCGAAAATGCACACCGACTAATTGAGAAGCCAACGGTTTCGATTTGGTGCAATTTCGCGTCAAGTGTACCCACAATGCATTACAATCGACGAAATTTGAGGAAACAAATTATCAAAAAAGCTTCTACCCACGAAACAGAACACAATTTTTCAATTTTTGAACACTTTTAAATTATTTTTTTTCGTATTTCAATATTATTAAAATATGATTTTTTTTAATAGAAAAACGCAATATGACAGGGTCATAATTACTGTATCACCTATTAAAAATACGCAAAAAAATGTTGGCAGATAGCGGGATCGAACCCGCAACTCTATTCATGACAACATAATTGACACACCACTGCAGTGGTATAATTCGAATCTCAATGATGTGACAGCTAATGGTAGAATGATGGTGGCAGTGGTCCCAAATGAAATAATAGCAACAAAGAATTCATTTTTAAGACGGATTTGAGTCAAAGTTTGTAGCTACATGCTCGAACGCCAAGAGTAAAATATGACCAGAAATGGGTCATATTTAGGTCACATTTGGCACCAGACGCTGAGTACCAAATTAGTGCATAATTCTGTCAAATTTTCAACTAATTATGTAGCACCCTATCGAGTGTGCTATGTCGTTTTCTGCAAAAAAAATCCCAAAACTTTGGGTCCGAAGTTTCAAATTTTGAACCATTTTCGTCTTGTTTTTTACTTTGTTTCATTATTTTTGCCATACTTCAACACAATACCCCAATTCGATGAAGCTGCGGCGAGCAGCGATTGTTCAGTGGAAAGTGCTCGGGTTATCAAGAAGTGGATTGCAAATTAAAAAAAGAAACGAAGCAGTTATATTATGGGCCAAAATAATTAATACAACAATTTAATGGAATTAAAAAGGGAAAAATTCGATGGGCGGCACAAAACAATCGATTATTCACTCTTCCGGGTGGAGTACACAGGCCGGAGACAGCCACAGCCATTTGCGAGTCGGCCACGGCCACTTCCGGTGGTGCTAAGTATAAGGGACCAAATCGCAACAAATATTTGATTTTTGATTTTTGAATTCCTGGGCCACAATTTTTTTAAAAAATTGCAAATTTTAAGCCACAATTGAGCGAGAAAACGCGCTCTAATGCAAATTGAATTTCAATGAGAATAATGTGCAATTTCGCGTCATTTTTAGCGCCGCAAATTTCGAGAAACAGCTTAAATCCATGATGGTATACCGTAGTCTAATGGGCAAAACCGAGAGAGAGAGAGAGAGTGAGCTCATTAAAATGCAATTTCGGTTTTGTGCAAAATGGGCTCGATGTGAAGCGGACGGCGAGTCTATTTGAACAGGCTCTTCAAAATCGCGGATAAGAATTTAAAGGGGCGTAGAGGAGGACAGTGGGCCTGGTGAGACCGAATGCCAGCCGGCTCGAATTTCAAATGAGATCGACTCTCGCCCATTTTTCGTCATACGACCGAAAATTTCCGACGGTGAGACCGACAAATTATGAGAATTCTTATTAAGGGATTATCGTTGGAAAAATTGGCATCGAGATTTGCCATAGAGCGTGCTAATGAAATTTGTTTGCTGCGGACAGTTCACGGGTTGCAAAAAAATGAGCTAACGGCCTTTTACTAGCAATTTTTATTAGTGCATTCCTTGCTGCGGACAATTTTCAATATAAAACCGCGAATTGTCCGCAGCATCAAATTTCGATATCCGTTTGAAATGAAAAAAAAAAAACAAAATGAGATTTGCCCCCTAGTTTGTCCGCAGCACAATTCAGGCAAAATAATGTCGCAAATGACAAAATATGGCAATTCTCATAGTGAAATGAAGTATTTTGAGTGGGGGTTTAAATAGACAACGTTCGGGTGGGTTGTGATAATGACGAGAAGAAGCTCTTGAGAGCCGCGATGAGTCAGACGATCACTCGGAGCTCAGCGGCCGAAACGAAGCGCATATTTGATTCGTATTATTATTTTTTTTTTCAAAAAAAAAAAAACACACACACAAACAAAATCTTTGGCAGATTTTTTGGCGATGAATGCATGTTTGTGTGTTTTTAATTTATTGGCAGAACGGGAAAAAAAAATATTTGCACAGAATTCGGTTTCAAAACATTCGAGATCAAGTCAAGTCGCGGCTTGAAAACGTCCGCAGCATCCGAATTCTTTAAATGATCAAACGATATTTTGAAATGCATATTTTTTCAATTCTCCAAGAAAATTAACGGATTTGATACGGAATGTGTGCAAAATTGCGTCGGTGTGTGTGCACAGACAAAAATCGAATAATTACGCTGACTTTTCTTCTAGTTTTTCAAGATCATGAATTTCGAAGTGACTTTGTACAAGGGAAACGTGCTGCGGACAACTCCTCTG